ATGACAATATCGGGTACATTATAAATTTTGTAAAATTAACAATTTGATACTTATAAAAATCATGACTATCGGGTATCTGATATTCTGATATGTGCCTGATATGTGCCTGATATATACTCGATATCCATAAATATCTGGCACCCGATATATAGCCAATATGTGCCTGATATATATCCGATATTTTTGATTTTGACCTGTATATGTATTGTCTCTAAGTGAAAAGTTTACTTTTGAAAATTCTGCTATTGTTTTATTATGCAAGTTGGTAGGGTCTTCGGGTAAAGAATTTTTGGCTGATTTGAATTTATAGAAGTGTTTCACACATTGTCTGGTGAATTAGGTATAATTAAATTCTGTTTTGTTAGGTCTTTTATATGGTGGTAAGATGAAGTTAATTACGTATATTATAAGTTGAGCCATGTCTCTTCCTCTCCAATTTTTTGAGAAATCTATACTATATAAATAGCACCACATAATTTTCATTCTCAAGTGATCTCGTAATTCGCTATGAAGTTAAGGAGAGAGAGTTTCGTTGTTATTAACATTATTTTTGTCTTTGAATTGTTTAATTTCTTTTTCTAATAGTATCAGCTATTCTTTTATGTGGTCTGGAGCATCTTCTAAGTTGTTTGGTGGTTTAGGAAATATAGCTTTGTCTTTGTTATGTTGCGAAAGAAAAACCCTTAGTGCTTCTTTTTCAAAGGGAACCACACTTCTTTCAGAGTTTGTTAAATAGTTTAACAGTATTAAGGTATTTCTGGGTTTAGTCAAATATTGTGTATAATTGTTTATTGTGATTGGTGGTAAATTGTGAATAGAACTTTCTAGGTCATTTTTTAGATTTAGATTTTGTATATCATTAATTATCATATCTGGAAATCTATGATTTGTTATTGGTATTGTATTTGTGTTGGTTGCATATTTATTTTGTGTTTTTTGCATATTAAACCAGTTTTGTGTTTCATAGTCACGTCGCGTAATTGAAGTTCTTTGTTTGTCAGCTGAATTATTTGCCTGCTGATCACTTTTAGGAGGTGAGAGAGTTATGCGTTTTTTTTTTGGAGGTACTGGAGAGTTTTCGCTAGAAGAGTTAGAAGAGTTTAGTAAAATATAGTTTGTATTTTCTAAAGTGACTGTTACTTCTATTGAGTTGATAGCATTGATGTAGAGTTCTTGGTCTTCCTAGTTGAGTATTATATTGTCCATACTATTTGTCGCTTGCTTTACACGTTTTTGTTGTAAATAAGAAGGAATAGTGTCAAAGGTTTGAGCTACAGCTGTAAATTTTCTTGTGTTGTAAGAGATATTAATACTATTAAAGGTAACCAGCATTGCGTATTCAGGGTTGTCTATAATGTTTTCTGTGAAGGTAGTTTGTTTTTGTTGTTTATAAGTTGTGAAAAGGAAAAAAGTAGGAAATTCTAGGACTCTTGGAAGTGTAGTAGTTTTTCTGAAAATGTCATGTTTCATAACTTTGTTTGTTTTTTGGTCTTTCAAAAAGAGAACTGCTAAAGCTTTTGATGTTGAAGTATTTCCTTCAGGAGGTTGAACTCCTAGAAAAATTTTTTCGTCTCTTGCGTCCATAAGATTTTTGAATTTTTTCTAATTAATTATTATTATTATTATTATTTTATTGGCATAAAAATTTTAAGAATTCATTGGTATAAAATAATGTTTTATATGTAACAACAATTGATAATTTTCTTTAAACAGTAAATGATCAACAATAATTTCAATCATTTTTTTAGTCGTGTCTAAGTAAAGTTTTAATTTTAACTAGAAAACATAAAATATGGTACTAATAAAAGTTGTATATTTAGTTTAGGATTACAACTTTTTATAAGATAGTAGGCACTTCCGATAGATAGTTACTGAAATCGAAAGAGATTTCGGTTAACAATTTAATTTAATATTTTTGGTAACTTTTATTTAAGATAAGATTTTAAAACGAGTAGATATCCAATTTGAATAAATGAGATATCATATGATAGCCCTTAATTCGAGAATTCTTTTAAAAAAAAGTTTGTGCAATTTAAATTATTCATTGTGTCAGAATTCACCCTTGAAATTTTTAAAAAAATTTGATAAAAAACAGCTGTCTGGATACTTTTGGCAGGCTGGTGTACATTAAATCCAAAAACCAAATCAATTAAGATTAATAATGAAAGTTAAAGAAATATAAAAAAAATTTGATATTGTGTTAAATATTAAAAATTTATTATTTATAGAAAAAGCTAGAAGGTAATAAAATTATTGGGTTGGATAATGAAAAGGAAGAAGAAAAAAGAGAAAAAAAGAATTTTAATATTTTGATATTTAAATTGGGTTAAAACTTATTATTATTGGTATTATTATTATATTTATTCTTTTTTGGTTTTACTGAAATAACTGCTGTAATTAGTTTTACTGACTTTCACCAAGTTCTTTCATATTCTTCATTTATTTAAGATTAAAAAGACAAAATGTATTAAAATTATAGATTTTTATTATAAATAAAAATATTTAAAACAAGAATACATATTTCAAAAGTCCAAATATTTTAAATATTTTTAGATAATCTTTTTTACTGTGCCTCATAGTAACTCGTGATTAACTAAATTAGGAAAAAACTGAAAATAATTAACGACGACGAACTACTCTGAATCTCTAATGGATTTCTCAAACGAAAAAATTCGTTTACAAACAGATGCATTTTATTCGAAAGTACCAGGACAATTAGTAATAACAACGAAAAGGCTTTATTGGGTTGCGAGAGGAGAACAAGAACCTAAAGTCATAGTTCCACATTCACCAACAAACAGTAAGTAAAACTGAAGGATCGAAGGAATTAGAGCATTAGCGATCTAAAAGATCTAAATTTCTGAATTTATTTAACTAGAGTTGTTTATTGGAAAAAGGAATAACCCAAGTGCTGATCCGAAATTTAGAATAAACACATCCCCTGACCAAGGGCATTTATTTATAGTTGATAATTGGAATTTACTCCCTAAAATACAATCAGAGTTAACATCATGTATTGCAGGAGAAAAATCTGCTGCTGCTTCACCTTCTTCCCAACGTTCCGCTGCACCCTCTCCTGGATCTGGCTCTTCTTCACCAGCAGTAAGACATGGATCAGTTCCTCCTAATGGAAAAAATATTCCTATAAGGAAAATTCCCAATTCAAGAACGCTAGAGCTACGAAGAGAGCTTTTAGTTAGAGATAAAAATTTAGCAGATCGACACAAAACTCTTGTTTTTATGGAAAAATGTATAAGTGAAGAAGAATTTTGGGATCAACGAAGAGTACGCGTTACATTATTTTATTAATTTAAATAATAATAATTGAGTTATTACTTTTGTTGTAAAATTAAAAATTTAAAAAATATGTTTAAAATAGAACCTTTTAAGGGATCAATTAGCTCAAATGTCACAGAAGAAGGGAAGGTCATCAACAATGCCTACTTTACGTCCAGTAACTGAAGAAAGTGGAGATTCCACAGTCAATATTCCAAAGTATTTAATTTCTGAAATTTTTGATGAATATCCTCGTGTCAAATCTGCATTTAATGAATATGTTACTAAGCAAAAGGTGAATATGAGGTTTGAAATTTAATGAATAATTTCTAATTCTTTTTTTATTTTTTAATTAATTTTTTTTAATTAATTTTTTTTTAATTAATTTTTTAATTGTTTAGATGTTAACCGAAGAAGAATTTTGGAAACGGTATGTTCAATCTAAATTCAATGAGAGGAATAGAGGTAACGTTTCTATGGCGATTAAAGATGAAATATTTGATAAATCGTGGACCGAAACTGAAGAAGGTATGTCTATAAAATTTTGAAAAAAATTATTATTTTATGAATAAATTCTACAAATTTTCTTAAATTATTATTCATTTTTTAGATTTAAATAAAGAAGATCCTGCAAGTAAAAGATTAAAAATAAGTTTGATGCATGACTTAAATGCGACTCAGGAAGATCACTTGGGGGTAAATTTATTATAAATTTATTTCATCTTGCTCGCGTTCATTTAATTAATATCATGTATTTTTTTTATTTTTATAGGTTGAAATTGAAAAAGATATTACAATGAGACCAGGAGGTCAAAGTAAAATTATTTCAATAATAAGACATAATAATAGACATGGTATGCGAATATTAGAATCTGCTAGGTATTTACAAAATTATTTATTTTCATTATATTTTCATTATTTTTTTCATTATATTTTCCATTATGTTTATAAACATTAAATTAAAATATTAAATTAAAGCATTAAATTAATAATATTTTTTTTTATTTTCATTATGTAGCAGAGAAAAATCAAAATGGAATAAAAAAGAAATGCTGGTAAATCAAAAATTTTAATTGTGAATATTGCTAATGTCAGTATTCAATTTGTTAAATTTTCCTTAAATATTTATTAAATACTTAAATATTTCATTTAAATTTAATAGTCAAAATTTGATGAAATTTTAATAGAAGACTTAAAACCTCAACCGTTAGAAGAAAAGTTAAAATTGGATATAAAAGATGTTCGCGAATATTTTGCTGCACAAAAATTAGATTCTGGTTCTGAAGTTGAAATGGAAGACGCCCAAGAGGTAAATGAATAATAATTTACGCAATTTATATGAAATATGAGAAATTTATTATTAATCTATATTTATAATTTAGAGATTTGATGAAATTTTTGAAGAATTTAAAAATGAATTTTCAAATTGGAAACCGGATCTATCAAATGTAATTTAAATAAGAATATTTATTCAATTTCACTTTGTATTTACCTTTAAATATTTTTTTTATTCCTTTTATAGTTGATAGATCCAAATGTATCTTTTATGGTTACAAAACAGTGTAATGAAATGATTCAAAACAAACAAAGAAATGCTCAAAAATCACCGCCCAGTTTGGGTAAATAAAATGTATTCTTTTATTTTTATTTTTTTTTTTTAAAAAAAAGAATTATAATTAATTTAATTAATTTTTATATTTATTAGATACTTTTCCGATCCGTATTCATGAAAAATTAAAAGCGTTACACATGGCTGGCAATGAGTTTTTAAAGCATTATTATTCATCACTTAATTCAGCAACTCGAGATAAAGCAGATAAACAAAAGAAATTAATTGAAAAATTAAAAGCTATTTTAAAACAAATTGATAATTTTCACATGCTTTGTCAAAATGAGGAAGCATCAAGTGATAATAGTCAAACTGTTAGTGAGGAAACATGGAAAGAATCACTCAGGGTTGCTCAAGATGTGAGTTATTAAAGTTACTATTTTTTTGCGATTTATATATATAATATTATTAAATATTTTAAATATTTAAATATTTTAGATGTTGAAACCTTTAAGGATATCAATTAATAAAGTTTTAGGGATACCTCCAGAGTCAGAAACAAAACAAAACATTACTCCTAGAGGACCACCCACCAAGATTAACCCCAATGCTCAACAAAGGGTATCATCTACTAAACAATCAATTTCTCGGGAAATTTCGAAGACGTCATCATCCCGGGTTAATCAACAAAATCAACAAAATCAGCAATATCAGCAAAATCAGCAAGAAATTTCTCGACCCTCCCCTTCTATTCGCGAGATTTCCCGACAAACTAGTTCTACAAATAACATTGATGCATCCAGATCAAGAAATGTCCGTGATAATCGTGATAATCGTAATAGCAATAGAAGTACAAGTTCAACTCGTGTCTCACTTAATCCAAATCGTCCAACTCGTATTGTTCTAAAGTCAAAAGTAGATCCTAAACCATTATCAAGTACTCGTAAAAGCGGTAATGAAACGTTGGAACATCCAAAAACGGATTCATCAAACAAAAGAAAAAGAATGTCATAAAAAATATTTTTTCAAACCCAAACCTACTTTCAATTGATAAATTTTTTATTTTTTGACCCATACGTTTGATATTAATATAAAAATTATATTATGCAATATAATTAATTTTGTAAAAAAAAAAAAAAAATAAAACATAATAATAAATTTCTAAATCGAAAAGAATGATTTTCGTTAAAATAAAATATATATGTTAATAAAAAGGATACGTATCAGAATATATTTAGATTTAGATATCATTCAGGATGACCATAAATAATCCTTAACATTTGATGTACTCTCCGTTAACTTGCATCGAAATGATTATAAATGTTGATAAAGCATGTGCATCTACATTATTCGAAACGTTTCTTCGTCTAGTAATGTAGTGTAACAATCTAGGTCTCTATCTTTACTTCAAACCTTATACTTTTTAAGAATATCAAATTTAAATTTCATTCAAAAAACCATCTTGTTCGCGCATCCGTCGCACAACATTCAGGAAAGGACAATGCAATGATTTTAATAAAATTTGGCCAAAATCCTTTGTAAATTGAAAAATAATAATCATTTGATTCATTTAACCATGTCTTTTTATTTACCCTCTGATTGTCTCGAGGAAATTTTTGAATATTTAGATAATGATGTTCAATCATTACATTCAAGTGTATTAGTGAATAGGTTATGGTGTAAAACTGCTATTCGTTTCTTATGGAGGAATCCTTGGAAACATTTAGCGAAATTTGAGAATTCTGATTGGGCTTCTATCGTTGAAACATTACAATCTTGTATATCTGAAGAGATAAAAGCATCTTGGGAAAAAAACAAAATTGAAAATTCTAAGAGACAACCGTTATTCGATTATGTTGGTTACTGTCGTTATTTATCTGAATGGGAGATTAATAAAATTACTTATGTAATACTCCAGAAAGGTTATAGTAAAAACAATTGGTCCTCGAAACAATATGAAAACAATCGAACAATTATTGAGCGTGACTTATTTCGTCTATTCTTGTCACGATGTTCAACCCTTCAACATCTTATCCTTCCTTACATCGGTTTCACAGATTTTCCGGAAGCAAAAAATTGTTTTGCTCAACTTTCTGTACTTGAATGTAATGTCTATACTCCTTCAAGCATATTCTCCGAACTTGCGAAATATTGTCAAAATTTGGATAAATTGATTATTGATACTTGTCAAAAAGATAATATTGGATTAGCCACTTTAATAAAAGCTCAATTAAAACTAAAAAACGTAGTTCTTCGATGTGTAAATATTGAAGAATATGCCTTTTGTTGGCAGATTGGGCATGCTCTATTGTCTCAGCGTAAATCTTTAACGCATTTCTATCTTTCGGATTATTACTGTATCCCGGTGGAAATTCTCACAGCATTTAAGAATTTAAAGGTATTGCATCTATACACAGCTGAAGATTCATCGACTTTCTCATTACCACCTACAACTATTTATCCAAAACTCGAAGTATTAGAAATAATGGGAGATTTTGGAACACCTTTTAATTATTGGATAAAATTAATTGAGAACACCCAAGGCACTCTAACGCGAATTTATTGGAATTTCACCAGTGAACCGAAACGAGGAGATGTTACAAAATACCTTCAAGCAATCATTAGACATTGTCCAAAACTTAAATTTGTAACAATATTGATAACAAAAGAAAACGAATCAACTTTGGAACAAGATTTAGAAGATTTATTTACTTCTTGTGTATATTTGGAAGGTCTTAAACTACAGATCGCATGCAATATTTCATTGAATGCTTCGAGAATATTTAATTTATTAAAGAAGCTATCCTTAAATAATTTAGATACATTGAATTTATTGAATTTGGATTCTTTACGAGGTAATTGGCAGTGTCCCCCAGAAGATGTTAAATCTTTTATGGACTCATACACAAATAGGAAACCATTATCAATTGTATTAGGCAATTTCTTACATATGGATGAAGTGATTACCTATAATTTGATAGGTCAATATCGCGCAACAGATGTATTAAAGGATTTCTATAAAACGTCAAGTTTGATTAAACTTAACAAGGGATGGAATAATATTGGTGTATTAAATAAATAAAAGTTTTAAATTGTATTTATCGATCTCATACATAATAATATAGAGTATAATGTGACAAAATGAACATTTACGAGTTACAGATTTTTTTCTTACCCCATATTACCTTTTTGTTTTTACCTTTTGAGTCAAAAATTAGTATTAACAAAATAAATTGATTAAAATCATTATTAATATTTAATGAGAAAGATAATCCCAACTTAATTTCATGATCTGTAACAAATTACAAAAATTTTACCTAAATAAATACTTATAATTATTTTATTAACTTTCGAAATGTTTACTACACCCAGGGTACAGAATAAAGATTTCAGTTGTCAGGAGAACAAACCAAGAGAAATTACAACGTTCGTTCTAACCATATATATCGTATTAAAAATTTACATTTAATGATTATCCACAAACAAATGCATCTCAAATTTCCAAAATAAGAATGATTGACCATTAAACCAATGTTGTTTTAACACATTTGATGTTTTGATCTTACTTAACAGGTAAACAACGAATCACAAAAAAAAAAAATTTTTTTAAATCTTTTTTTGTTCGTATAAAACTTCCAATTTCATTTTTCGTTTCAATTATGGCCTCAACGAGAGCTATTGTTAAATCCGTGCTTTCTGGTGATACATTAATTCTTCGTGGAAAACAGGTAGCAAACCAACCCCCTCCAGAAAGGCAATTGAATTTTGCGTATATCCAAGCTCCAAGAATAGGAAATCAAAAAAAGGAAGATGAGGTGAAAAATCTTTTGAAATTCAATGTTTTAAATTGATCATCGAGATTAGAAATTGAATTAAATAAACGTGATCACTTCACGCTAATCATTCATATTTTCGCTTTTATCTTACTAGCCCTTTGCATGGGAATCTCGTGAATTTCTTCGTTCTCGTGTAACCGGGAAAGAAGTTACATTTCGTGTTGATTATATTATCCCTAATACTGGTAGAGAATATGGAACTGCCTATGTTGGCAATGAAAATCTTGCTCATTTGATTGTTGGAGAAGGATGGGCCAAAGTCAGGGATGATGGTCGCAATAAGGAAAGTAAGGAAGAGATAGAAAAGCTAATTAATCTTGAGAAGTCCGCTCAAGCAGCTATTAAAGGTGTATGGCAAGATAAAGAAAACGTATTTATTTTTTTTTCATAAATTATTAATTTATTTATGAATAATCTTTAAAATAACTAAATAATCATCTGATATGAATCACCATAGTATACTCGCAATGTCAACTACACTTTACAAGAAGACCCTAAGGCATACTTGAACAGATACAAAGGACAACAAATTGATGGTAAAAGCCTTATACTAGTTAAATTCATTTTTTAGAAGTTCAAATTCAGTAAAATTAATAAAATTTTAATGAAGGTATCGTCGAACAAGTTCGTGATGGTTCCAGTCTTCGCGTTCTTTTCATGCCTCCATCTCCTGCTCCACAACAATATCTCAACATAAATATATCTGGTATTAAAGCCCCCGTTGTCCGAAAGGACGTTCCAGATCAAGAAAATTTAATTGAACCTTTCGGTGAAGAATCTAAATATTTTGTAGAAGCAAGATTGCTACAGAGAAATGTTAAGGTTATACTGGAGGAACTCTCTGGAAATAATCAAGTATTTTTCGCTTCAATCTTACATCCTGCGGGTAATATTGCAGAAGTTTTAGTGGCCTCAGGTTTAGCAAAAGTAGTGGATTGGAGTATTGCTTTAGTTACAGATGGTCCAACAAAATTACGTGCGGCAGAAAAGTATGTTATTTATTAAAGTTATTTTTTTTTTATCCCAATATTTTAAAACTCTTGTTCGAAATTACAGTTCTGCGAAAGAAAAAAAATTGAAAATATGGTGCGATTATATAACTAAAAGCAAGGCCGGTGGTGATGATCATGAGTTTGAAGGAACGGTGGGATATTTTTAATAAATTTTGTAAATTCTTTAGAATCAGTAAATTAAAATTTATTAGTTACAATTTGCTTTTCTAGGTAACGCGTATTATCTCTGGTGATACTCTTTGCGTAAAGGTAAATCGCACTGGTGTTGAAAAGAAATTACAATTATCTAGTATACGACAGCCTAAGTATGTTCGATTAAATGCACATATTCAAAATATATAATAATACAAATATTAATCATCAAATTTTTAATAAATAGGCCAAAGGATCCTAAGTTGCCAGGATATAACTTTGAGGCTAAAGAGTTTCTAAGAAAGGAATTGATAGGAAAAACGGTAAAAAGAAAAAAAGAAAATAGATTTTTCTTTTCTTTTCTTTTATGTTAATTGTTGAAAATTGATTCCTTAGGTTCGCGTAACCATTGATTACCAAAAACCCGCCGTAGAAGGATATGAAGCGAGGGAATGTGCTACTATTAAACTTGGGGATTTGTGAATATAATGTCTATATATATTCTACTTATTATTTTTTCTTACATTTTTTTAACCTTGTGGATTGTTCAATTTTGTAGTAATCCAGCGGAAAAACTTCTAGAAAATGGATTGGCGAATATTATAAGGCACAAAAAAGATGATGATGATCGCTCGAGCTGTTATGATGAACTTTTAGTTGCGGAAAAAAAGTAATATTGTTTTTATTTTACATTTGGTTAAAATTCAAGATTGTAGCTTAGCATTTTATTTTTTTTTTGGTAGAGCACAAACGTACGCTAAGGGAGTTCATAGCACTAAAGAACCACCATTACATAGATTTAATGATGCCTCAGAGGTATATATTTCAAAATACTTTATTATGCATGAAATAGTTTAATAATTCCAAATCATTTATGTAGAGTCCTTCAAAAGCTCGCCAATTCCTTTATTCTTTACAAAAATCTGGCCGTATATCTTGTGTTGTTGACTATGTTTCTAATGGATCAAGATTCAAAATTTATAATCCTAATCCTAAAGGAAGTTATAAAATGACTTTTATCATTGGTGGAATTCGCGTACCCAGATTGGGTAAATCTTCCACTGAAAAACCGGAACCATTTGCTGCTGAAGCACTTGAATTTGCAAATCGTAAATTATTACAACGAGATGTTGAGATTGAAGTTGAAAATGTTGATAAGACAGGAGGTTTCATTGGTACTCTCTGGATAAATAAAACAGAAAATTATGCAGCATCATTATTACGAGAAGGATTTGCGAAAACCCACGGTTCATGTTCAAGCGAACTTTCAACGGCTGAAAATGAAGCCAGAGAAGCGAGAAAAAATGTAAGTAATGATTTCTATTTAGCAATAAATTTTTATTAATTCTTAATTTCATATCTCAATATCTTGTAGATTTGGTCACTTCAAGATATAGGACCTACAGAAGATATTAATTCATCAGTTAATGAAAGTGAAACTCAAAAAGAATATATGGATGTTGTGATTTCAGAAATTATTTCAGGGGGTCATTTTTATATTCAAATTGTCAATGATAACATTCGCAGTTTAGAAAAGATGATGTCAGAATTTGAACTTTATCATAAGACTACCAAGGATTTGGAAGTTACAAATCCTAAAACTGGTCAAATAGTCAGTGCTCAATTTACTGATGATGACCAATGGTAAATAATTATAATTAATGGATGATTTTTTTTTCGGAATATATCTATTTAAAATTTAAAATTTATTTAAATTATCAGGTACCGTGCGAAGATAAAAAAAATTATGAATGAAAAAAAGAGTGCTGAAGTAATTTATATTGATCATGGAAATGTAAATATGATATTTATTATTATTTTTTTTTTGATGTGGTTGAATAAACTAAAAATAGTTTTACCTTTTTTAGTCAGAAATAATTCCACTTTCCCGAATTAGACCAATTCCTGATAACTTTAAGCAATTACCCTCGCAGTCACAAGAAGCTGTACTTTCGTTTATAAAGGTTCCCGAACGTGAGGTAATTTTATAATAAATTATATATTTATGTTTTGTATTTTGTTTGTTTAAATAACTTATTAGTTTTTTTTTTTTTTTTTTTTTTAAACAGGCCGATTACGGAGAAGAATCTTACGAGAGGTTTAGAGATATTGTTAGTAACAAACAACTTGTTGCTAACGTTGATTATCGTGATAATAATTTACTTCACGTTACACTCTATAACCCTTCGCAAGCTCAATCCCCTGAAGAATCAATTAATCATGAACTAGTTCATGATGGGCTGGCATTGATTAACAAAAAGTTACCTTATATCAAGCGTTACAAAAGTTTAATACAAAAATTCGAAGAGTCTCAAGAACAGGCGAAAAAGTCTAGGGTAAGTAAATTTGGATATTTGGATTGAAATTTTTTTCTTTAAATCTATATCTTTCATTACTTGACATTTTTTCATTGGCTTTAGTCGGGAATGTTTGAATATGGAGATGCGACACTTGATGATGATGAAAATTATTAATATAATTGTTAGTTTTTAAATTAATTTTTTTGGTATAATAGATTTCAAATGATTTAGACTTAAATTATAATATTTTTATTTATTCTTATTTATTGGTCTTGTAATTTATTTTTTGTTCTATATCAAGATTAATATACACATAAAAGTATTAGAACATTTATAAAATTAACTTGTAAAAAAATATCTTTTTATATTTACAGGAATTAAATGACTACTTGTGTGATTTATTGTAATTTTTACATTGTTTCTTTTGTTCAAAAATAAATTTCATACATTAGTCATATAAACTTAAAAACAATTTTTTTACTGTTGTTATTTCAATTTCTTTTAGTTTTATAGAAATAACATAATAATTTCTTAAGTATATATGTTTCTTGTAAATATTTTTGAGAGCCATTCATATCAGAAGTGGAAATAACATAATTGTGTTATGTTATTTCCATTCCAGAAATTTATTGTAAAAGATTTTTTATTTAGAATTTAATTTATTAAATGACCTGAACATAAAAACAATTTATGGTATTAAATCATTTCTTCATTTTCTTTTGAATTATAAACCTTAATAATGAAGATAAAAATTTCATTGAGAGAATATTTGCTACCTATTTCTATTAAAAAGTAACTGTCAATTACATTTATTTTTATCCTTAGAAAAAGTAGATAATTAGTTTTACAATAAAATGGCAATGACACCAATAAAGAATTATTAAAGAATTATTAAAGAATTATTAAAGAATTATTAAAGAATATGAGAGTATTATTTTAAAAGAAAATAATTTATTCATCAAAGGAAAATGAATATTTATAAACTGATAGCTTTTATAAATTCATTAATAATTTTTTTTAATATCAAAGAAAAAAAATACATTTCCTTTGTTACACACAATACCTCTGAATTTCTTTCTGCTTCACAAGATCAGTGATAATCAAAAAACTCTTTTTTGAATATGGGTTTTTTAAAAAAAACCTTTATAAATTTAAATTATAGAAGAATTATTAAATTTAAAAATAATAACTTTTATCATGGCTTTCGCTATGCTCATCAAAATGCATCATCAATTACAGATTCTATCTCAACAAAAAAACCAAGCAAACATCTTGTATTTGATAATAGATCACCTTCCTTTGATGATTTCTTGAGATCAGCAGCATCAAAAAAAATGTTAAGGGACACATCTGTAATAGGTAAAGATGACAAATCATTAAATCAAAATAGTGAAAATGGTACTTTGGATAAAAATATGGGAAGTCAGACAATAAACACAATACCTGAGAAAATTCCATATTTAGACATGACAATGGATATAAATAGTATAAAAAACTTGGGAGAGAATACAAAATATTATTTAGAAGTTTATGGATGTCAGATGAATGTTAATGATGCAGAAATTTTGATGTCAATTATGAATAATACTGGTTACCAAAAGACCGAAAAATTGGAGGAAGCAAAAATTATTTTCTTGGTCACGGTAAATCTTGAAATTTATAAATCCATAATAATAAAACAAAATAAAAACCAAATTCGGGAATTTAATTAATATAATTATTATGATTTTCTAGTGTGCTATAAGAGATAGAGCAGAAAATAAAATATGGCAAAGATTAAATGTATTAAAGAGTATAAATTCTAAATTGGGACAAGACAAAAGACCATTAATTGGAGTTTTAGGTGTAAGTTTAATCATTCAATTAACAATAATCAAATAATTGCTTTTATTTTCAATGATCATATCACATTGATTTTAATCATTAAACATTTAAAACATTTAAAACATTAGTGTATGGCTGAAAGATTAAAAACAAAACTTTTAGAAACTGATAAAATGGTAGATATTGTATGTGGACCAGATGCATATCGCTCAATACCACATTTAATTTCATTAGCAATTCAAACTTCACAAGGAGTTGCTAATGTTATGTTATCAGCTGATGAAACTTATGCTGATATTATGCCAGTTAGATTACATAAAGGAATCAATAGTGCTTCTTTGAGTATTATGAGGTTTGTAAAAATGACTCATTTGTTTTATTTCTTGGAATTTCATTGATTTTAAATGACTTATTTATTCTATTATAGAGGATGTAATAATATGTGTTCATTTTGTATAGTTCCTTATACAAGGTAGTTACTCTTTTTTTTGGTTTCTTAAATAATATTTATAAAAAATAATAGAATAAATTTATTTTACTCATATTTTTTTAATTCTTAATAGGGGTAATTCATCTTTTATAATTACTTTGTAATTACTTTAATTATTTTGTTTAAATAAATATCAAATATTCAGGTATTGAAAGAAGCAGACCTTTATATCCTTCAATCATAGAGGAAGTTAAAACATTGAGCAATCAAGGAATAAAGGAAGGCAAATATCCAAATCTATCAAATCTATCATATTTTCTTTATAAAAATTATAATCTGGTTAATTATTCAAAAAGAATTTTTTATTTTATCAAAAAGTAACACTTCTTGGACAGAATGTTAATTCATATCGAGATACAAATGAATATGAATTTTATAAGCCACAAGGTATCGGTGGAGGACTTAGTAATGAAGGATTTAAAACCATTTATAAACGAAAAGGTGGCGGAATCAGATTTACTGAGCTCTTGGATCATGTATCTCAAGTTAATCCTGAGGTATTATTTTATTTTTATTAATATATTTTTTTCTTGTCAATAATTTGTTTTTTAGAAATAAATTTAAATAATATAGATCTAAATTGTATCTATTTAATTATAGATGAGGATAAGATTTGTTTCGCCACATCCAAAAGACTTTCCAATTGAATTATTAAAGTTAATATCAGAACGACCAAATATATGTAATCAAGTTCATTTACCGGCTCAATCCGGGAATACCAAAGTATTGGAAAGAATGAGGAGAGGTTATTCAAGAGAAGCGTAATTTATTGTTATTTTATTTTGATAATTTATTTTGATAATTTTACTTTGATAGTTTTACTTTTTAATCATGAATTAATTTTGTAAAAAGAAAAACTCATTTTCCTTGTCTTTATCATCACAACATAATTAATTAGCTATTTGGATCTTGTAAATACTATTCGAGAAATAATACCTGATGTTTCTTTAAGTACAGATATTATTACAGGATTTTGTGGAGAAACAGAAGAAGAACACCAAGATACTTTGAGTTTAATGAAGATTGTATATATATATATATATATAAATTTATATCATTAGATGAACAATGAGTTTTAGATTAAATCTAACGACCATATGTATTTATGTGCTTTTTCTTGTTTTCTTAAAATAGGTTAAGTTTGACATGGCTTATATGTTCGCATACAGGTAATTAATATTTATTTTTCAATACATGTTTCCTTGTTTTGTACTTGTAAAATTATGTTAGAATATCTTCTTCATTGCCAAATATATATATATATATATATATATATATATATTTATGTAATAATCATAAAGCATGCGAGAAAAAACTCATGCCCATCGGAATTACATCGATGATATTCCTCGTGACGTTAAAATTCGGCGTCTTAACGAGATAATCAATTCTTTTCATGAAAACGCAAAAATCCGATATAGTCAATTTATTGGTAAACCACAATTAGTTTTAATTGAAGGTTATTCAAAGCGAGATAGTCAAAGGTTAAAAGGAATCTCTGACGGAGGGCATAAAATTCATTTCGATGATGCTAACGTAATTGATTGTATAGGAGTAAATAATAATAATATTGATCTGATGATGAAACATTTGGAAAATAGTTCAAAGAGAAATAGATTTAATAATTTATTTGACATTTCTCAAAAGACAACAAATATGAAATCAGGAGATTATGTTCTGGTGTTACCAATTTCAACAACTGGTTGTTCATTTGACGCGATACCATTAGCAAAAATGTCTATTGCACAGTTTAATAATGGAAAATTTAGCGAATATAATATAAATGTAGGAGACAATTTGCATGTATTTATTGATAAATATAAAAACGTGAACAAGATTTGATATTATTAATTTAATTTAAGCACTAGACGACAAAGAATTAATAAAAAAAAAAAGAAATTCGAGTCGAGTGAGACAATACTAAATAAAATAAGGTTCGCGTCGCGTTGCAATATAAAAGGATCATCTGATCTAAGAATTCAAAATGTTTTCATTACGTTATTAAAAATGCGAGAAAATAAAGTTAAATCCGTTTTTTCTTTTGATATTCCAGCTCAAATAATTCACAAAAATGAAAGTTTCTATACTCCACCTTTCGCGACTTCATACAATATGTTTTGGCAGTTACGCTTAAAAGTAATATTATTTTGTTATCAAGAATAAAAAATCCGATAATATATTGTACTAAAATATTTTTATATAGAAAAATTCAAATGATCCAAATTGTTATGCATTAACTCTTAATGCAATACCAAATCCTGAGGAAGAAATTTCATCATCCACCTGGGATGATCGAGAGAAATTTTCGGCTACACTTTTTATGAAAAATCCTGATTTATCATTGGACCATGGTCCTCTTTGCGCCTCATCAAGCAAAGATTATGAATTTGGTGCGTTTAATTTATTTTAATTTGAATATTTACAAGTCATTTTAATTTAATTTTTATTAATCAATAGGTGTTGAAAAATTTGTATCAATTAATGAACTTCCTAAAGTTGGATATATTACAATTGGTGTTTGGTTCAACAAGATAATAATCGAATATGCAAAACCCGAATATCTAATTCCACCTCGACCATGGCCAAAAAATCTTGTCGAAGCTTGGGAAAACGAATTAAATAAATCCGATTTCGCCGACATTCAATTTAATGTGAATAATAAAAAAATATATGCACGTAGTTCCATTCTTTCACTTCGTTCGGAATATTTTCGTAAAATGATTGAAGGTGGTTGGACTGAAACAAATCAATGCGATTATGATGTTAAAGACAACAAAGTTACTGCTACATTCAAAGACACATCGAAACGTCCTGATAAAGAAGGAGATCCTCAATCTGATATTATAGTAGTTATTAAAGAAAATAGCAAATATAGTGATGAACAGTTACAAAATTGGACACCTCCACAAATTCGTTACAAAGTCAATGTGACTGATGTCCATGAAGATACTTTTCTTGAGATGTTACGTTATCTATACACGAACAATTTAGAATTTGATTCAACTTCTTTACATAAAAGACCTTTAGACATTTTCATTATTGCTGATAAATATCTCATTCCGGATTTACGTCAATTAGCTAAATCGCAAATTTATAAAGATTTAACGGTAGATAATGCAGCAGAGATTTTGTTTGGTCAAGTTTATGAATGGGATGATTTAAAAAAAGATGTAATGAAATATGTAGTTTCAGAATTCTCAAAGATCAGAAAAACTGACGGATACAAAAAGGTTATTTTAAATAACGTTGAATTCCCGGCGGCCGTTGAATTAATGTCTGAACTTATTAAACTTTTAGTACCTGAAGATGATAATGATAAAGTCCCGGAAGAACAAGAAATCTTCTTTGAAGAAGAAGTAATAGTAGATAAGAATAATGTGAATAATTATTTGCTTCGAAAATGAAATATAATATGACGAGAAAAATTTTATAACTTCTAAAAGATTTAATAATTATATTCAATAATATCTAATTTCCATGCAAGTAGAAATTTATTCAATTTGACATCAAAATATCATGAAAAAAGTGTTGAATTTTAAGATGTATTAAATCTAATCTTTTATAATTCATTAAATAGAACCAAGAATCAACATCAAAATTCTAAAAATGTCTTAAAATTATTGATTTTTAATCAAATAAGATAACAAATCTAATTTAGTTACCACGTGTTTGGGTATAAATTCTCCATTTGCTCCTCGCTCAGTAATAATTGCTGCACTATGATTTTCAAAAAATTTTGTTAATTTTTCTAAAGGAGTATCTATAGTAATTTCTTCAAAATTCTTTCCTAATCTATCAAATCTCAACATAACTTCCTTAACTGGGGATTCACCCGATTTTCCTCTTCTAGATATACTTGCTAATAAATTTCCTAGATTAACTAATCCTACAAATTTATGATGATCTATAACTGGTAATTGATTAAATCCTTGACTTTTTAAAACTTCGATTGCTTCCCTACAAGTAGATTCTGCATCAATAGTGATAGCGACTTTAAGATCAAGATCACGAATTGTAGCACCACCATATTTTTGAATTTTATTTTCCTCCTCTTGTTTGACAAAATTATCAATAAATCCATGAGACTTCATCCAATCATCATTTAAAAACTTTGTCATATAATTTCGAACTGAATCTGCAAATAAAACAACACAACGTTGACCTTTTTTAAGAGATTTACATGCTTGAATTGCTGCACACATTGCAGAACCAGACGAGCCACCAACTAAAAGTCCCTCCTCACGAATAAGTCTACGAGCATAAGTAAATGAATCTTTATCATTTGTCTTGATCCAATCGTCAACGTCACTAACATCAAGAACAGAAGGAATAAAGTCATAGCCAATGCCTTCAACCTAAACAAAAAAAAAAATTGTAAAAATTGATTATCTAAACATAACATTACGAAAGGAATAAGAATATTATACCAAATAACTAGAAACTGGTGCACTAGGATCATTTTCAGCAAGAATTGAACCAATGGGATCCACACCTATAATTTTACAAGTAGGACATTTTTCCTTTATTTTTTTAGAAATACCCGAGATAGTTCCACCAGTGCCAGCACCTGCCACAAATAAATCTAATTTTCCGTTACATGCTCTTAATATTTCTTCAGCTGTGTGATCATAATGAGCAATGGGATTATAAGGATTACTATATTGATCCAGAATTACAGAATTTGGAATTTCATTACGAAGACGATTAGCAATCCCAATATGAGATTCTGGTGAATCCCATGCTGCTTCTGTAGGTGTACGAATAATTTCTGCACCTAAAGCTTTAAGAACGTCAACCTATTAAAATTAATAATAATCATTAAATCAGATCAAATTTTATGATAGTAATATAATAATAACATAATAATAAAAATAAATTAATAGTTCTTACTTTTTCTTGACTCATCTTTTCAGGAAGAGTGATGATTGAACGATAACCTTTTATAGCAGCAGTTAAAGCAAGTCCAATTCCAGTATTTCCAGAAGTTGGTTCGATAATGGTAGATCCAGGTTTTAGGATGCCTACCTTTTCAGCTTCCTCAATCATACGCTTAGCAATTCTGTCTTTAACTGAACCTCCGGCATTAAAGAATTCACATTTTGCCACTATCAATTTAATTAAAAATAATAAAAATGTCAAAGAATTAATAATTTACAAATTGATATTCTCTGTAAGATAATGTATTTTACATACAAATTTCGCATTCGATTCCTTCTGCTTTAGTAATTTTATTTATTCTCACTAGTGGGGTGTTACCGATATGATCGAGAATTGAATCCAAAATTGGTGGCTCTGGCTTGCTTTGAGAAGAAATGGGAAAAAAAAACGCTTTAGAAAAAAGAGAAAGGAAAAATCAAGATATTTTAAATAACTTAAACACTTACAGTTCCAGATGATTATAAGGTTCAGATAAAGTTTTATTTGATAAACTATTATGATTAAATTTAATTTCAGACATTTTTTTTATATAAATTTACGTTGTAATAATAACATCCGATTTTTTGTTTCATTTTTATATTTAAATTTAAAAATCATGTGATATAAAATGTATGATCTTTACTACATATGTATTCATTTCAAAGCATGTTTTTAAAACATAATAATATGATAATAAATAAAACCACATTAATATCAGTTTATGTAGATCTTTATTATCCCTCTATCTTTTAAAGAAATATTATGTTTTTTTCTTAAATAAAATTATTGTGGTATTTTTAGAACTCTTTCAAATTCGTACAATGCAGCTTTGCCTTTAGATCAGTATCCATTTTAAGCGAAAAAGTAGATATAAGAGGCGATTTGTGGTTTCACGGATTTGGAAGCGTTTTATATTTATTAATAAAATAAAAAAAAAGAAATCAACGCTGATTTCTTTATTACGTAATAAACAAATAATATGATAATAACATTTTACCTTTCTATTTTTTTTTTGTCTTTCATTTCACAAATTACATAAAAAAAAAACACTTGATAATATATTTCATTATTATGACAATAGTTTTATTGTTAATGATCGATGACCAAGAGGCCATTTATTAAATGTCTTCTGATTAAAATCATCAGTTCAATTGGCGTTGCAATAGATTAAGGGCAATAAGGCAATAGCTTAATTGTCTTGACCAAAAAGCCATTATTCAGGGTCTTCTAATCAAAATCATCAGTTTAATTATTCACCTGAATAAATCAAACCACGATGGATTAATTAGATGAGAAAAAAGCGCAGAACTTCCATATCATAAAATTTGACTATAACTACTTGATATCATCAAAGGCCGCTCTGAATGAATACAAAAGATTAAACGCGATACATGCTAGAGGGTTCCAAAATTTACAATAAATCTTTAAATCTTGTAGTCAAATCTGATCACAAACTATTTAAAAAATTAAAACCTTTATTATTTTTGATCAATTCCTACTACAGCAACCAATACTTTGTACGATGCAAATCTTGTTCTATTAAAATAGAATTAAGCTTTGAAAATGACACCATAAACCATCAACTAAATTTTTAGGCGACTAAATTTTAAAATCAATATATCATATAATTTTAATGTGATTTTATGCGATGGGAAGTGAGAAAAAAAATTTATGTTTAAATATTTTTACCATATGAGTGATCACGTTTCTGAAATATTGACCGTTTATAACTCTAAATAAAAAAATAATAATTTAAAATCTAATTCCGGTGAATTGTAGCCTAGCTTTCAAATAATCATTTCTGAAAAGCTTTTTTTAGTATTACCATTTTTTGTCAGAGCTTATAACATTTTTAAATGTAGATTAAATGTTATGGTGTACAAAGAAGGATAAATTGCAATGACTTATAAAAATTAATAAAATTAATCCAATAAGTGGTCATTATATTTATGTAACCATAAGTTGTTGTCATTTTAGTGTGAAAACTTGAAATATAATATATATAATATATGTATAATTTTATTTATCTACGTTGTAAATATTTTATCACGTGGCTCTAATCGAGAATGAACAAAGAAATCGCGATATTTAAACTATATTGTGTGCATATCAAATGTGATAATTAAGATAATTGAGGTTTCGGTGTAATTAGTGTACCACTGGTTATTTTTGAACGTGTAATTTCCTTTAAATGTAGTACACGTTATATTGTAAAGACGTCATATGATCTACTATGCAAAAACAAGTATAAAAGCTCAATTTTCCCAAACGAACTTTAAAATTTAGAAAGTTTAACAAATTTTATATAAACTTTATAAATTATACTTTCATCATTAAGTAAATAACAAGCAAATAATAGCTCTCGTGTTCATTTTCATAATATTTTACAATCATTTCTTTAACCTATTTGATAAAACAGAGATTTGGTATTTTTATTTTATTTATTTTCATGTTTATATTTAAACGCTCACACAACGTACATATTGAATATATTTTTATTATTATCCCTTGCTTTTATATAATTTTATTAAAATTTAATAGTAACAATGAAATTTCTTGATATTGCTTCACTTGACCCAATAAATACTGCTCTGATATTTGAAAACCCCGAGTGCAGAGTTGTTGGTCGAATAGAAACCTATTCTTGTAAGTCTTTTTTTTTGTGTTCAATATTTATTATTATAATAATATGTTATATATAATAATAAATATACAATAAGTAAAGTATATATATAATAATAAATATATAATAAGTATAATATATATATATTATATGTATAAACGCGGAATTTTAAAGACAAATTTTCCTATTGGATTTTCTTAAATTCATTCAAACACGTTAGCTAAAAATAGAAATATATATATAATATATGAAATATAATATATATATATATATATTTATTTATTTTTATTTAAAAATTTACGATTCTCTTTCTCTATTTTTAATTTCTTTATTATAGGTAAACTCGCTGGAGTTGACAAGAAACTTTATAAAAATCTTGAAAATCGATGGAATTCTAAAAACATTTCCGAATCACAAAGTGTTTCACCTGAACAACAACATAGTTTTAATAATATAATTTCTCCTTTTGGTTCATTGGAACAGCCTTCATCTCGCAGGACTTTATTTAATTTGATTGCCACTTTAAATGCTTCTTATCCTGATTATGACTTTTCGTAGGTATTTTTTAAATGTGTATATATATATATATTTATATTGATTTTTTGATCTTTTATTTTTTTTTAAAAAACATAAATAAATTATTTTGGTAATACTTGACAATATTTTATTTGACAATGTTTATATTTGGTAATGTTTTATTTGACAATACAATATTCAATAATATTTTATTTGACAATACAATATTCAATAATATTTTATTTAGAGATGTCAAACCAGACCAATTTACCAAACAACCATCAGTTCCTATGGTGTGCAATTATATAAACAATACCTTATTCAATCTTGGTCGTTCTTATATAGTGAACGACCTGAATTTATGGCAGGTAATCGATGATATCATTGATTTGAATGAATGTAATGTATATTCGTTCAATCCAGATATCGATTCCGATCCAAACGCAGAAGATGGCGCAATGTATGTACTTGAAGGGAATGTAAATAATCTTTAACCTTTATGAATTCAATTTTTTTGTAGATATTATTTTCAGATCATTTTGTTTCAATTTAAAATGGGCCTCTGTACATACAAGCTCATATTCCAAATGATGTCTGTTTTTTTTTCTTCTTCTTTTCAGATGGTCCTTTAACTTCTTTATTAGCAATAAGAAGCTTAAAAGGATTGTATTCTTTACTGTTCGATGTTTGAGGTAATTTTTTTTTAATTTCAATTTTATTAATTTTATTTGAATTTTATTTGAACTTTATAATGAACTTTTTAATAATAATTTTATCAAGTATCAATGCACCATTACAAGAAGATGAACCTTTGGATTCTGAAAGCGAAGTAAAGTAAGTTTCAAGGTAGTAAGCCGGGAGTTTATTTGTTGGCATTGGGGAAACGTTGGGGTAAATTATATAAATTATAATTTTCTTTTTTTATACATTAATTCTATCATAATCAAATTATATATTCAGCGCGATGTCATATGAGGAATATGTTATGGGAGACATTGAAATGTGAAAATTACACTCTTTTTTAATAATAACAAATGATTTATCAAAATTATTCTTGACATAAAAATCGTCTTAGTAATCTTAAGGAAGAAAGTAAAAAAATATGTATAATAGATATAAACAGTAAATTAGTTTTTTTTTATAAACGAGATATAGTGTAAGTGTAAACCAGAAATTGATCACTTGGTCATTAAATTTTTAGTATAACGCATACATTTTTAAGTAAGAATCCATAATTCTTCAAGTTTGTATATTTCTTAATATTAACATATTACATTGTTCATATTGTTTTTCATTGTTTTATTGAGAGAAGAGAAAAATTTTATTTTTTTGATATTTCCCTTGGTAGTTTTCATTATTTTTAGTAGTTTTTAATTATTAAAAAAATTCTTGCTGCGGCGTGATTAAAAATATGGATAAATAATTTCAGTTACTAATGTTGAACGAGTGAACGATTCATAAAGTAAACAAGTTCGATAATTTCAATAAAATAAAATTAAAATTAACTATTCACTATTCACGATAGGGCAATTTTTAAAGTAAAAAGTAAATAAGAATTGGGAAAGTGTTGATATGAAATTAAAAATAGACTTCAATATAAGATGCTAATAAAGTTCAAGAACGAGAGCTTGAAACATAATAAAAAAAGGATTATTATAATTATGGAAAAGGGATCAGGAACTTAAAAATAAAATAATTATTATAATTTTAAGTAACTTGACAATATTATAATTATAAAAATTAACATCTTATTAATAAAATTCTTTATTGTCAAGTTCAAATACACTTTGATACAAATTTTTATTTATTGACCAACTGGCCAAATGAACATAATGTTTTGGCGTTTAACTGCCAAGGCAAGATTCGTTTAACTTATTTTCAAGAATGGTTTCAACTAAAGCAATCGGTGTTACGAGTGTCGAAAAATGACATGAACAACGCTAAGCTGAGATAGATAAATTGGAACGAAAATATATTTGCAAGCGAAAATGTCTTTTTTAACCACCTTAGGGCTTTTACTTTAATGATAAAACTTTAACACACCTTCTTGTCCTTGGCATTCATAGAATTAAAATATGCTATGCACACACAAAATAATTAATAAATAAATATTCCAAAAAATAATCGAAAAACAAAAAGCAAAATCTGAAATTAAAAAGGGTTTAAAAAAGAAACCCCCTAGATACTTATTGGGCACTTGGCCCTTATTTTATCCATTATCTTATTTTCCTTTTTTAATAGATGGTGCCAAAATAATTAACTGACCGTTTTGAAAAAAAGTGACAAAATTAGTGACACAGAGACCTGATTTACAAAAACAAGCCGCGTGATTACAAGCTTCATTGTCAAGTAGATATAAAATACTTTCGGAATCGGCAATAAATAATTCGCTTACAACGAAGCAACATAACAAAACAAGGCAACTAGTAAGAATAAAGGAACCTATAAAACAAGCGATTAGCAAACGAAATAAAAAACCAAATATAAGCTAAGCAGTTAATAATTTACTTAATAAAGAAACAAAACAATGATCTACAAAAACTTCAAGGGATAATTAATAAAAAAAAACAAGAAAATATTTATTGATGTAATACACAAAACCATATCGTAATGATTCATATCTTGTGATTAATTAGAATTTAGTCACTTAAATGTATTTGGTTGGGTTCTTTTGTTAGTAAGAGTTTTAAGTGATTTTGTCTCTGTTTTGTAAGTTCTTTTGTTCAACATTTAAGTAGATAATAAACATTATAATTGTTATTCATTTTATTTGCCAAGTTGTGGTAATAATCTTAATAATTGTCTTGTAATTGATGAAATTCCAAGGTAAAAGATCCATTTCTGTTATTATTATTTCTATTACTATACTTGTTGTGAATAATCTTATCATTCTAATGTTATCTTATTGATGTGTGCATAAAGAGACATAAGTCCTGAAAAGTCTTTATGCAGATGATCAAATCCAGGCAACATTAGAAATGAGATTACTTGTAACTCCAAATGTCAGCTGTTTTGTTTGTATGCAATCTCTTTTGCTTAACTATTTCAGAAGCTGTGCAATAAGAACTGCCACAAGATGCTCCCATCTTTTCATTATTGGCCTCACATTTCTTTACTATGCAAAGCCAAAGTCAGTAATAATAAGATTATTACTATCCTAAAATAATATTAATATAATTAAAATAAATCATTATAATTAGGAATAAGTTACAGGCTTGAGGTCTCTATGCACAATGTGTAAATAGTTAACTCCCCAAATTAATTCCTGGAAAATTCTACAGGCCTAAGCATTGTTTTTTTTGGCTATGTAATTAAATAACTCCAATAACTTCTTCAGTTTTAGATACATCTAATAATTTGATAATATTATGATGTTGAAGCCTATATGATGAAATTAATAAAATTAATAAAGTAATTAATACAATAATATTTAACCGGGAGGGTACAAGAGTGGGGGAATCCAGTTAAATGTAGTCATTTCTATGAATAATATTATATAATTATGAAAATTTATGATACTAGAAAAAATTTAATACCTTTAATAACTAACTTTCTCTTTTAGTATTTGATAACTGAAAAAATTCTCAATTGCACTTTTAGCAATTAAATAACTGCAATCTTAATTATTAGACTAATTTAATATATTTTCTACATAATAATTCGAAAATGAACACTTTATACATATTCAGAATAACATATTTGGGGTGGGTGAAAAGAAATTTTGAAAATTTAGACACCAGCAGAGTTATCTGGCTTGAAAAAATTTTTAAAAAAGGAAAATTAGATGAATTTTATTTTTTATTTTTTTTTTAAATTAAAGAATATATTAATATATTTTTAACTGATACTTTTATTAAGCAAAAAGTTTTTTATGAATTTTGTAATGTTTTGAGACTATTTGGATAATTTTAAGTTTGTAGAAGTTATATTAAATACTTGAATTAAAAAAGACTCAATCTCAAAATTCTTTAATAAAAATTTCAATTGATATGGTAACTTTATTCTAGGGGAAACATAGATTTCATATATAATTATGACTTACTTCCATTCCATTATTATAGGTGAAAATTATAAAACTTTGAATTTGATAAAATTATATAAATAAAAAGAACTAATCTCAAAATTAAAAAATTCCAGGTTTAAAATTGTGGATTTATATTGCAATTATTGAGGACTTGTAAATTAATTGCGAGTACCATTTTTAATTCATGTTCTTTTTTTCGTCCAAAATTAATATTAAAAATTATTATTAAAAAATGAATTAGTATTATTATTGTATTTTTTATGAAAATTAATGTAATAAAAAAATAATGTTTGTAAATGGAAGAAAGTGGTATGGTATCAGAGTAAAATAATGTAAAATAAGTGAAATGAAAAAATGTATATATTTTGTTTATTTTACTACTATTAACTGCCATTAACTATAATATTGAATGTTCAAAATTTCATGAATAATTCCAATAAGTAAAATATTCAAAATATTCAATAAAGTTTTTACAATAATTATATACACTTTTTCAAAGGAACGTTTTTTATTATAGTTGTAGATAGTTAGTTAATAATAAATATATGTGATTGCTGATATAATAAAAATGCTTAAATTTTTATTAATCGTATAATTCTACATTAATATAATTCTACATTAAAAACATTTACTTGTAAAATTAAATTAAAAATTATTTTTAAAATTAGATTTTAAAATAAATAATTAAATAAATTAAATGAATAAATAAAATTTTAACTATTAGCTTTCTCTTTTAAAATTTTAATGTCATCTTGTAATCTTTCAACTTTTTCCTTTAAAGCTCCCACATGATGTTTAAGCAACTGATCCAATTCTACAATACTAATTCCATTACCACCACTGCCATTACTTTCAAACGTTGTTTTACTTTTAGCTTCAATTTCCCTTTTCCAATCACCTACATCATCGGGATCTGCTTCATAAAATATTAATCCTCTCGTGAGTTCTGATCTTGTTTGAGGAGTCATATTATAACATTCAATTTCTGCAATAAATTCAGCACGAAGTTGTAACCATGCCCTTTTACCATCTTCTTTTGCTTTAACAAAAGTGTCACCCATCAATGCTATTAAGACATTCAAAAGAATTATGGAGGAAAGGAAAAAGAATAAAAGTTTGAAGATTTTGACAACTGGATCATCAGACCATGAATCAATTGCGGACTACATATCACGTTTATAAAAATATAAAAATATAAAATATATAGTAATTAATAAAATAAAAATAATTAATCTAAACACAATAAATAGACTGATTATCAAAAATATTTACCCAATCACCAGCAAGGAACCATATAACAGATAAAGTAGCACTATCATAACGTTTCCAAACATTATCAGCAACCGAATCTGCTTGAAGTGTCAAGATTTCATTCGTTTGCTTTGAAGTAAAGGTCCCGATATAAGTACTTGGTTCAATAGATTTTGCGCTCAAATACGTTACAAATGCATGAGAGAAAGCCCAAATTCTATAAAATAATAAGAAAAATATAAATATATAAATAACAGTAAAAATGTAAAAAAAATCAAAGATATTTGTTAATAGATTTGTTAATATCTTACATAATGGAAAATACAATCATAAACCAAAAGATTTTAATTCCAATTTCTATAAGAATATTTATGAAAATTCCCAAATTTTCAAATATTCTTAATTGAATAACAAAGTGTGTCCATATTAATAAAATTGAGAATGCCTTTAATGAATCGCTAACATTTCCATGTTGCAAAAATAAAAATGATGTGATCAATGGAAGAGAATATACTCCAACGTCAATCCAATTATAAAATCCCTTTAAATAATCTAATGGATACCCGGAAAATTGCCAAAGTTCTCGCGTTAAGAAAAAAATTGCTAAAACTGAAACTAAAATATAAATCCATTTCTGGTTCGCTTCAAGACCAATTGCGAATAAACAATAATATAATATATGGAGCATAAACGAAAATATGAAATATCGACGACCAAATGAATTCCATTTCTAATTTTTATGCAAAATAATAAATAATAATAATAATAATAATAATATGAATAACAGTAATTAAAATTAAAGATTGAAGATTTCTGAATTTCTTTAAACTAGTTATTATTATTATTGTTATTTACCTGATTTAATATAACCTGCATCATTTGTCCTGTATAAAATCCTTGATTATTTTGGAATGCAATTTGGGCAAATACAGACGTTCTTGGTTTAATCCAACGATTATAAAATCCTTTTATTCCAGAATCAAATTCATATTCATTTAATCCTACAAATTATTCAAATTATTCTATATTTGATTATTGTTTATTATCATTAATTTAATAATAAATAAATATCAAACCTGGTAAAGGAATAACACATAATTGAACTGGATGATAATTTCTTTGATAATACATCCTCCAGAAATTATCTATAAGGACAAATGGGTAACCAAGAAGAGTGGTAAATTTCAAAAGAAAATAAGATATCCCATAAATTTCTTTCTTTAAATTTTCATTTAAAGTGAATGAATATAAATTTTCATTAGAACTTCTAACAATAGAATTAAATTCATAGGTGATACTATTTTTATTATCAAGTGGAAAAGTATTTGGAATAAACATAAGTTTATTAACCATCATTTGCACAAAGTCTGGATATTCCACACACAAGGTTGGTAAAGTTGGAATTATTGTTTGCATCCATCCTGGTTCTTTGGTTGCATTATCTATGTAGTATTTAATTAATAATTCAATTAAATGTGTTTGACGATATTCGATGGCTAAAGATAATGATGATTTCTTTGTTCCATTTATTTCATCATAATAAAATCTAGGAATATATTTTTTATTTTCTAAAATTATTTCAACCAGCTAAAAAAATAAATTATAATAAAATATATAATAAAAAAAAATAGATTAATTATTATTTAGACCATTATGGAAATAATTACAATAATCACCGAAAAAAAAGAAAGGTAAAATATTAAATTCTTACATCATCGCATCCCGCAACTACTAAGTTTGACACTGGAGATTCATTAAGATGAATATGATTAAAATAATCAAAATCCTTTATTTTTTTTTTGATTTCTTCTTTTACTAATTTCAAAGTTTCTTTCAACCAACTAACCCATAATTTCATCGTATTTTCGGTTACATTGAAAGGTATTTGTCGTGAATTTGATGTGTATTTTGCTAAGAATTTACAGAAATGTAACATTGTTTCATAGTCATGAGTCTCATCATGATTTGGAAGTCGAATTTTAATTTTATAATTTTCGTTTTCTGTAGTAACAATTATATAATCACTTATAATATTTTCATCATTTTCATCTTCGTAATGACAATGTTCTATCTTTATTATCTCATCATCAGGATCACATATCCAAAGAAATAAAAGTTGCTTATTTTCAGTATTGTAAAGTTGAATGGTATGCTTTCCAATGATAACAACACGTTCTGCATTATTCAAAAAGAATACGGAAAGTCCATCTTCTTCATTCCACGGTTCAACATTGATATTAAATTTATTTTCTCCTTTTTGAAATTCAAAAATACCACGTACTGAATTCCACATTATATATTCATTCATATAAATATCACTGTAAGGTCGATATCCAATAAGACTTGTTTTATAGTTACATTCTTTTTCGCCAAAATTATAAATTTTTACTTTATTTTTTTTGCACTTGGCAAACAATCCTCCAAGAACATCCCGAAATGCAAATTTTTGACGTGAAAGAGGGAGTTTTCGTAAAAATTGACCATTATAAACATCCATAATCCATATATGACCGCCCCCTGACTCAACAACAATTCTCGTATTATCAAGAAATCCGTGAATTTTTGCAAATGTGTCAATATTTGATATCATTGGGAGTTTAAGCTTAAGACCATTTTCCATTAAATAAATTTGGAGAATACCAGCTCTATCAACTACTCCTAATAGTTTTGAGTCTGAAGAAACAGCGAATGTCGTGAATAAATCATCTGTATATTTTTCTGGGATCTTTTCTGACGTGAATTTCATTTTTATGTGACCTAATTTAAATAATTTAAATAATTTAATTAATTTAATTAATTTAATAATTTAATTTTAATAAATTCAAAAATTAAAAAACAAAAAAAAAAACAAAATGGATTTAAAAGTTATATACCAGTTTTAACATCAAAAGCGGTCAAAATTCCTGGACTTTCTTCAGCAATAAGTAAATCATTTTGTAACATTGATTGAATGACCTATTGAAAATAAAAATATTTCGTCGAAATTAATTTTATTATTAATAACAAAAACATTATTATTATTTTTTTTTTTATAAAGATTTCGTTACCATGCTCTCCACAACAGTAGTCTCATAATAACTTCTCACATTTTTTGTTACGTCTTTTAGGTCAAGTCTAAGAAAGAAATTTTTAATTAGATGAATTCATTAATGAATATATTATAACAGTCTTAATTATATAATTAAAAAAAATTTACTTATGCTTCAGTTTACAGTGATCCACATGAACAGTATAATAAGAGAGCGAATTGTTATCATATATTACTAAATCAGTGTTGGGCAAGAACGAAACCACACCAGTAATTATTTTAAAATTTTCATGTTGAATAGGCTTATTTTGATTTGCTCTTAATACAAGGCATCGAGCTTCATAATTTTCATTCTTGAGTTTAAAAGGATCTTCTATCGAAAAATTATCTTCGGTTTGTGACATGACAAAAAAACTTAAAGCTATGTGACCATTATTTGAGACAGACAAACAAACATGTTTTGCATGATTTTGATTACGTATGAAATATACATCTTTCGGTCGACAAATTTCCCAAGAATAAAGCCATTCTAAAGATTGACCATCTACAATTTTCCATATGCATAATATACCATCTCCTTCACTATAAGTACCCACATATTGTCCATTATGACTTATTTTAACATGTTGAATGTCTTTGGTGTGATGAAGAATCTTTTTTTCGTAGAATTCATCATCGATGTTTAAATATTCATGAGTCTTAATTTGGAGATGACTGAAAAATAGTGGAGTTAATGGAGTTGATGGATTGGTTCCATCATGTTGTGTTGATGCAAAGTTTATAATTTCGTCTAATTTTTGAACCTAAATAAATTTAAATAATTTAAATAATTTAAATAATTTAAATAATTGAAATAATAAATAAATAAATATTTACTCTTGGTTCTTGAGTTTCATCGCAACGAAAGAATAATCCATTAGTACCATTAAACCTTGCCGGCCTACATTTAAACGAAAAATGGTTAATAAAATTCTTATATATATATATAAGATCATGTGAAAAAAATATAATTACCATGGAGACAATACTCTTTGAACGCGATTAACCATTTCGTTTTTCAACACATCATAAACCAACATCCACACATTTCCATTACTTTCATTTCTTCCACAGATTAATAATTTCAAATTCTTTTTATTTTCATTGATATTATCTGCATCTCTTTCAATATCCAATATAACACTTAAATTATCATTTAAGTTTTCGTATTCGACAAATGAAACAAATGCAGTACTTTGTGGGTCATCTCCGATATCGTTTTTAAAATTTCTTTCAAATAATTTGGTTTTCGTGTCAAGTGCATAAACCATTACCATATCATTTGTTCCAACCAATGCGAGATGATTATTATTTTTAGAAAGGGCATGAGCATATTGTGTTTCTGGAGAATATTGAATTTCAATTTCTTGAAAGGTTTTAGCATCATTAAGATTGATTATATGTACAAGATTGGAATTTTCAGTCCAGATTAAAAAGTCACTTTCAATCGATTTTTCCTAGTAATTATTCAATTATTGAGTGATTTATAATTGTGTAAATTATTGTGTGTATGAGACATTAATCGATCGAATCTAAAGAAATTTATATCTATATTTATATAACCTACCAGTACATAAGATTGAGCATTCAATTCTAATTCTTTCAAGGTTCGTTTAAACGGAATATCTATCTCATAAATTTTTTCCCAATTTAAAGTGTTAAAAACCTTCAAATTTTTATCATCTAATATAGCTAATCGGTCACCTCCACTTAAAAACCTAACAAACCCTCGAGTATTTTCATCAAAATTATCTGGACTAAATCCCTTTGTTAATTCTTGTTGTTCACTTCCAATTTTTTCGATCTTATCTTTATTACGTTTGTCATTACTAAAATTAATTATCAAAGTATGATGTTTGGTGTTATTTTTTTTGTTAATAATGAACAGATCTCGACGACTTTTTTTATTGGGTGAAGATAAGGAGAAATATGAAACTGCAACTAAACGAGAATTAGATACAGCAAGTGTAATATTTTCATTTGATTCTAAATCTGGAAAATCGATAGGAAATGCTCGCCAGAGAATTAATTTAGGTTCCATATTTGATGAATTGCTGACTTTCCAAAGCCCTACAGCTGTCCCTTCAACTGTGGCAAACCATTCTCCATCAGGAGATTCCGCAACTTTTGTAAATATTTTAATTAAAATCAAGTTAATTAATGCGCATACACCGACATTATCATAAACAATTTTTAGTTTACCTTCTGCAATTTTATCAGCATGTGGAGTATGAGTCAATAATCCAACTTCGATATCGTTATGAATTGACCTTTTCCCCTTAAAATTAAAATTCATATTGGGAGATAAATACGGACTTGTAGACGCTGACATTGTTGACATTTTTTTTAAATAAAGAAAAAACTTTTTTTTTTAAAACGAGGTCAATAAATAATGAAAAATTGTGGTCACGTTATTTTTGTTTTAAGGATTGTTTTTAAATGAAATAATTGTGATTTTAAAATTAATTCATTATAAATAAGGTAACAACATTCTGAACTCTAAATTACATAATGAAAAAGAATGATTTGATAAACTCAAACCGCGCTGACTCCTTAAAAAAAGTTACCATTATGAGATCAAAGAAATTTTTCATATTCTTTATATTTATGCATACATTGTTTGTTTCTTATAAGTACAAATTTATATATTTGGGTTTAATGGACAAATGGATAATATTAATTATAGCAACATTATTGGGAAATTTATCAATAATAAATAATCTCTTTATTTTATATTCTTCCAATTGCATTCACAATGAATTACAATGAAAAAAAAATGGTAATCTTTACGAATAATATCAAATTTTTTTTTTAATTTTAAGTCACTGTGCGACTAATACGTAAAAGGAAACATTCCAATTATGCCTATATTTGATTTAAAAAAAAATATGTAAAAACCAGTTTTGACAATAATAAATAATCTTTTTATTTTTATATTCTTCCAATTCTAAAATCTTGAAACAATTTAGATCTTACCACCAAGATTCATTGCATTGAATTTGCATTTGCAATGAATCACAATGAAAAAAAATGGTAATCTTTTACGAATAATATCAAGAATTTTTTGAATTTTTTTTTTTTTTTTTGAATTTTAAGTCACGATGTAAATAATACGAAAAAGGAAACATTCCAATTATGCCTATATTTAATTTGATTTTTTTTTAAAAAAATATGTAAAAACCAGTTTTGTAATACGTAATACTTGGAATAAACAAATATAAACAATTAATATAGTTTCCAATTAATGCATGCCAAAAATATATGAATAATCACGCCATTCAAGAACGAGAGTCACGTGGTATATAAAAATGAGGAGCGTGAATTAGAGGGATTTAAAGGTGATACAAAAATATTAACGCTACGCATCCAATTAGTTTAATAGCTCCCGCATTTAATCACAATCACCGCGTTTAACCAAAATAATATCTTGTTGTCAAAGGTTTGTACACGAGGATCCATCGAAATTTATAAAGCTGGTGATTGTCATGCTTTAGAAGAAACAACAAATGCCAATGGTCCCAAAGAGATGACCTAAACATTCAGGAGATTGAAATATGAGAATCCGTGCTCAATTCAGAAATAAATCTCTAAACCTTGATGTTTCCAAGTGGAGCAATGAAGATATGAAATCATTAGGTAGAAATTTATTCCTCATATTAAATTTTACAATATTTCCGGAGAAGACTATAGAAAAAGAATCCGTTATCTTACAGTAGATTCTTCCTAAAGAACTTATGGAAGAAATCAAAAACTATTTCTTTACCGACCTTTCTCCACAAAAATTCGCTAGACTCCAAAACGAAATATTCGTGAAGCCATTTTTGATTCTAAGTTGCTCAACGTGAAATCATTTGCAGCATGGATTGTAATAAAAATTACTAATTCGAATAAATTGTTGGGCGGATAAAATCCGATTGATTGGAAATCTCTTACAGATAGAAAATATAGGTCTTAAACTTGAATCCGACATCTTTATCACAAGTCAAACATAATAAAACGGCTATCTGGCGAGAATTAATTCAGTGGTTTGCCGGAAAATATATTACAAAAATCAATTATAGAAAGAGAGTCGTTTCTTTAACTGTATTTAAAGTAATTAAAGAATCTAATATTAATACCTCGGGATAATAAGGCGAGTCTAATCGAAAGGTGAAGAGGATATTTAGAATTAAAAGAACAAAAGGATGTGGAAATCAATAATTGTATATGTAAATTTTTATTTATTTGCTTATAATTTTTTTTTATGTCACTAAAAGTTCTCTTCGTCATCATAAATTAAATCTTGTTAACGTTTTGATAAATAAAATGAGATTATACATGAAACTTGATAAATAAATTATTAATGTTTAATTTAAATACTTTGAATTATTTTTATTTATTGATAAAAGAAGAGCTTTTAAATATCTTTAACTTAGAAATTATTCTCTCTGCATTCGAGTTGAATCCTTTTCAAAGGTAAATTGGTGTTATTATTGTGGTTTGTTAAATATTAAATCAAACAAAATATATTTTATTATATTTATTATATTTTGTATATTATATATATATATATTTAATATATTTTATTTTTAAAAGGAGATAATTGTGGTGATGCTCTTTTTGAATTTTAAAAATATCTCTAATAGTATCTTGAATACAAATCGAAGCAGTACTTTATCATCCTGTTAATAAGAAGAAATAAAAAGAATATACTATTTTATTATTTCTATCCTATTCTAGAAAAAATTTAATATAATTATACTATATTCAATTAATCAATTTCAAAATATAAACTTTGGAAATAGATATTTGTTTCGAATTGTTTTTGTTTTTGTTTTTAATTTACCTACTGACCAGATGGGATGCAATACATCAAAATAGGCTACACTAAGCATTGCTAAGTATGACTACTATTTCTCCGGAGAGATCTAAGGCTCCATCAAGCAACGCCTAAAAAAAGATTCCTTGAGTTCCATTTTAATTTCAATCCACTATAGATTTACAATCCTGACAGTTGTACACCTCAAACTCACCAATATTTTGAAAATTTCCACAAAAACCACATGTTTTGGAGGTGTAGGCTTTATTTTGAATAATAATATGGACTCCTAATTCTTGGGCCTTGGAGATTAGACATTTATGGAAATGGTAATATGCTCAATGGAGATGGAAATGGTAATATGCTCAATAGAGTATTTTCTGGACAGTCTTTCTTGTGATTTTTCTTGTTTCACGATTTATCATATTTGATATCTCAATGATAATAGTATCAAATTCACAGGTAAAAAATGCAACTGATTTTTTATGAATTTCATTTTGTAAATGTACAGTATAATTTTACAATATACTGTATGTATGAGACTGCTTTTTCAATTTGTAAGGTCTTGTACTTCTTACATTTTGAGATAGAAGCAGTTAGTTTCTTTTTTTTTTTTTGAAATAAAAATATTCATATATTTGCAAAGATGAACAATTCATGTTTTCCAATTTTACCTATATTTTTTGTAGATAAGTACCAAGTAAAAGGTATATAAATATCAGAAAAAACTTTCTATTCATTGGTTTTTGAGAATAAGTCAATTTGCCATTATATAAAACTTTGTGTGAATTAAGTTACTTGATATTTTGACAGTTTGTTTATGTTATAAAACACGTTTATCAAATTTATAATAGATTTATGTTGATGTGTATAGCTATATATTGATAAATGTGAAAAGAAGTAATATAAAAATGATTTCAACAAGATAAACTGTAATAGTGTGATGTTTGTCTTTCTGTGACTGAAAAAAAAGAAAATGTATTAATGCACTTTATTTTTGCTGTGCATTTTGTTTAATGATTTCATCTTGTGCAATTATATTAGCAAGAACTAAGCTTAAACAATCTCATAAAAGCATGTTTAAACGAATAATAGCTCCACAAAATTTTTGTAATCCCAAAGGGCTAAATTATCACCAAAGAGAAGATGTTTTTGTTGGGTGGACATTTTAACCATATTTTTTTTATAATATCACCTTGTTTCTTTTAATTTTATTTTATCCTAATGCTATATTAAAAACAAATCTGACTAACCCTATCCATTGTTTCAAAAGTTGATTCTGAGGGTGATTTGTATATACTTTAATTAATAGTATACAATTAAGAGTGTCTTTTGTTTTTTGATATTTGTTACAAGCTATTATTGTTTCCTTTTACACTTTTTGGTTCCTATACTTGGTTTTGTATCTAACTCAGATTAAGACAGTGTAGAAAGGTTAAAGGCAAAGTGGTAGAGATGGTTAGTAACCACTAGTGCTCTTAACAAGTTGATCCCAAATCAAAAGAATCAGAATTTCATATGAAATTTAATATATGAGTTACAACCCGTTATGTTTTTTTTAATAATATTCGAGTCATATGCAAGTTAATGAGTCAACTCATTTGGAGCTCTAGTGACCGCAATCTCCGAGACAAGATCTCTACTTGAGTATTCCAGTAAGGTTTTAAGTTTTGAGGGTGAGAATGGTGGTGGAGGTAGAGGTGAAATTGTAATTTTTTGAAGTTAATTTTTTTTTAAAAAAAAAAGAAGAGATATCATAAAGATGAGTGCTAGTAATTTTATAAAAGTTTGAAATTGCATATACTTTCTTCCTCACCTCAAAAATCTTCCTTTATTAACAAACTTTTCAGTCTAGTATTATCATCTAAATAACGTAATTTGCTCAAAAACAAATATCTTGAATTTATTATATTATTATTTGCAATTATTAACAAAAATATAATCTAAATAAAATCTTGAATTTCAGATTTGTATGGTTTATTGTAATTTATCAATATAGTAAGTTACAATATGTATTCTTTTATTTTTTAATTAACTTAATTGAAATGAACGAAATCTTTTAAATTTTAATATAAAATTATATCACTCGCACTCTTAACAGTTAATAAATTCATTCAAACTTGCACACCTTAACTAAATATTTTACTTTAATCAAAAGAATCCGGGGGAAAATTTGGTTATTTTAAGCAAACTATTTGATACAATACTTTTAAATTTTTCACATTCCCCACAACTTCTTCATATAGATGATGGAGATATAACAGACGGAAACTGGATACGTGACAATTTAGGAATACTCAGCAGATATTATATTAAACAACAATAGATATAATAAGTTTCTTGAATAAAATTATTTAAATTAACATTTAACATATTTCAAAAGAATTTTATTATCTATACAGTAAATAGTAGTCATACTTAGCAATTCTTAGTATGCCTATTATTGATGTAATTACAACTCATTCGATAAAGACTTTTTTAAGTTTCCCCCCTTTTTGTTTTTTTTATCTGCGAATTGTTCGATTGGTTACTTCATTAACTTATGAAAAAAAAAAATTTTTAAGTTTTTGTGAGACATCTATGAACAAGATTTATGTGAGAAGATTCTATTAAGATAATTTTTTTTTATATTATTTAACCAATAAAAGAAACAGACAATGGGATTCCTTTTTATAATTAAAAAAAAAAAAATTTAATAAAAAATTTTAACGAATAAAGAATAATAACGAATTTATCAAACAGATACCAAACAAAGGAAGCGACAATAAGATTTTGATTCACACGTTTAAGAGTATAAATAATCCAGTAATCCTGTATTTAGCAATTATATTTAAATCTCAGATTTGTAATATAATATAATATATACATTTATTATTATTATTATTTATTATTCTATGAAATTACCTACTTCAATATTTGTCAAATATGGATAAGAGTATGATAATTCTAAACAAGTATCATTTAAATGATACTAAGAATTTATCTCGAATTTGTCTAGAATTTATCTAGAATTTATCTTATGATTTCTTCTTCTCCCTTTCCTCTTCTGTTTCCCTACTTCCCTCTGTGCTTTCTGTATTTTCATTCTGTACTTCTTCTATTTCTTCTATATCTTCCTACATTTATTATAATATAAAATAAAATATCACCCAGAATCGGAAATCGAGAATCGCAGAATAGAACAAAAAAACAAAGTATCAAATATTATAAATATTATCAAAAGAATTTAATTTTTCTGGTAAAGGAAAATATGATACAATGATTGTGGTCTCAAATTAAGTAATGTTTTTGAAAATATTTTCTTCATGATCTACACTTTTTTGGTAAACGATATTTCGAAATAATAAATAAAAATAATAAATAAATAATAAATGAATAATAAAAAATAAATGAATAATAAATAAAATAATTGCATTTATCAGAATTAAAAAAAAAAATTCATAATTATAAAAATCCATATAAAAACCTTCTTTGAAAACCCTACTTTTTTTTCGAATTTTAATTCTAATTAATATATTTTAAACATTTAACTAGCTCATTCTCTACTATTGTCACGATTAAAATAGGTTAAAATATTAAAATTCTTAATAAAATTCCTTCAATCATCTCACATTCTCATATAATTGAAATTATGAATTATTCCAAAAACTTTATTCATTATAAAGTTCAAATGATCAAATAAACCATTTTCTTTTTTTTAAAATATAGATTAAATAATATTAGTTATTAAAAAAACTTAAGTTTAAAATTCTTGAATCTAATCAAGAAACTTTAAAGATTATTATTGTATTGATTGATTAACAAATATCCTTATAATATCCTTAATATCTTTAATATCTTTAATATCCACAATATCATTAATATCTTTAATATTTTTAATACCCTTGATATTTTTAATATCTTTTAATACCTTTAATATCTTTTAATATCTTTTTAATATCATTAATATTTAATATCTTTATAATATCTTTAAGAATGGATATATAATAAACCTTTAATAATCTTTTGTTTATTTCTTTCGCACACAATCGTCGCAGCAAATTCGCAATTTGCAAAATCAAATATATATTTGAAAATTATTATTCAAATATATCATCATATCATGTAAATTATCAATGCATTTTTAATATTCTCCCTTAATTCAGTGTAGCATATTTCCATATTCATAATAGTACGGGTTAAATGAAGTCAAAAAAAAAAAACCTGTTTTGACTTAAATTTTTAATTCTACGAAAATTTCAATTCTACAAATATTTTATTTTCCTAAGCATTTTTTTTTTTTTAAAAAAAAAATTTCTTTTCAACAACATTATGAGCAATAATCATTTTAATAGTTTCAGCATCAAATGTTATCATTCATTCCTCATCATCATCCTATTTAAGTACTAATTAAAATTTAAACAAAAAAAAAAACTTTATTGTAGTAATCATATTATCACTATTTTAAATTAAATCACAAAGCTTTATTCTTTCTTCTACAATATATAATACATAGCATAGTTCAAGAAATAATTCTCAATTGTCATATTAAAGATGTTTTACAAAGAACATGAACATTTTGTATTATATATACACAACTGAAACAAACTATATGTTATTGAAGAAGATTGAAGAATTTAATGATCTGACGTATCACGCGTTTAATGTAAATAATGTAAATAATGATCTGATCCGCTTATAACCTTTGATATTTTCACTTCATTTTTGTGCATTTTTTTTTTATTACAAAAATAACAAAAATATCAAAATTATCATGATTTGTATCATTTTATTTTTACAAAAAAAAAAATTGGTCATATTAAAACTTATGATGTCTTTAGCAAAACAACAAAAAAGTTTTTATTTTATTAGTATTATTAGTATTATTATTTTCCAAGAAAATATTTCACAACTTCTTCTCTATGCACTTTGTTATTGCAATTAATAAATATGATAAAACCAAAATTAAGTAAAAAAATCAAACCTATTTATTTGATCTTAATTATCTTAATTATAAAATAATTATAAATGATTACATTTTATGATAACATAAAATTTAATTACATTTAGATAATTATTTATTGAGAGAGAATTTTTATTTATACAAATTGTTTGCTTTATTAATATGACTTTTTAATTTTCCAGTAAAACCACTCCATATTTTTGTTTTATAATTTTTTGTCACTATTCCATCATTTCCATTACTATTATTATTACGATTACGATTGTTGTTACTGATATTACGATTTCTATTAGGACCATTATGACCATTACTATTAGTTACATTTAAATTTGTTTCGTCATTTTCAGAATCATTTAATCCTGGAAGATTCTCTTTCAAACATTTTAATATCTTAAATCTTTCATATCTATCAATACAAAGATGCAAAATGTAAATGTAAATATTAAATGTAAATAACAAATGTAAATCTAAAAATGTAAATAAAAATACCTTTTTGCAAAAACAGAAGCATTAGGAAAATTTGAATCTTTCGGTATAGTTTCGGCTCCATTATTAATTAATAATTTACAATATAAAGGATCATCACACATTACAATTAAAGCAAATAATATATTCGGTAATTTCTGTCTAGTAGAATGTTGTTGCGTTGCTGTTGAAGAATAAGAAGAGGATAATGATGTAAAATCACTTTCACTTGAAGATGAATCTTTATGATTATGAAAGATTGCATGTGTTGTATGAGATGAAGAAGAGGAAGGTTGATCTATTCTTATTTGATCTCTTGATGATGATGATGATTTAGATTTCGGTTGAGGTATTTTAACATTAGGATTTGCACCTTTTTCTAATAGAGCTTTAACTTGTTCTAATGGAGGAGGTATTCCTAATTTCAATTGTTCTCTAAATAATCTTTTTAGTGTAGAATTCAATTCTTCTTGAGAAATTTTTCTTGGTAAGGATGGTTGTGCTATAAATTCAGGTTGAGGTGGTACTAATTTGCTAACCAAATCACGCAAGATTGCACCGCGTGCTCTTAGAAATGGGTCAAGTAATTTTGGGGCTTTACATGCAGCATTAGATCCATTTATGACTAAATAAAAAAAAATAAGAAAAATAAAAATAAAATAAATTTAAAAAGAATTTGAAGCAAATAATAATAATAATAATAATAATAATGATGATGATGATGATGATAATAATAATAATAATAATACATATTTGTAAATAAATGAAAAGAAGAAACCAAGAGAGGAATGAATGATTACCAGTAGCAACCAAAAATTTCTTTAATTCCACCGGATCATCAAAAATCGGAGGTTCAGGTAGTGCAGGGCCAAAATGTGGAACCCCATCTTTGCATACAATATCCACTCTGAAATAATAAAAACAAATTAATTTTTTTTTAATTTATATATTTCGGTAAAATGAAAAAAAAAAAATAAATTAAATTAAATTACTAACCGAAAAGAAGTTTTATTCATACTAATCCGTACGGGACTTACCACAACATAAACATGTAAAAGTTGTGAACGTATTGAATAAGGATCAAATGGTTTATAAACATCTTGAAATACTATACAAATAACGTCTAAATAAAAATACAAAATAAATCATTAATGAATTTAAAAAATTTATTCTTTTTAAAGAATGACTTACCATTTCCTATGTGTCGTTTCCTGGTTATTTGATGCCTATCAGATTTTTCATATGGTATCAATGTGCACACGTGATACATTATCTGAAAATCTTTCAAAGTTTCATCATCGTAAATAGAATATTCTCCAGTTCCATTATTACAAGTATCTAAACCACCCGAGAATCCTTTAAATCCAAATAATCTAACTTTGTTGCCCAAAATTTCTAAAAAATTTTCATAAATCGGTGATGTAGTTGTGTTCGAAAACCATTCTTCTTCTAATTGTTGAGACGAAGCACAATATAATACTCCTATTTTATAACATTTTTTAAGCTATTGATAAAATATTTTCAAGTCAATTTAAATTAATAATTGTAAATAATAATTAATATTATTAAAAATAAAATATTAATATATTATTATTATCATCATCATCATTATTATTATTATTATTATTATTATTATTATAATTACTTTTGTTTCATCCAATTTTAATAATTGATCTGTTAATTCAGGTGTAGATAAAAATTTTTTTAATTTTTGTTGATCAAAATCTTTTGAAATTATTTGTAATAATTCTTTTGTCGGTAAATCTCCAGTAGAAGATATTGGTGGTCCAGCGATTAAACCTCTATTATCAGGTAACTAATTAATAATATAATTAATCTTTGAATCTTTATAATATATTAAATAATATGTTACATAATATATATAATATATAATAAATATAATGTTTAACCAAAAAATACCTCTTTTTTTCGCATAATATATCTATACCAATATACTTCTTCTTTACTAGTATTGACTTTTGTTTTATTATCAAATATTATTGAGATAATAATTGGTTCATGTGGTTCTAGAAATCCTAAATATGTTATATGTTCTTGTTATTTATAAATGAATGTTTAGAGTTAATGTTTATTATTTATATTATTTTGATTTATTTAAAGAGATTATAATTATTTAATATCATTTATTAATTAGAGAAAAAAAAACAGTTTAATGATAATGAGAATAAAAAAAAAATTAATTAATTAAAATGTTAATAATATATATATTTATTTATTTTTTTTTTTTTTTTTATAAAAATGTAATAATAATAAAATTATCTATTAATTTTACCTTTTTCTACGAAATATCTTCGATACCAATTCGCATCTAAATCCGAATGTTCTATTTGATAATAATTATTTGTTGAACTTTGTAGACAATCGTTTGAAGAATATTTTGCTGCTATTGGAAGTTCGAACTATAATAATAATAAAATAATGAGAATATTTTTTTCCATAATTTTTAAATATTTTTTACATTTACGTTGTTTTTTATTACCTGTGAATTGACTGGCGAATTAATTGGTGAATTTATTGGTGAATGAATCGGTGAATTAACCGTTGAATTTTGTGATAAAACTCTAGAAATCCCATTTGTGATCCGATTAGAACGATCATTCGAAAAGATAGATGAAAATAACGAATGTGAAGTTTTCGTCATTTCATAAAGCTTATATAGATTATATAGATTATATAGGTTATATCTATTTTTTATTCCTTTATTCTTTTTTGATGCTTTAGTATTTTTTTTTTTACTCTATTTTTTATGTTAAGGGAAATTTTTTTGTTTTTTTTAAGAGGATGAATTTTTTTTTTTCAAAAGGTTATTATACTAAAAAAGAGGACACGAGGGATTCTTTGTTGAATGGATTATTTTATGAATGAACTTTTTTTCTAAAAAAAGAAAATTTGGAATATTTTATTGTTTTAAAAACCAGTACAGTCAAGTTTATTTGTATAGAAAACAACTAAACATGACATGATAAAACTTTATGTGTGAAACATTAAACAAAGAAAAACATCAAATTATATATTATAATCGTTATATTTGTCCGTTATTATTATACGTATTTATTCGTTATTATTATATTTTTTCGTTATTATTATATTTTTTCGTTATTATTATATTTGTTATGTGAAAAAAAAGAAAGAAAAGAATGGAAAAGAATGGAAAAAGAGAATAATTACGACGATAATAAAATTAATATATGATAATGTACTTTAAATAGTTTATGTAAAAAACAAAACAAAGAAATTAAAATAATTATATGATTTTTTATTATTGTATCTTTTTATGAAAATCATGCATAAAGGCGGTTATTGTCTGCAGTAATAAAAAAAAACAAAATTTCCGTGATTTATGTATACTTTTCCGCGCCACCAAAATTCTATCAAATCATGAATTTCTAATAATTCATATAATTTAATGAGTAATTTCTCTATAAAAGAACAGAAAAACGTATCTCATTTGCATTCTCAAAATTCGTGATTTTATATAACGTAAAATACATAAAATACAATCAATTTATAAAGTACAGAAAAATATTGTTGATATTTATTATTACAACACAGCATCTCTTCTTTTTTTGGAGTTAAATAATAATTGATCGCTCGAAAAGTTTCAGATTTAATTGTTCAAGAATCCGAAGCTAGAAAAATAGCTGATTAAATATAAATATCCTAAATACCATAAATATCATAAATACCATAAATACTATAAATACCATAAATACCATAAATACCATAAATACCATAAATACCATAAATATTAAATATTTTAAGTACGTATCATAAATATTTAAATGCGCACGTGAAATTTTAGTTCACAAAAAAGGTTTAATTTAAAAATAAACCAACCATAGACATTTCAAAAATGTTTTGATTTCACAAAATATTTAATCAATTCTTTTTAGCAGAACTTAGCATTCCGATTCGATGTGGCGTTGATATTATGCAGTGAGACATTAAATAAATATTTATATTATATATTGCTTTATATAAGATTGCTTAACAATTTGTTACATGAAACATAATTACGCGTAATTTCGAAACTTGTGAAGCTGTTGTACTGCGATTATTCTTAAAATGTTAACAAATATGATAAATAAGATATTATTATTAGAATATTGGGATACAAAACATATATAAAATATATCATGTATTAATGGTCATTCAAAAAAAAAAAAAATTTTTTTTTAATTGTATCATCGTCTTCGTTTCGTGAATTTTGAAATAAATGAATAAATAAATAAATTTTTTTTTTAAATAATAAATAAATATATTTATTCTTTTTAAACAAGAAAAAAAATGTTTATCGATGATCTATTTGGAAAATATCGGAAAACTGAACCAACTAGACTTTTGTTACTTAGAGCATTTATCGTCATTGTATTAGTGGCAGGTCTAACGGGATATATTACAGCGCTTATTATAGAAATAGCAAATGAAACTCCAACCGTTAAAGTTACATCCACAGTAGAAGATAATCTTCCAATACCTGGTATTAATCTTGTGAATTCTTATGAAATTCCTGCGTTTCTAAATTCTTATTAATTTTTGTTAATTATTATTTTCTTTTAAAAATGACGAATAGATGCTATACTCACAATGACTTCAGCGTTTACTATATCATGTGCAATTAAGAGTAAGTTATTATTCGATAATTAATAAATTATTTAATAATTTTTATATCAAAAAAAAAAAAATAATAATAATTGAGATTATTATTAAAAATAGAAAACGATGGTTCAACGGAGAATTGTGATGGTTCTCTTTCTCAACCAGTTGAAAAAAACGGGAAATATTACGGTTCATTCAAAGGAAATAATGAATATTATTTTATACCTAAGAGAAAAGACCCTAGTGCAATTCTTTCGTTTGAGTTTACTTTAACGGCAAGTAATTATGATGGTAATAATGGGGAAGTAACACTTATTGATCCTGGTATGTGTGGCTATTATTTATATCATTCATTTTTTTTTGATATTATTATTCCTCTTTAATAAATATTATTCTTTGAATTTATAATTTATCATATATTTATTTATTTATATATTTTATATTTTGCAGAAAAAAATCCAATTAATGTCGAATTGGCTAGTGAAGTAACTGATGAAATGTTACAAACGCTTGACGTAACTACGCAAGAAATTTTAAGAACTAATTTGTATTATTTGGCAAATAATGCGGTAAATTTTAAATCGAATTTCATCCAAATTTTTCATCCAAATTCAAATTATTTATATTATATGTATATTAAATTTTATTTAGAGAACAAATATAAAATTTTCTCGTAATATTAAAGAAACAATTAAAAAAAAATTTACTGATATCCTCGGAGCGTCAACAGAATTAGAACGACGACCTTTTATCACATCAAATTTACGTAAGTAATATTTTAAAATTATTTAATTAACTTATTACTTAAATTTATTAATTAAATTTCTTAATTAATTATTTTTAGAATATCTTCCACTCACCACGGGTTCTTCAAGTAATTATATGGGAATCGTTGTAGTTGAACCACAAAATTATATAGTTGAAACAAAGACTGAAATAAGGTGAGAATTAAAATTTTTATATTTATTAAATATTTATTAAATATTTATTAAATATATATTTATTTATTTATTTATTTTGTCGATTTTCTAATTCAATTTTTTTTTTTTTTATAATATTTTTTTTTCTAGGCAACGAACAGTAAGTCTTATGAATTTTAATTATCACTTTTTCTTTTTATACCCATAAATGGTAAAACCTAATAAACTACTTGCATTATTTAGATATTAACAGCTTTAGGTGTAATGGGAGGTGCATGGTCACTTTCTATAGCCCTTTACAGTCTATTTTTCGGTAAAGTCCTTTTTAATAATAACCATAAAAAATATAGATACATATTCATAATATTTATAAATTTATATTCTATTTTATAGGAAGCGATACGATTCGACCATTTGGTTGCGTACAATGTCTTCCATGCATAAAAAGTGCATCACGAAAAAAATTAAGGGATAGATTACGTATAATTCCACTTGTAGATGAAAAATATAATTTCCAAAATACTGATGATGTAAAACTTCGTATTGATGCATTGGAAGTTTTTTTAAGAGAATATGTAGTAGATGCTGGTGTTTTGAATGAAATGGCAAAATCTGAGAGTAATGGTCATGGTCATGGTCAAAGTCAAAGTCAAGGTCAAGGTCATCAAAATCAACCGTTAAATACACCTTATTCTAATACTAATACTCATAGTTATATAGCTCCATCACAAACACAATACACTTATTCATAGGATTATAGATTATTATTATAGAACGAACAATCTTTTTTTTTTTTTTTTTTTTTTTTGTACATTTTTAGCATAATTTATTTAATTAATTTAATAATAATAATAATTAAATATAGTATACATCATATTATATATCATATTATACATATTCATATATTATAAATATTATAAACATATGTTATACAAAAATTAAAATAAAATGAAATTTTTTAAGTAAATCTATCAAACAAATTTCTTCCCACAACAACATCCCTCTTAATTATTACATGATGTCTTGATCTTTCAAATGCTATTTTAATTCGAATTTCATTTCTAACGGTAATATATTTAGTTTTACAAGTAGGCATAACATCATTTGGTATATTCACTATTACATTTGTTTCAAATATTGTATCTGGTCCCATTGGAATCATCATTATATCTTTTCCGTGTACTTTATTTTTTTGATGACATTTACGTTCATTTGTATCGTCACGATTTTCTACTGCATAACTCATATATGTTTTTAAACATGAATTAATTTTATGAATTCTTAATTCAGGATTATGTGAAGTTAATCTTAATTTTATAACTATTTCAGAATTTACGTTAACAAATGTTTGAGGTAAAATTGCTTGCCAAGAAAGAGGTACTTTACGATCACGTGAATTAGATTTCAATACTAATGGTCTCAAATCTTGTTCCTCAGGTATTATCCATCTACGAATTGGTACCAAAACTTTAACGTAAGTTGATTTCTTTTTAGCAACACCAATTGCTGCTTTAAGTGTATATTGAATTTTACCATGATGTGAAGTAAGTGATTCAAATGCATCACCAGGTATCTTAAATTCAAATGGTAAATCTAAATCTGTAATAGGTTCATGTCCTATCGCTGAAGTTGTTTTCCAAAGATAAATACTCTCTTTTACAATAATTTTTTCGGCACGCGTTTTTTTGAGATCTGATAAATCAACAAATTCAACAACTTCTCGTCCAATGAATGTTAAAGAAATATTTTTTGCTTCTATTGAAGTAGGAAATCGTACATGAAGTGTACCAGAGACGGTAGATTTACCTATACCAAGAAATCCTAATTGAAATGAAGGATTCTCGGGTTCATATGAAAAGAAAATTCGATGATTCGCACGAATATAATCTGAGAGTAAAGGTGTAGATACTGCGTCAAATGACATTTTTTTAGATTTTTTAAATATATATATATATTTTAATTTATGTTTTTCTTCCTTTTTTTTTTTTTTTTATGGTGAAATTAAGAACGATGATGCGTACTTTTATGTGGTGAAATCAAGAACGTTTTTATGCTGTTTGAGTATTATGTGTCACGTTTATAATCTCTAATGACGTCAAGATAAAGTTATAAGAGTGGCGTTTTTGATTGTACTTTATTTTTTCCGTTCATGGACTCTTGTATCCATAGATCTTTTCGTTTAGGGTATTTATGATGACTTTATACATGAAATGATCTTTTTTTTTTATTTCTCATTACGAAACATATGAGCGTGCGGTTATACTGCAGGAAAAAAAGGCCTCTGCAATATGATTGCACATTTTCTTTTTTTAGTATTATGAAATTGCTTTATATCTTAGCATTCCTCTTCGTATCTAAATATTACATAATTTTCAAAAAATTTGAATTGACATTATGTCCTTTATAGTATATTCTAGAAATTTTTTCTTATTAATAGAAAATAGGCAATGGGGCAACATATAAATAAAACTATCCTATATCTTTCTTATCTTGTATATTATTTGTGCTTTATCGGGATTTCAATTTTAAGGATAAAACCAAGAATTATTAAATTTAAAAAATTAAACTGAGATCTTTTTTTTCGATTAGTTATACTTCTTCATGATTACTTAAGTTTGTAAGAAAAGATTTTGATTTTTTTTCGTTAAGATCTCACATTGATTTACATTAGGGTTGACTTGATCTTTCGGATTTAAAATATGAAATATCATAATTTTCAGTTTTCAGTTTTCAGTTTTCGCAATCACTATTTATCTTGATGGCCAAAGCAATATCTACAACTTTATTTAAAATCACTTTTATAGTTTCTAATAAAAATTTGAACTTTATTTAGTCACAATAAAAGATCTAAATTTATTTAAAAGAGGAATAACGTAAGATAAAATGTTCATTAAAATTTTATTCTTACAATTCAACCTAATTTGATACCAATTTTTAGTAATATATCTAATCTCATTATTATCTGCATAATTCATATAACTTGACTTTTATCTAAATTTTTTTGGGAATTTTATTTTATTTTTTTCAATAAGTTTACTCATGATTATTATTAAAAATTGTTCAAAATAACGTGGCAAGTACGAAGAAAGCTTTATCTTGGTTTTTTTTTATTATTTATAATCGAATGTTATCATTTATAATGTGTACAAATATATATATATGAGGAAGCAAATAACGATATTATACTTTGACGCAGCCGCAGCTCGTTCTTAAATTCTATTCCTCAACTATTGTGATGTCTGATATTTCCTCAATACTTTTAAATTCATATGACAAAAAAAAAAAACAAAAAATAATATTACTACTAATGTCCAACCTAAAAGTCGCTCTTATAATTGCAATACGTGTCAGAAAAGCGTTTTATCGTTTGAATAGACATATTCTGACGAAAAAACCACGTGCGCGATGAATTAAAAAAAATTCATGAATCAGCTAATTTACAACAGTAATTTTTTTTTTTGTTTTTTACTTACTTATGCTATAACCACACGATATGCAACGATGCAGTAAAACATTATTTTTACTGAATAATATTGGATATTTAAATGTATTTTTTTATAAGCGAAATGAAATGTTACGAAAAAAAATAATAGGTTAAATCGATTGGCTAAAATTAGAAAACCTTAAAATATTCATTATGTTACTTCTGGAAAAATGTATTATTTAAAAAAATACTACATAAAATTGATAGCTTGGGTCTAAATCTTTCAATCTTATGTGATAAATTTTGATTGAATCTTTTTTTATAAAGTTATCAGTATTTAAAAAAATTTGATACTCTTTTAATAAAAAAAATAAAATTAAAACATCTAATTTTTTTTTATTTTTATTTTTTTAATAAAATAAAATAATTAAATAAATAAACACTCCTGCATTCATTTCCTGTTCATTCATCCATTTGTTTATTTCATTTATTCATCTGTAAAGTTCATTTATTCATTCATTCATTTGTTTGTTCTTTGTCTCTCTTTTTTTCCTGTTCGCCAATTATTTTTTAAAAATCAATGTGGATCGCCAGTATATAAATTTGACCTTTGTAATAGTATTAACAAAAACAAGTAAATTATAATATAGAAACTTATTCATCTTATTTTCACCATGATAATAATAACAACAATGATAATAATTGCAGAATGACGATTACGGGATAATAATGATAATAATAATTATGATGATAATAATTACGATGATAATAATTATAATGATGTGATACAATAATTACGATGTGACCACTGTCATCACTTCTACCCTATTATTACTGTAAGAAATAAATATCAAGAAAAAGCTTAATACATAAAAAGACATACTATATTATTTTGTACAAATGTAATAAGATTTTTATACTTCACATAAATTTTAATATAAAAATTTTTTTTTGCACTTTGTACAAAATTTATTATAAAAAAATTTTTTTTACGCTTCGCACAAAATTTCTTATATAAAGATCTACAATCAAAAATTGAAACATTTGTCAAGATGTAACGCACTGTATCTGTAGTTTTTTTTATTATAATTTGTAAGTACTAAATAAAATAAAATCCGATCCTGCGAAAACTTCCTTTTTAATGCTAAATATTTTGTTTTTGCTTTTATTATAATTTTACTAGTTTTTAAATGTATTATCTATGTGCAGTATCGTTTAGGAATACTACGAAATCATCACCCAATTTAATCAAATACCTCTCCCGAATCCACTTCATTAAATCTTCCAAATCATGTAAAATCCTGTCAATCTCATCAATAATCATCAAAAGTTGTCAAATATAAAAGTTTATTATTTGCTAATAAATAAACAATATCAATACTAAGTAATTCTAAAGGCTGAAATATCAAAAAAAAAGGTTTCAGACCTGTTAAATAAGATTGAACGAATAATAAACAGTTGATTTTCATATAAGAATTTTTGAGCGTACAGATGGAGAGACTAATAAAACTAATTATAATTCAAAATCATTATTTAGTTTTTTCAACCAATGAAGTAATTTATTTCTACATAATTGGGCTTGAATGTTATATACAGAAGCATTATAGTGAACCTATAAAATAAATATTAAAATAAATAAATATCAAAAATAAATATATAATTTAAAAGTTCAAATTATATAAATTATATATATAAAAATCTCTTACCGCATCTTTAGAAAATTCCCAAATAGGTTGTGAAGTACTAAAAATATCTAATAAATCAATATTTTCATAACCTTGATCTATAGATTTTCTAACATAATTTCTTAATAAATCATTATTTCTCGCCATTCGATATTCATTTCTTATAAGATATTGACGTTGAAATCTTTTTGGAATTAGATGAAAATTTGCAACGTTGGTAGTTAAAAAAGTAAATTTTAGATTACTATAATAATTTTGAATATGGTTGAAAATTTTATTTAAATATTTATCATTATGAGTTTCATTCCATTCTGGTGTATGAGAACCTATTGAAATAAATGTATAATCCGCATGTTTGGTAGTGCAAATTCTTCTATTATCATTATCATCAAAATTACATGGACCCTTTAATCGACATTTTTCATGTGGTTTACAAACATCTTCAAATGAACTCTTTAAAATATCTTCTAAACTATAAAAATCCGATGGAAAATACCATTCATAAGTAAGAATTAATTCTTTAGGACGGGGATCATCTTTTTCGTAATTGGTGGAAACATCAGAATAAGGGAAGACACAAATGTATGAAATTCTTCTATCTTCTATCTTTTTACCTTCGTGTACCCACTCACATTTTATATTTTTATGTCCCATATTATTTCGAAATAATGATTTAAATAATCCTCGAGTATTAGAATCACCTATAAATCTAATCCAATTATAACGATAATATCGTTTTTGAAATATTTTTGGAAATTCGTTTTTTTTGTATTTTGAAATATTACATTTATATGGATAATAATTTTTTATATCTTTATCCCATCTTCCAATAAGAATTTCAGTATTATTATTACTACAACTATTTGATATTTTATTATCATTATTAATTTGTTGAATTAAGATATCTTGAGATTCAACTGTAAAATTCCAATGATTACCATTAACTATAAATTTATCTAATGATTTAATTTTTGGAAATTCTGAATCGACGGTAGTTTCAAGGGTAAACATTTCTGGATAATTATAAAACATCAATCGAACCTGTAAACTATAAGAACCAGGATCTATAATTGGTGCTTCAAAAATAAATTGAGATAAATTTTTTGATATAACTTGTTGTGGTGAAAATATTCGATCACCAAGTACTTGTACACGGAAGAAAGAAGGTGATATTTTATTCATTCTAAAATAACAAAATTTAATAAAAAATAATAAATAAATAAAAATATCATAACAATAAAAAATAATGAAATAATAAAATTAATAAAAATAATAAAATAATTAAATTTACCGATGCTCAATAATAATTTTTAATTTTTCTGAAACGTAATAAGTTTTCTTCAAGTCTGAAAATTAAAAAAAAAAAAAAAAGTTAATATAATATTGTAATTTAATAATTTAATAACTTTAATAACTTTTAATAAATTAATAAATTTAAACACTACGTTCAGTCATAACTCTAAATAATTTCTCTGGATATTTTGTCTTTATGATATTAGCATTTTCATTTTCATTCTTTAAACTTTCCGTCACATACGCATCCATAATAAAACTATTATTAATATAATCATCATCTTTTATTTTAGGTAATTTTGTTGATGTTTCTATCGGTGTATTTGTTGTTGTTGTTGTTGTTGTTTTTGTTGTTTTTGTTGTCTCCTTTACATTCTCATTCGTCGTCGCCTCAGATGTAATTAATATATTCTCGGTTATCCAATTATATTGAATTGATTGAATAGTTAAAAATAAAATGAAAATTACTATAAATTTTATTGTGATATCAAAAATTCGATTTCGAAATTTAAATAAACCGATCATTATGATATGGTAAAATAATCTATAAATCTATAAGTAAAGTTGATAAGTTGATAAAGATAATTTTCAGAGAAATAAGAAATAGGTGGATATATATATATATTTATATTTAATAATGAACAACAGATTATAATATGCATAGTAGATTAATGTAATCCAAATAAGGTAATGAATAATTAATTGTCTTTGAAAAAATTCGGTTTAATCCAAAATAAGAAATGATTAATGTTTTTTAATATATTAATAATAATATATTATAAAAAGTAGGTAACTTTATAAGTATAAAAATTTAAATGTTTAAAGCAATCTTTTAATTAAAATTTCTACTTATGGGAGCAGATTTCAATACATGTATTACTTCTGTTATATGAGTAAAAATCTCAAAGTCAATAAAAAAAAAAAAACGCAGATCTGCTACTTGATCATATGAATTTTTGAGAAAACTTTTTTCCTCCTTTCATGATGAAACATGAAAACTTGAATATCTTTTCTAAATAATAAACCAACAATATAATAATAGTTTATTTTCAGCTTTTTTCTTTTACTTATGTCATATACCTATCACGAAAATATGATTTCTTTATATATTACTCTACCATTTCCACCTCCTTCTCTCGCTGACTCTCTCACATTTTCACAAAATGATAGCAAGAAAATTATTCAACTTTATTCCCTTTATAGGAATATTTTGTTATTTTTTAAAAATATCATTTTTCCCATCAACGTCATTTATAAAGATACTCGAAGTGATTATTATAGCAATTTTTATCAAATATTTATATCAATTCACTTTGACGATTTTAAAAAAATCTTTAATAAAATCATCGTCATCATCGCCGTCAATTTCAGCAACCACAACAACAACAAATCATCAAAGGATTTATTTTTGTAAAATTTATCATGCAAGATTTTTTCCTGTTAGGAATTTATTTGAATTTTCTTTATTATATTTTGGAATTGATTTAGATTTATTAGAGAAGAACAAGGATTCGAACGGATTTTTGTAAGTTACATATAAATATAATACATAATATATAATCTCTTTTATATATTTCATATTTTTATTTCTTTTTAATTTGAATATTTATATTTATAAAATATATTTTAATAATTAATAAAATATATTTAATAGATTGGGATATAATAGCGAAACTTTATTTAATATTAATGATAATGATTATCTTGGGCGAATAAATCTTCAAGATAATGACGACAAAACTTCAATAAAAGATAAATTACTTTGGCATATAGAAAAACATGTAAGTTCAAATATTTAGATAATAATTATTTTTTTTTATTTCATTACAGTTGATTGGAAAGATATTTACTATATCTTTTTTTTCTTCTTTTTTTCTTGTATCTTTTCCATATTTCACATTTCCTTAAATAAATAAAATAACTAAAATAAATAAATAAACAAATGAAAAAAAAGGATATTTCAACCAAAAGATTAAAACGTATAGAATTAGTGACCATGCCAAAAATTCTTAATTACGCATTTGATCCAGTCAATTTTTATTTTTGTTATGATAAATTTAATTATTTAAGTATTTTAGTATTAGAAGAAGTTGTTAATAATAATATTAATAATGGTAATGAAAAATATTTATACATTTTAAATCGAGATAAAAGTGTCGATAATAATGCTTCTAGACTTGGGTGAGTAGTAACAATAAAAAATTGTTAACAATAATAATAATGATATTATTATTATTAATAATATTAACATTAACAATATTAAAATATTTACAATAATTACATTGAATAATATATATAATTTAGTTACGATATAAGTTTTACATTGAAGCGAGCATTTCATATATCAACACCTACATCTAACAATCGTAAAGGAATATACGGAGCATATTGTAAAGATCCCGCTTCAGGATGTTTTGATATCAGATTAGTTAAGTACACAAATCTTACTCAAGGAGATAATAACAATAACAACAAAGGAGAAAATAATAATAATAATAATAATTTCGACGACGATAAATCAAAATATATAAAAAATTCAGTCACTATCTCTCAAGGAAATTCATATGTTCTTAATTATTATAGTATAATATATGCTATACTCACTTATCCTTTAGACATTTTCTTGACTATGCCAAGAATTCTTAAAGAAATATTTAAATTACATTATAGTAAAAAATTGGGAATTTATCATGAACCGATTTCAATTGAAGGAACTGTAGTAAAATTGGAACCTACTTATCTTGAATTGTAAGTGTATTATTATTATTTATTTATTTATTAATTTTATTATTTATATATTATATATTATGTATTATTTATTAATTCTATTATTTATTTATCAATTCTATTATTTATTAATTTTATTATTTATTAATTTAATAGATACGCACAAGAAGTTATAATTAAATATTTCACGAATCTTATTTCACAAATTAACGAATCACTTTATATTACGATAAATTTTTCAAATTTTAATCAATCAACCATAAAACTTCAATCCAATCCTAATGAAATATTTTCACCATTCTTTCATAATTCAAAACATCTTATATTAAATCTCTATGATTATTCATTTTTCACGAATTTATTAATTAATCAAAATATTTATCGAGCTTTGATTGTGGGATATTTTGAAAAAGCTTGGGATTGTAATAATTTATTGTTATTATTTCGGTTTCTCTTTAATACTAAAAACGTTGGTAATAATGGCAATAATGATTATAATGATTATAATGATAATAACAATAATCACAATAACAAAAATCACAATAGAGATATCAATACAATACATAGAGAAAATAAAATTAGATTAAATGCATATGAATTAATTACAGCGATGATAAGAAGAAGATATTGGAGTAAAATATTAAAAAATGAGGAATCAGGATTAAATGCGAAATTAGAATTTGATAAGATATTACATCAACAGTGGCCATCAAAAGGTGTTGATGAGAATTTTATTTCTTCTGTAATGCAAAATGATGTTTGTTATGACTTAAGAATCGATGGAGAGGTATTTTCTTTTATTATTATTATTTAAAATTTATTATTAAATTTTTATTATTTAATTTATTGTTATTTAATTTATTATTATTTAATTTATTATTATTTAATTTATTATTATTTAATTTATTATTATTTAATTTATTATTATTAGATAAAATCACATGAAAAGGTAGCAATTGCAGTTCGAGAATTATTAGCAAAGAATGAAGAAGATAATAAAATAGTGGCATTATTTGGATATGCACATTTATATTTATTTACTATTCCTTCCAATAATTCAATTAGACATCTTTCATCATTAATTTCTGATAAATTACATTTATTTCCATTTCCACCACGTTACTTACCTTATGAAAATAAAGAACCAATAGAACATTCAATAGATCAACTTATATTTTCCATTAATAAATCTCTTGAACCAATATTTTCAAAGATATCTTCTTCTTCTAATTCAATTAATAACAATAATAATTATAATGTAGTAGCGAACATTTGGGAAAGATTAAAATATATTTGGATGATATTCTCAATGACAATTACATATCAAATAGATTCCAAATTTTGGCAAATGACAACAGAATTTGGGGATGGAATAAACGGAAATCCTTTCTTAGAAGAAAAATTGTTATGGGAAGGAATCATTGATATATTAAAGAATGGAAATAAGTATTTGGAAGATAATCAAAGAGGATTTAAAATATCTAATAGATTAAATTATTATTATTATTATAATAATAATAATAATAATAATAATAACAATAATGATGATGATGAAAATAAATCAAATTTATTTGAGGGATGGGAAGTTGTTTATGAACGTATTGGTATTTATTATTTATTATTATATTTATTATTTATTATTATATTTATTATTTATTATTATATTTATTATTTATTATTATATTTATTAATTATTAAATCAATTATTATATTTATTAATTATTATCATTCATTCAATAGCTGAAAAGGAACATCTTCAATTAGCAACAGCTGAACCATCAATTCCAAAACTTCCAATAGTATTTACCTCCAGGAGAAATTCAAATATCAAATCAGATAAACAACAAAGATTATGGTATTTCATGAAATGTTATAGAAAAGCCATATTATTTAGAAATGACTTTGATTAAATGAATTAAAAATGATTATAATATTTTCTAATAATTATTATTTTAAATTATTATATTTCACATAATGTTAAATAGTACAAATTTTTTCAATACTAATATATAAATGGGTAAATAGATAAATAATATATATATATATATATAAACAATAATTATATAAACAATAATAAATATAAACAATAATAATATAAACAATAATAATATAAACAATAATATAATACTGTATAAATAACAAATATAATAATATAAATAAACAGAAAATGGCAACAATCATAATAATATTTCATATACATACATATGTATATTATTCATTGTTTAATACCATAATAATAATGATGATGATGATGATGATGATGATGACAATAATGACAATAATGATAATAATAATGATAATAAAGATTTAACCAAAAATGATCATAACATCTAATAACTACAATTATATAATTATTGTAAATAATTATTATAACTAAATTCAATCAATCAATCAATCAATCAAATATCTTCTCTAAATTCTTGAAATAGTTCTCGAAAATAATTCTTAAAATAGTTTTTTAAAATAGTTTTAAAAATAGTTCATAATAAAATTCAATAATTAATTATTATCTACCACTCCCACCTCCGCCACCACTACCAACACTTCCACTTCCCCGTCTACCATTATTAGATCTAAATTTTCGATATGATGGTCTACTTCTAAAATTTTCTCTAATGTTTTTTCTTGTCCCATGTCTAAATGGTTTAAAAGAACCACTCAATTGTCTTTGATGATGATGATGATAATAACGTTGTTGATGATGTTGTTGATGATGATAATGATGATATCGATCATAATCCTTCGAAATATATTCATCATCATCTTCATCATTATGATTATAATTATTATGATTATGATTATGATTATTCCTTAAATAATTGTTACTTATTGATGAAGGAATTCTTTCAATTCTTTCATCATGATATTTTCTATTATTATCAAATCTATCATTATCAAATCTATCATTATCAATTCTATCACCAATTCTATTATTATTATCACCAATTCTATTATTATTATCACCAATTCTATTATTATTATCACCAATTCTATTATTATTATCACCAATGCTATTATTATCACCAATTTTATTATTCTTATCGATTCTATTATTATTATTATTATTATTATCACCATATCTATCAATATCATAAGATGATTCCATTTCATAAGCATCATGAGGCCATTCATCACTATATCTATCAACATCGTAAGTGGTGGTGGTCGTCGTGTTACTAGTATAATTATGTGCACGTTCACGTTCTCCATAATTATCATTATTATTTATTAATCTATCACTATATAATTTTGATTCATAGAAATGATTTCTTGATGATCGATCATCATCATCATCATCATCATTATTGTTATTACTGTTATTATTATTATTATTATTATTATTATTATTATTATTATTATTATTACTAATATTGTTGTTCATACCATTATTATTATATTTATCATTATTATTCTCAAATATATTATTACGCGATCCATTATTATCACTTTTTGATGTACTTATTATTGGTGATGGCTTATTATTATTATTATTATTATTATAATTATAATTACTATTACTATTATTATTATTATTATTATTATTATTATTATTATTATTATTATTACCATTATTACCATTATTATAATTGATATAATTATTATTTGTTGTTGTTACTGTTGGTGATAAAATTGGTGGTGTGGTAGAATAATTAATCATCCTATATTCTTCTGTTGGATAATAATTATTATTATTAGGATTATTATTATTATTATTAGGATTATTATTATTATTATTGTTGTTATTGTTATTGGTTGATGCAAATATATTCGATATAATATCATTATTATTATTGTTGTTGTTGTTTTTGTTGTTGTTGTTATTGTTATTATTATTATTATTATTATTATTATTATTATTATTGTCATTATTATTGTTATTATTATTACTACTATTACTATAAAATCGTTGATGATAAGGTTTTTTTGTCCTGTATTTATTATCAAATGTATCATTATTATTGATATTATTATTGTTATTAATATTATTATTGATATTATTATTATTATTATTGATATTGTTATTATTATTATTTATATTATTATTGATATTATTATTATTATTTATATTATTAAAATAATTACTAAAATAATTATTATTATTACTATCTGCAACTAATCTTAATGTACTGGTCATAATATTTTCTTGAATTTCAAGTAAATTTTCTTTTTTTGCTTGAAATATTTGTTGCTTTTCTTCATATTCTTCTTGAAATTTTTGCTAAAAGAATTAATTAAAATAATTAAGTAATTTAAAAAATTAAATATTTAAATAATTTAAAAATAATTAAAAAAAAAATTAAATAATTAAAAAAATTTGATTAAAATTTAAATAATAAAATTTAAATAATTAAAATTTAAATAAATAAATAATTAAAAATTTAATAATAACTTTATATTATTTAAATAAATCAAACTTACATATAATTGATCATACAAAGTAAATGGTCTATCTTTTACCAATTCCATATATTCATCTACAATTTCTCCTTCTTCCAAACTTTCAACACTTCCTGCTACTGAATTTTCCCCTCCTAAATTCACTACTCCTGAATATTCTCTTGAACATTCTTCTTTTTCTTTTCCTATTGGATTCTCACTTCCTGAATTTACTAATACTCCTCCTCCTCCTGAATTTACTACTAATCCTAACTTTCCTGTTATTAAATTATTATTTATTCCTCCTACTCCTGTTACTGAACTTCCTCCTGCTGAACTTCTTCTAGTTGAATTTCTCCTAACTGAATTTTTTATTGAATTTTCTTCTCCTTCTTCTATTACAGATTCCATCACTGACTCTACCACTGATCCCATCCCTGAATTACTATTACTTACAACATCTATTAAATTATTTTCCCCTTTTTGTACTAAATTTACTAAAGGTCCGGCTAATAAAGCCGATTGTATTGGTAATTTACCATCTTCTTTTAATAAATATCCGTATTGTGATTTAATATGTTCTAGAAATTTTAATCGATGTTTTTTACGTTCTTCCGATTCAAGTTTTATTAATGAACATATTTGTGTGTCATGAAATTTTATTTGACGATTTTTTCGTTCTTGAACAAATTCCGGACCGGTATATGCATTTATTTTTCCTTGCGGAGGTTCTACTATTAAATCATCGTTCAAACTTTTATTCAAATTATCATTTATTATTATCATTTTTATTATAATTTTTATTTTTATTATTATTATTTTTATTATTATTATTTAAATCATTTTATAAAAAAAAAAATTGTTAATATATATATATATATATATTAAATAATTTTATTTATTAAATTTTTGAGAAAAAAAAAACTTACGAAGTGGGATAATTTCTCAACATAAGATTAAGCAACGATTCATCCTATTTAAATAATTGTTATTATTAATTATAATTATAAAATAATATAAATAATAATATCAATAATAATAATTTTTACAATTAATTTGTCCATCGCTTGACAGGTATTTATGCTTTTTAATTCTTGAGTAGACTTGTTAATTTCGAAATCCCAGTTTTCCCAGTTTCCTTAGTTTTGCAGTTTTTTTTTTTTTTTTATTCAATTTTTCTCAATTTTTTATTACAGTATATATATATATATTTCTGTCATTGTCGCACTGGCATGGGATAGTTTTATTGGTTAATCCGTAAGAATTCAGGGGTTTGGGTTAATTGTCACATGTTGAATATATGTGAAATATATCTTATCTGTCACCCATTAACCCAAATGCAGGCGCGACAACCTTTATTTATATATTTAAGTAATACAAACTGTATTTTCTACGCATAACACATAATGCATAATCATATCACGTGAAAATAACGCTAAAAAAATCACTCAGAATATAATGATAGGTTTTCTAATAATGACACGAAATTGAATTATTAAGTATTTCCAAAAAAGTTATTGGTTTTTCATTTTCGTAAATTTTTGTTGTTAAACTATTTGTGGAGAATAAAAAAAAATTTTAAACGATAGATAATTGCAGATGTTACAATAATAATATTATTAAATGTATTACAAACATAAATAAAATAAATTCTTTTGCTTTATTGTACATATTTAATAATTTTATTAATTTTACAAAATCTAATTAAATCATATTAAATCATATCATATTAAATCATATCTATCATATTAAAAACATTAACAAACCGTTTGTTTATTTTTCATTTTATTTTTTCATTTCTTCTTTATTGATTAAAAAATTGAATAATACTTCATTAATACTTTAAATATATCTATACTTCGTGTGCCTGTATATTGTATATATAAAATATATATTATTTATACAACAATTTCTATAAATTCTATCTGGAAATTCCATCTACAAATTCCACCAATTCCATCTGTACATTCTATTAAATTTCTATCTATAAATTCCATAAAATCATTCTATCAAAAAAAAAAAAAAAAAACTTTATCGTTTATTTATTTTACTTATTGATTTATTAAAAGAAAAAAAAGGAAAAAAAAGAAAAATGGCAAGTTTTACAATACAATCATCACCTACCACCACCTTCACCACCACTACTACTAAAACTAAAATCTCTCGTAAAGAAAAAAAAAGATCAAGTTTGATGACTATACAAAAACAACAAGAAGAAAATGTTGCAATACTCGCTAATACAAATAAAGAAGATAGTCCCATTTATATGGAAATTAATAATGTTATGAATGAAATAGAAAAATTTCGTGAAAGATTGCATGAACTAAGTAGAATTCAACAACAACAACGATATGAATCATTATCAGATGATTCGGATAACACTAATAGTGAAGGAGAAGAAAAGCAACTTGAAACAAATGAAAATATGATGAAAGCTGTTCAAAATCAACTTGCAATAATTCGTCAACATATCGGAAATGTATTGGACAATTGCGAAATGTTGGATGAAAATCTTCTCACCGTTATTATGACTTATAATGAGGAAGTTAATATCGCATTACAAGAAGCATTTGAAGAAATACCAAGTCTTTATAGTCATAACCATCGTCATCGTAATCTTTATAATAATTATAATTATAATAATAATAATTATAATTATAATAACGATAATAATTATAATTATAATAATAATTACGATAATTATAATTATGATAATTATAATAATAATAATAATAATAATAATAATAGTTTTTATAATTCTCTTGAAAATTCATTAAATTCACCTAATTCACCTAATTCACCTTATTCATATAATCATCTTAATCTTAATAATCAAAATTATTATCATGAAAGAGATAATAATTCTCAACAAATAATTGAAACTCAAGCGATTCAAATTTTTTTTTTGGAGAAAGCAAATTTTAATAATATTTTTCAATTAATAAGTGATATTGAACAATGTCAAGAACTTTTACATAATTATACAAAATTAAAAGGTTTATTAAAAGATGGAAACGGTTGTCGTAAAGAATTTAATTCAGAATTAAGATTAATGGAAGTTAAAGAACTTTTAATTCAATATGAATGTAAAACTCAAATTCTTGAAGGTGATGGTATTAAAGAATTTCAACAACCACTACCACAACAACAACAACATCAAGATTGGTTAAAACAATTTGTTGGTGGAGTATTACAACGACTTATAATTGAAACCATTTTAGATCATTGCGATATTTATTTTAATGGAACATTTCAAAATTCTGAAATAAAAACTAAACGTGAAAGTATTTTGGGATTAACTAAATTTACTGATTTCTCGAAACCTTTATCAAAAATGAATCCAGAAGTTTATTCCGTACTCGGTTCTAAAGGTTATGATGGATTTGATCATCCATTTATTGAATTTGTAGCGGAAAAGATTGTAGCCATCATGAATCAATATTGTATTATCGAATCTTTAGAAAAGAAGGATCAAATTAAAGAATTATCTTCGGAAATAGTTTATAGTATTATAAATATTTTTTATTTTAGGATGCAAGCTCAAGAACAACCTTCACAATTTAGATGGATTGAAAATGGGAAAAAGATTGATTCAGAAACTATGAAATGTACTTGGGATAATCATAATAAATATGATGATCCATTAGTTGACATTTGTTATTTTCCATTAATTGGAAGGAAATTGATTAATGAGGATTTATTAAAAGTTTATTCGAAAGCAAAAGTTTATCCTTATCGTCGTCCCGAAAATTTAAATTCATCCGATAATTTACCTGTAAATTTACCAGGTGGTTGGCCAAAATTCAAATATTAAAACATAAAACATTTAAATAAATAAATTTAAAATATCAAATAAATTAAAATGTGATAGATAAATAGAATAAGAAGAAAGAATAATATAATAATAGAAACAATAGTGACAAGATGTTTGTATATAGAATTATTTAATTTATTTTTATCATGCCATTTTTTTTTAATAGTTGAACTTAATTTAAAGCATCTCATCTCATCTCTCATCTTTATTTTTTTTTTAAAAAAATAAAGTTTACATTCAATAAATCATCAATTAAAATTTCTTCTATTATCAGTAATTTGATTTTTTGTCAATTGAAAAATAATAATTAAAAAACTTCTAATAAATAAATAATTAATTAAAATGTATCATTTAAAATAATAAATTTGAAATTTATTTCTATAGATAAAATAAAGATATGAATATATATTTCTCTTAAAAGTAAAAGTGAACTAATAATACAATGTTAGAAATATAAAAATGTAAAGGGTGTATTTTTCTTCTTCATTCGAATTAATATCAAATTAATATCAATTAATATCGTTCATAAAAAAATTTTTGCGTGCGGAATTTGTTATACATAAAAATGAATAATAGAACAGTTAGATAAAAAAGACAATGCTTAAGGAATCAAAAAAATTTCTAATAATTGTAAAAAATAAAAATAATGATTTTTAAAATAATTCTATAAATTAAACGACATAATGGTATCTTTGACATATAATTTTACTGTCCTCTCAGTCGCCCATTCAAAATATACGGAATCTAATACGGAAGATATTGATAGATGTGCTAAATAATATTATTAGAATATTTAAATATTAATTAATTAATTAATTAACATTAATTTTATAATAAATTTAACAAAATTTAAACTTCTCACCATCTTCTCCCAAATTAAATGAGAAAGATTTAACTGGCTTAATAGAACTTGATAATGAATTTTTAAATCCAACTCCTCTTTTTATACCTTTACCTATTTCGGTTCTTGAGATGGCTGATGCTATTAAACCATTCCTATTTCCTACTACCACATTTCCACTACTTTTATTACTATTCGTCAATGATCCAGTTATCATTCCTAATATTCCTGGATTTAAATTCCAAATATTTACTATTCCTTCTTCAAGAGAACATGAAACAATTATTCTTCCATCATTTGAAAATTTCACTGCTGTAACTGATTTGGTGTGACCCTAAGAAGAAAATTATAAAATTATTTTCATTTAATTCAAATCTTCTTCATCTTCTGCTTCTCTTCTTTATTATTAAAAACATGATTAATTATCAATTTAATTTACTTCCTACCTCTAATATATGCCATCTAGTTGCGGTCCTTAAATCATAAATAATTGATGCTCCTTCTAATGTTCCAATAGCTAACTTTTGTGATCCTCCATGAAATGCAATTGAAGGAAATGTTTTAACTAAATCATGAAGTACATTTGTGGTGGTTTGTAATACTGTATCTCTCATTTCTGATATATTTGGATCTAATGATTTTACTACGGATTCAACTAACGGAGGTAAATTTTCATATAATATTAATGGTTTATTCCTTATAAGTAATGAGATCAATTTCAAATATCCATTCTTTTCGAAAGGTTTATTACAATTATTTGCATCATATGTTAACGTTGAAACACATAATGGCATATTAATTGAAGAGATTTGTAAGATCACTCTTTGTGCTATGGATTTAACTTTTGATGCATTGGTATCAGTTTCAATTGCGAATCCAAAAATTGTTCGAAGTACTTCAACTGAATCGAAATGTATTATTGATCAATAATAATAATAATAAATTAAGGTTAATATTTAAAATATATTTTAAATATCTTAATGTATATTGTAATTTTATTTATTTCTAATTTTTGATTTTTTTTTTTAAAAAAGGATATGAGACTCCCAAGTTGAAAATCCCCTTCCACATAATTCAAGTGCAGCTAATCGATGAGATAATTTAGTGTCATCATGAAGTAATAATAACAATGATAAAGCAATATTCTTGGCGACTCTACATATTATTTATTAATAAATTAAATTAATAATTAAATAATCAAACCTAAAATTATAATTCAAAATGTAAAAAATAATTCACTTTTTCGGTATAACTTTTGGATGATCGGCTCCAATCATTCCAAGTAATATTGTTGATCTAGCCATACACAGGGTACCGTAAGAATCAGGTGATGTTACTGTTGGTACTTGAATAAAATTCACATACGGAAGAGAATAAATCAGTAAACCGTGTCTTAACTAATTTAGCTTCAATAGTTTTTTTTTTATTCATCAAATAAAAATTGATTAAAAACCTGAACTCACAGAATTGTTTCCAGTAATCAATTACTGACTGCTGTTCAGCTGGTGGCATACTGTTCAAAGCAGAAGAGAACAACAAACGTGCGGAGCGACGTATGTCATCTGAAGAATATAATTGAAGAATATAATTGAAGAATATAATTGAAGAATATAATTGAGGAATATAATTGAGGAATATAATTGAAGAATATAATCGAATATAATTAAAAAATATATTTAGAAAATATTAGAAATTGTGACTAATATGATATGACTAATCTGTTACCATTTGAATCCTGGAAATATTTTGCAAGAAAAGACAATGAAGAATGTTGAAATTTTGTGCCAACAGTTTCGGGCAATGATGTGCTATAATAACTGACAATATCACTTGTATATTTCTCAAGACCTAATTAGAAAATTAACAAATTGTCACATATAAATATATAGATATAGATAGGTATGTGTACAGATATTTTGTAAAAATATGTAAAGTATCTTTCCCTTACCTTTCATGGAAAGGAATGAACGTGTAAGTCCAACAATCGATAAAAGACGAGTTGCAGTCGATGTTTGCGATACCTTCCAAACAGCATGAGAATCATCAAGAAAAGGTGCAACAATTGACAAATTCCCATTCGCTCTATAATATATTAAAATTTATTACTTTTATATATCAAATTTTGTACGTACAAAATAGAAGCTTCGTTTAAATGAATGAATAAATCAATAATATTACCCCCTTAATCCAATTGAAACATTATGAGATGGTTTTCTCAATCCTAATTTCTCAAAACAAATCTTGTCAAGTGAATCGTCAATATTCCATGACATAAGAGCCGACACAATAACTTGAACAATGCTAGAATCAATGGCTCGACTCTCTTGTTCTGGTATAGATGATGGCGAGGATGTTGAAACTGATGATTGTGAAGTACCATTAGTTGTCCATGAAAATATTTTAGACAAAGGGTTAGGTTTTTCATCGAAATCTTCCGTTTGAACGATTGTTCTATTATTCATCTTTGATCCAAATGGGGAAACGTGGTAATGATAAATATCGTTGATAAGTTGTTTGATATTTATATTAAATATTTGAAGCGGTATCGTGTCTAAAAAAATTATTATAATACATTTATACATTAGATTAATTGGATTGAAAATGAATAAATAATGTTCTGAATAAAGAATAAAAAAAAAAAAGAAATATAATAATTACTGTTGATTTTTGAATTCATTTGGAAAGAAGATAAAGTATTATTTCCATTAAAGGTAATACCATTTGATGGAACTGAACTAATTAATTAAATAATTAAAATTTAAATAATTAAATAATTAAAATTAAAATAATTAAATAATTAAAATTAAAATAATATATATATATATCATATATGTCATATACTTGGTAAACTTTGAAATTTGTTAAGTGTGTATATGTTGAAAATGAGCAAACCTTGTTATCCAATTATTATCTTTAATTAATTCTTTGGCAGCTGGTCCGGTAACAATTTGGTGAAGCTCTAAATTGTTTGTCTAACAAAATATAAAGATTAATAAACCATAAAAAATATAAAAAATGCATGCCGCATCTTGAAATCCACAAACCTGCCAGAAATGAGCGGATTCATCAGCATAATATAGAACAATGAAGAAATCAGATGTTCTCCATTGAATTTTATCAATTGGATAAAGATAACCACCAAAGATATATAAACTGTCAAACAAAAAAAAAATGAAATTTAAGAAAAAATAAACCAACAATGATAATAAAAACAACATCAAATATAAGAAAAATATGAATATAATATGTTTTAAGATCATTAAAATACAAACCAACTCATTTCTTCTAAAGATATTATAGCCAAAGAATTATCTTTCGCTACAGACATCACACACTTTCGAATTCTTGGACAAGTTTCGATAGGTGGTTCAAACAAGTGAGTGATTTGTTGTGAATGATAGGTAAATGATGCTAACCGTTTACCATTACTACCATCATTGTAATAACGTTAAATGTTAAATCTTAATTGAATAAATAAAACAAATAAAATTTCTGAGATAATACAATTAAAATAATTTACTCCAAACTCCAAATTCGAATTGAACAATCTTCTCCTCCAGATACAAGATATTTATGCCCAGTGTTGTTTGGCATTAAAATACATGTAACTTTACCTATATGACCTTTCAATACTTTAACCAAATTTGAATAAAGTTGAGAATCCTCGGTAAATATTGATGATAATGGCATAAGTCGTATTTCACCATTATCTAAAATATATATGTGTATATAAAAAATAAACAACTGATTATGTCAAATAAACTCCAATTAAGTCATTCACATGACATACCATATCCAAATGCAATTTGGTCATCATTAACCATCACAGAAATAGTGATTTTAGGACTTTCGGATTTATTCAATGGCCATATGTCAGATAAATATCTTTCTACATAAATGAAGAAATATTAAATATTATAATAATATAATCGTAAAAATATTAGATGAATATAAGTATAAGATTAAGTAAATACCAATAGGCCATTTTGATTCAAGAACATCTCTTTGATTACTTTCGTCAATTTCAGCTTCTTTTATTGTCGTTGACAACGACTTCCATGAGAAAGTGGGTCCATGAAGTAGATTGCGAAAAGTAATCAAATACCAAGAAGTTGACTTTCCATCAGTACTGGAATTTGCAAAAACTGTTACAACCGCCGTACTAGAAAAATCTATAATAATATTTTGAATATTTTGATCGGTAAATGTTATTTAATAAATATAAAATGTTATCAGATCAAATTCTGAAAATTATTTATACCTTTGCCTTCTGAATTAACTGCTTCCAATAATACTGGCCTATAACATGATACATATTATATTTTGTTATTAAAGTATTTTTTTTTTTTTAAAAAAAAAAAAAAAAAAACCCATAATTAACCCACATTTGATCAGACCTCGTATCAACTGGGGCTACGAATTTTTCAACATTAGTTCCCGGCAAATTGGGCATAGATGAATGTCGAATAAGTCCAGGTTTAGTAAGTATATGACCATTTTCTAAAGAAAATCTACGTTCCACCCTTGGTATTAAATACACAAATGAGTCACCATTCTGGATAAATGAGAAAAAAAGAATTGTTATTATAAATTTATGTAAGGAAGGATAAATACAATTTGATATAAATTACCTGTGCGGAAACCAAAACCCTACTTTTTGACAAGAAAACACCATTAACCCAAAAACTTTCATCCTTGGGAATTTTTATGCGCTGCACGTTGACCATTTTACCACATCTTATTATTATTATCTGTCATAATAAATGGTATATAAGTAATAATAATTATAATAATGATATTATTTTTATTAAATAACTTAATTAACAAATTTCTAGAATTCAAAAGAAAAGAGATTAATACATACAATAACAAAAAATTTTGTGATTGCCATTATTACTCCTATGTCATATGGGTTACTTATCAATTCTAAGATTTTACCCCCTTGAGCATCAAGTAATCCTACATTTTCATGTACTTTTTTGATGGTCTTCTTTGTATCATCGAATGACCATACTTTCAAAATTCCATTGAAATTTGATGTCAAGAGTCTAATTTGTCGGGAATCTAAAAGTAATTATTTAATTTTTTTTTTTTTTTGAGATCTATTTCTCTATTTTTTGATTAACTTTTTATCGATCTTGGGTTATTAAAAAAATTATATATATATATATATATATGTATATATATTCACCTGAATCATAAAATGGAGTACATGTAACCCAGTCATTATGTCCAGCCCAGATTCTTACAATCTAAATCAATCAATAAATCCCTAAATTTTGGATACAATAAATATAATTATAAGCCTTTTAAATAATGAAACATACCTCTAAAGTAGCACAATTTAATATAGTAATCTCATTCGATAACCCAGAACAAAGAAGAAATTTTGGGGGCTAACAATTAAACCATTCCATAAAATGAGATCTAACTGTAAAAATTTACAATATTTATCTGGTAATTCTATATAAAAAAAGGAAAAATAAAAAAATTACCTCCGAGTACGCTGTCAATGGTTTAAGACTTGTTATGATACCATCAAATGCTCTTGTTACACACATAATACATCGACCATTTAATAGGCACCATTTCATCACTTCACTACATCCCACAACAGATAATTAAAAGATAATTAAAAAGATAATTAAACAAATAATTAAACAAATAATTAACAAATAATTAACAGATAATTAACAAATAATTATATGTAATCATAGATCAAAGATATCAAAGATATCAAAAATTCACAAAAATATTAATAATTACCCGTCCTCCGACGCACTTATAATTACGTAATTGTTCCCAGAGCAACCATCAGTCTTACTTTCTATAATAATTAAAGCGGTAATGGCTGATTTATGACCGATACATAATACTTTATGTTGTAACTAAAAAATTTTATATTTTAAGTGTTACATACATTAGTAGTTCTAAAGTTCCAATTTGTTAATCAAAATATAAATTATGTTTCATTCGGTTCTAATGCTACCAAAAAACACCTGAAGGTCACCCAGATCGTTAATAGTACAACGATATATCCAAATTTTCCCGTCTTTTAAACCAGTCACAATATGTTCTTCTTTGTAAGCGAGGGTTGTTGCTGGTGCAGTAGATAAATGATTCCAAAGTGCTAGAGGGACAGTAAGCGAAGACGAGGCCATGATAGTTTTTTAAGGAAAGTATAATTAATTAATTTTAAGAAAAGTAGAAATTAAATTAAGAAAAATGTGTATCACAGAGTTTGTAATAAAAATAAAATATCAGGGGCTAAATGAATATAGTCAGATGATTTAAAGATGTCAGTAATGAACACTTTTACTGACCCCTACGTGGGTCTTTCCTCGGAAGGTCAAATGATGATATTATTATAGATTTCATATTTTTCCAATTAGGGGCAAAAAAATATTTGATTACGTTTTACTTCCAAATTAAAAAATTTGGGGTATTTGAGAATTTCTTGTTTTAAATCTTGTTTTTTTAATAATTTTATGAAAAAATGTGTGGCAAAAAAAAAAAAAAATTAACCCCTGAATTAAAAATCTGAAATAATGAGGTTGATTGGAAAAATAATTACAAATAATTTCCGAATATGTTTTCAAAATGTTTTCTTCAACATTCGTTTTCAAAGCGATTGATAATTTCTTATCGCTCTTTTTCTTCTACTAATCAAATTATGGCGAGAAGAAAGCTTAGTGGTGCAAAACGTTCTACTTCTGAATTTGATATAGAATCTCTTCCTGAATATCAATTTGATAGTATGACAAAACCAGGTTATGAAATTTTATTAGCACAAGCCGAGATCAGAAAGTATCTTAGAAAAATAAAATATGAATTACCACAACTGGAAAGTAAGTTTAAATCGTTGAATTAAATTTGAAAACTTTTATGAATAGATATGAATTTTATTTTATTTTATTTTATTTTATTTTATTTTATTTTATTTTATTTTATTTTTTTTTTGTTTAAATTCCAGAATTTGCCAACCCTTTCAATCCTCCCAAAAAAGACCAAATCTTATGTTTTAAAAGAATGTATTACATAGGAGAAGAACATCCTCTTCAAAATAAAGTTGTTATGACTGTTGAATTAGATGATTTACCTTTAACTGAAGATCAAAAACGTAAATTCATTTTGTTATGTGGTACAAGATTTGATGGAAGCAAAACTTTTAAATTTTCGAGTGAGAAATTTCCTCATCTCACTCAGAATAAAAGATATCTTAGTGATTTAATGGATCGGCTTCTAAAAGAAGCACAAGTAAATATAATCCCAATTAAATATTATTCATTTGTATATAACGTCAAAATAAATAAAACTTTTATGTTATGTTTTTGGCAAAATAGGATGAAACCGATACATTTAAAGATATCCCAATTGACACTAGGCATATTAAAAAGAAAAAGAAAATTAAATTTCCTATAGAATGGCGACTCTCGCCTCAAGAAATAACCACAGAAAAAGTAGATACAGTAGATACAGTAGTAGGCCAAATATCATCATCCAATGAATCTAATTTTGAACAACAAAAATTGGATGCAAAATTTGAAATTGACATTGTTAAAAACTAATTAAAAATTCACTAATTTTTGATTAATATTTAAATGCGATGAATTTTAGATTTTAAAAAAGTTCGCCCGATATAATTTTGATCTAATTTTTTGATATAATTTTATATTGCAATATCCTAACATAAAATACAAAAGATGCGCTTTTCTTTATTTCAGTTATCGTTATTTCATTAAGACACACGCAGCGGATCCAAGTTGACTCCTAATATATTCATTGTCAATTGGATGAACTAAAAATTAAAAAGCACAAATTAGAATTAAAAATTGTATATAAAATAATCAATTTTTAAATTGTAAATAGAAACAAAAATTCAAATACCAACCATCTGCAATTTCACCCCATTTCATTGTCTGTGAAATAGTTTCTACCCGTGTGGCTTTTGTAGCTTCTTCTACTGTCAATCTTCGTTCTACTAAACCGAGTCCTATAAGAAAGGAACTCGAAAGCATTGTTGTACGTTCAAAAGCTATAAAAAAAAAAATTTGAAAAAAGGTGATATGTTTAATTTGGATGTTAATTCAAATAAATTATATAAATAAAATAGCATATACCGGATAACTTTAAGCAATCAAAATTTTCAATAACTGCTTGTAATTTTTCTCTTGTTTCCAGATGTTGTTTCTCGCCTATGATACTATTATTTATTTTAATTTTAACTTTATAATAATCTCGAGCCCAATTCACGATTGGATCCCAATATTGTCTTTGAAGCTTGACCAACCTCTCTGGATAGGTTTCTTGATAACTATATATAAGATATATATATATATATATATAAAGATTTGTAAGACAAATACATATGAAAATTTTTTTTTAAAAATCTTTATTTGAGATTACCATATTGTGTCCGTGTCAAAATATTTAATCAATCTAGTAATAGCATCTCGTTTTTCTGTTGGATTCTTTTCAAATCCATCAATTGATCTCGCAACAAGAGAAGTCTTGTATATATAATTTTTTTTTTAAAAAAAAAAAAATAATAAAATTATAAATATGGAATATAACATGTTAAATAATAATAATTATCATCATCATCATACCAACGGTAAAGAATGTTGTTTCAATAAAATTTTTTGAGATTCCCATTCTCCAGCGATTAAAATTGCTAAAGATTTTTGTGAAGAAGGAATTACTAATGGAGAACCACTCGGTGTTTTTAAGGGACGTTTATCAAGTGCTACTTGATATTCATTATCTGAAAAAAAAAAAAAAAATTTTTTTTAAGTTGGATAAAATTATTATACCAGATAAGATATTAAATATTGAAATAATATTACCTTTATTGGTAATGACAGATACTTCTTTCCAAAATCTTCTCAAAATTTTTTCGGCTTCTAATTATTTTATTTATTAATAATTTATTTTTATTTATTTATTGATTTTTATTTTTATTTTTATTTTTTTTTAAAAAAAAAATAATAATTACTTTTAGTTTGTGGCTGATCATCAAAGGTTGTATTTGAACACCTTTTTTGAAATTTTATTGGTGAATCATTTATAGCAGAATTTTTAGTAAGACTAGCAAGACTAGATGAATTGAGAAGTAAAGAATTTTTTGGGACTGCAGTCGTAGAGATATAACGAGTGTTATTCAAATAAATTGACAAATGACTTTTTATTATGCTATAATTTATTAGAAATCGCATTCTCTTTTTTGAAACGAGAAAAAAATTCTGATCAAAATTAATTTTTAGCATTGTTGGTTACACTTAAACCAATAGATATTTTCGTATATTTCGTCATCATCAAAATAAATATATTATTTGAAATTTTCAACTTAAAAAGAATTTATTTGTTTAAATTTTTTATACATTTAATGTTCAAGAAAACATTATTTGTTTACATTGAAGTAAAAATTTATATATAAAAGAAATTTTCTTGAACAATATTGAATTTACAAAAAAGCTTACTAACAATAAATTTGAAGTAAAATTTAATTAGGGTTCTACCTAATATTCAAGTATAAAGTAATATTTATGCAAAAGATTTTTTTTTTTTCTGCAAGTATATTCTCGTATAAATAAATAAATAAATAAATAAATAAAAAAATACTGTATGTAATATCAAAAATATAAATCAAAGAAAAAAAAAATAATAATAATATAATAAATCTATTGAATGATAATGCAAATATAATTGTGAAGAATAATATAAACAAATGTGTAAAATGCAAGAATGTAAATTGTATCATTGATAATACGTGCAAGTTATGAATTATTTATGAAAAAAAAAGAGGGTGACATAATTAATTAATAGCGGGATGCACGTAATAAAAGATAATGAGACAAATGAGATGAAATGATAATATAAGTCTACTGTACAAAAAAAGTGTATGTATATGCAAAAAGAAATGAAAAAAATGAAAATGAAAAAAAAAAATCTATTTTTTCTATATACTGTAAATTTAGATGGTAGAGTCTGGCAATTTCACATGTGCATCTGTTGAATATTCCATTCGTTTCTTCTCTTGTGAAAATGTATCTTTTTTAACAATTATATTTTTGGCTTTATTCATGAAAACTCCTATTGAAAGGTCATCAGGTTCCTCTATGTTTGCAATTGGTAATGCCGAAGTTATAAATGAAGTTATTGAAAGAAAAAGTACAAAGAATATTATAATAGATTTATACATCTTTAATTTATATTTCACGTGAATTATGTAATAAGTAAACTTATATTATCAAAAGGGAAAAGATTTATCACAATAAAGAGAGTTTTGATAAATCGTAAGGAGGAGGAGGAGGAGGAGGATGATATATAATTCAGATTTTATTTTAGTAAATTTTTATTGTTGTTAATAATGACAACTGAAGAAGGCTACCAGAGCAAATGATAAATAAATATGTTAAGATTAAAAAAGTATGATAATGAATTTAAAATTGTATTTAATTGTTTAGATAAGTTGTTACGCGAAGTGATGAGGAGGTGAGGAAGTAAAGGATATGTATGTAATGTAGGGAGAACAATAAAAATTCACCAAAATCTGAATTATAAGAGTAAATTTATAAAGTGAATTAATTATCAAAAAAAAAGTATTTCAGATTATGAGGAAAACACAGGACGAAATTCTTACATATATATAGATTTTATGATCAAGATTTAATTTCTGTTCATAATTAACTTTGTACCTCCAATGTGAAAACAAAAATAAACCAAAAATTCTGTATCATAAAAAAAAATTATGTATTCAAATTATTGGGAATGATAAATCTTTGTTAAGAAGTAAAAAGGAAATGTCAAAATTGGAAACATATATTTTCCTTTTTAGGAATACAAATCAAAAACCCTTGTATACGTAATTAAATAGCATAAATATATACTTCATAAATCCTAAATTCGGAAGACAACAATATTTCTAACATCATTGTTATTTATTTGTATCACTTTACAACGATTTCATTTCTTCTTTGTTATCAAAACTGATGAACCGAATAAAGGAATTTTAGGTCTAACAAAGAGGAAGGCGCTCTAAGGTTTTACAATTAAAAAATTTTGTGTAAGCAAAAAATTGAAATAATTATGTAGAGGAAACGAAAATAATGTCAATCATTCAAGTTTGTTAATGAGAGAGTGGTGATTTAAATTAATTAAAAATTTATAATAAATAAATAATGCGTGATTTTGTGATTCAACTTTCATAGATTCTTTTCCTTATTAATCTAATTTCGTAGATTCTTTTCCTTATTAATATATTAATTAATTACATAAGAAAGGTTTAACTAACTTTAACTAACATAAGTAAATCTTAAAAATTAAACGAACCTATAGATCTAAAAATTATGTTTATTCCATTTCATGCAGAACAGATACTAAAGAACCAAATTTAGCTATAAGATTTATATCAATAATTTTTTTTATTCATATTATTGGTCTCCAGGTATATTTTTATAAAGAAATTTCGTAATAAAATTTAAGGAATTCCCACAATCAGAAAATTTTCCCCTCCGAGTAAGTTGATTGAGTCTAGGAAAATAATTTGTTTTTGTTTTTGTTTTTTTTTTTTTTTTTTTGGTTTTCTATGTATAACGAGATACCCCTTGCGACACAAAATATGAATATAAGATAAGGTTTATTGTTGCAAACATTAAATTTACGTCTTTACACGAGAACAATTAATTGTCGATCTAATATCAATAGAAATTAGTTAATTTAATTACCTCAGATAAGCAGATAAGTCTACCAAATCACTTGAAATAACCTTTTTTTTTTTTTTGATTGGGTCTTTTTTTTATTCAAATATTTTAATATAATTCTTATAAAATTCAAAGTTTTACAAATTCCATGTATATAATGAGAGTAAACCATAAATTAATATATATGAAATCTCAAAATTAATAACAAAACTTAACAAACTGTATTACTATTTTTTGTTTAATACTTTAAAGTATTAGCTAAGAACTCAGAATTCATATACTTTGATCATATTAATATATTCTTTATAAAAAAGTATGTAATTCTAAATATTTTTAAATTATTATGTAAAAAATGATTTTCAGAATATTTAATGTAAAAAAAGATTTTCAATAATTATTTTTAAAAAAAATATTTCGTGATTTTCTTTTTCTTTATCATAAGACACAGACGAATGACCAAGTCAATCATGTATATTTATATTTGTATTGGATACATATGTAATAGATATTACACAAGTATTTATATTTCGTTTGTCATATGACAAAGTGTCAACGAAACTTTGCAAGCAAGCATATTTTTTGAAGCTAAATTAATCCACCTTAATCCATTTCGTTAAAGATTTTTCTTAGAAAAGATTATTATCAGTGTAAGCAAAGTAAAGTTTAATAAATTTTAAATTTTTTTAAAAAGTTTTTTTATATTAAAAAACTCATATAATTTTGGTGACAAGTGTTTATGTGTATATATATTTTTTTTAAAAAATATGTAATAACTTGCCTTCTATTGATTCTAAGAGGCTAAAAATTATTACCTTTAGATGCGCCTTGATTAGACAAATCCAATGAGCTAAATTTCATCTTTTTGTGATCACTAGATGACAAGTTATTTTCAAATTATTTTTTCCAAATTCAGTTCTTAGGAAAGTTTAAAAAAAAAAATGTATTGGACCAAATGGCATATTTTCATGCCTATTTCAACAATTGATACTTTACATTGGTGAAACGCCAGATTCTATTTATATATAAGTTGCACCGAAATTATATATGAATTTTTGCAGTAATTAATTTATTTAACGAATACATTTATTACCATGATTAAAAATTTTATATGTACTTCTTGACTTTCATTTGTTTCTACCTCTTATGTTATATCATTTTCTTCGGCCGAAATAAGAACGAACATTTGTTACTTATTCCAATATTTTAAAATGATTTTTATATTGTTGTAAATTCCATGTTTATGATATTTCTCATAATGACAACAACCATATTAAAGTCAAGTATTTGATAACATCCATAGTGGTATTCACGTTCACAAATTAATACTTCACTAAGTTTTTTTGTGACAATAATAATTAATTTGTTTTTTCCATGATTTTAAAAAATTTCTTAATAGAAACAATGATGTTTTTTCTGAAATAGCTTTAATTCTTTGGTTTTTTCAAATATATCTTTAAGTTCACAATGGTTTCGTACATAAAATAGAATTACAAATATTTATGATTAAATAAATAAATAAAAAAATTTAAAATAATTGAAGTGAAATTACATTAACTTAATGTTATCTACATTACTATTTGATCTTATTTTACTATATATGTTTTCACATAATAATCATTAAAAATTTACTAAAAATAGGATGTTTAATATTACTCCAATACAAAACATTAGAAAGAAATGCATATAGTTATGTCTCTTCCAACGATATGCAAAAGCCCAAATTCTGAAATATATTCATTAAATGATACATTATCTAATAATCAATAATCACACAATATTCAATCTTTTTGCATATGTACCCAAATTTTCAGATAATTGCATTTTCTAATTTTATAAACTAAAAATCAAGTAGTAAATTAATTCTCCATTGTTTTGGTTTTTTTTTTTTTTTTTTTGACTAAAAAAATTGATTTCAGCTAGTATTTAAGCAAATTTGTTATAGCTTTTCATATAAATAGCAATCTGTTATTAATGGTGGTGTCAACTCGGCCATTATATAATCATCCAATTTATTTTTACTTCTTTCATTGAATGCATATTATTTTGTGCATATTATTGCATCAATTCAATTTGATCAAATATTCCGTATAAGCCAAAAACAGTAGAATTACTTATTTATTATCAAAAGATAATGCGTAACACACAAGTAGCCATATTGCTGTGGACAAAATTATAGTAAATATTACAATAATCACCCAAGTTATAAATATTCAAATAATTGTTCTAATTATAATATAATTAATATTATTGTATTGATTTTATTTAAAGGATATCAATTACAATATGTGATGCAGACAAATATAGTCCCAATTTTCCAACTTAAAATCATTGGCAAATTTGCATTCCAGCTATTATGTAGCATAGATTTACATTTGATTTTTTTTTTTTTTTTTTGCGATCAGTTTTATGGTCATTTGTATAAAACGAATAAGTTCTAGTATATTTTATTTTATTAAAAATAAATTAATATTGTTTGCTTTCATGTGATTTACTTTAAAATTTTTATTTATATAGGGTGTATAGGATACCCTGAGTTAGTGTTCCGATCCTATTTTAAAATGCAATCCGAATCCATCAAATCCGAATAATCCTTAAATTATTTAATTGCTGATCCGTATGTGCAAAATGGATAAAAAATTAGTTTCTTTTTAATTTTATGTTTTTCTGAGATTCTGGACGCAAAATTGTATGTGAAACAATGATCAATTTTTACTACTATAAAGGATTGAGCCGAATTTTACTTACTATCTGTCACATGTGGATCAGCAATTTCATTTTATAATAAATTCGGGGTAAATTTATATATATTTTATTATAACACGCGTGTATAGGTGAATATAAAAATTGTCCCAATATTTATATGCTGAAAAAATCAATTCTTTAAAATTTTTTAAAACTATATATATATTTTTATAATACTTTTGCGCACAACAAATTCAAATAACTTAACCCCGATTTTCTATATGTAATTAGTGCCGTACCAGCAATTAAGATTTGTTAGGATGGATCCAGATTATAATTCAAATTATAATATGTTGATCTGTATCCGTAATCCGTTTTTATTCCTCTTTAAAAATAAATCCGGTATATCCGGATTATAGAATTAATCCGGATTGATCGGATTAAGAATCAGAACACTGCCCTAGTACACTTAAGGGTCCCGTCAAAAAAAAAAGAAAATTAACCATAGACCGCGTTTAAAATTCAAATTTTAAACTATGGATAATTTAGAATTTTGTGCAAAATTTGTGATGCTTCTTTTTATGCGCAAATTTTTCAAATTTTGTGCAAACGCACACTCTGTACGTGTACGAAATTAACAGTCAAGCTTTTCTCAAAGGTTTTTTTTTTTGCATAAAGATTAATTCAGAATTATAAAAAATTTTATATTTGAAATGTTACTTTACTTAAATAGCAAGCATACTTTCTGCAGTCACATCTTTCTATTAAAAATACTTTAAATTTGATGCATTCATCAACATTTTACGTAAGGGATGTTTTTAATTTACGTAAGAAAAAAAATTTTTATGTAATGATTATCAAATCAGGACACAGGCATAGCATATAAGCCTTAAGAATTTGTGTTGATCAATTTGTATGAATTTATTAAGAGAGATTATAGCCGAATGAAACTTTCCTTCCTTTAGGAGAATTCCCGAAGATACAAGGTATTTTCAAAGTACATATATATTATCAAATAAACAATAAAAGATTTCAATTATTGGTTAGATTAAAATTACTAATCCAGTTACTTCAATAAAAATACAATTGTGCATAAAAACTCATGGTTTTTTGAACAAAAAAATAAATAATAATAACCAAAATGAATTTCGAGTCGATTAAATCAAAACTTCATTGGGAAAATTTACAGAATTCAATAATGTCTTCGAGTCTTTTTATTAAACTTCAAGAACGTATTGAATTAGCATTAAAATCCGAATTTGGCATTAAACTTATAGAACACGTTAAATTAACAATGTCGTCACGCATAAATCAGCAAATATTAAAATATGTGTTAATTATAGTTGTCCTCGGAATTTGCGTTATTAATTACAATTTGTTTTTTTTAATGTTTATTCCACCATTTTCATTTTTTGGATTGTTCTTTATTTCAGTTGTTCTAATAAATACTATCCGTAAGTAAAATTAAGTGAATTAAATTTATTTAATTTAATTTTTAATTAATTTTAATTATTTCGTTACAGTAATCGCATATGGTTTCGTCTGGATTCTTTATTTACAACTTGGTATGTAAATATTATAAATATTTTAACTTATTTTCCAAAATAAAAATGTTATTATTTATATTATTATTAATAAATTGTTTATTTTATATGTCATTCATTATAGCCCAATTCGAAAGAGAATTCTTCCTTCCCTACAAATATAAAAGAATTTTGCAAATCCATTACTTATTCTCTAAAGCAATTTTGAGTTCCTTTGCTTATTTTCCAGCAATTACCGAATATTTATATATGAGATACATTGTAAAAAAAAAGGTGGAACAATTCATAAAGTAATAATTTTTATCTTTATTATTTATTTATTTTTTTTTTTATTATCATTCCATTTGTTTTTTTTTACTGATTTTTATTATTTATCTAATATTTAAAATAGGAAAGATATTTATTATGGAAGCAGTTTTGTTGAGAATAAACTTGATATTTATATGCCAGATAATACTGTTGGATCAACTTTCTATGGATCAACTACAACTTTCTACCCTGTGATTATATTCTTTTATGGAGGAGGTTGGGCTGTGGGTACGATAATTATGAAATATGTTGATATATAAGTGTAAGCATACGAACCTATGGGTTTAGTATTTATTTATTATTTTCTTTTAAAAAACATTCAGGTAGTAAAAATATTCACCAATTTCTTGGAATGCGATTAAGTCAAATGGGTTACGTGGTCGTAATCCCAGATTATACGAAATATCCAAAAGTTAGTAATTTCCAAATTGGGTTGATGATCAATTTTTATATTCGATAAATATCTTATCCATTGAAAATGCTTAATTAATTTATAGACAAATATTGACGGAATCATATCTGATTTCAAACGCGCGGTGGTATGGACAAAAAAATCTATCAAGTAAGTTTGACATTTTTATTTTGCAGTCTTCACTTTTTTTATTTTTTTATTTTTTTACTTACGTTATTCTATTTTCTTTATTATATATTATAAGTGAATATGGTGGAGATCCAAATAACATTTATTTAATGGTAAATAATTATTATTTGTTTTAGGATATTTTCGAAAACTATCTTAATTTTTCGTATATTATTTATCCAAAATTATAGGGTCACTCGGCTGGTGCACATACCTCAATTTTTACAATAATTCGAGATGTAATTTATAAGTCACGTAACGACGAAGGAAAAACAAATACTGAATTATATGACATTGATCCTGAATGGAATTTGCCTAAAATCTCCGGATTGATTTTGTAATTATATTTATAACTGCTTTAATTATAATTATTATGAATTATTATTTGTTAATATATGTTATTATTTATTGTTATCTTTTGTTATTTATCAACCTGTTCAATTTCTATAAAATTTTAAAAGGATGTCTGGTAAGTAATATGGTCAATAATTTACAATAATTTTATGTTAATATATGACTAAACTTTTTATAAAATATGAAAAAATATATAAAATTTAGGGTGTTATGACATGCCTAAGCATTATGAATTTGAAGTAAGTATTGGTTTCGAGGATCTTTCTTCAATGTCAAGAGTCATGGGTGAGTTATCACATTCATATATTATTATATATTTTGTTGTTAATTTTCTTTTAAATTGTTAAATTGTTTAATAATTTTCTTATGTTTACAGGAAACACTCAAGAATCACTTGTCAAAAATTCTCCATTACTATTGATCCAAGATATTGCTAATAATAAACTGATTAATATTAATCAAGTAAAAAATTTGATGCCCAAAAAGATTTTTATTATTCATGGAGATCAGGTAAAGTTATAATATTAATTATAATTGAAATATTATAACATATCTAATTTGGTTTGTAATTTATTATAATATAGGATTTTGCGGTTTCAATGGAACAATCGGTCAGATTGAATTATATCTTAAAGGATTTACCAATCAAGGAATTAAAATTTAAAATTTATCAAGATAAGGGTCATGATGAAATTGTTTATGATATGATGAACTTGTCTAATCCTGAATTGGTTGCTGATTTTAAAGAATTTATGTCTGTTTAAATTACAAAAAGATAACAGAAACTTAATATTTTTATTTATTTATAATATTATTAATGTCAGAATTGTAAATCTCAAAACCATTAGATATTATGAAAGAATATATAAAATATAAAATTTACTTAAATATATACATTTCTTTAAATAATTGGATTTAACCTTGCTCCAGCTTCATTTAATTTTGAAAATAAAGTTTCATTCTCACCAACGACATAAGTTAAAGTGCATCGTTTATAATAATCTTTAGCAAAAACTTCCAGATTTTCAATTATATCATCAAGTAAAAAAGCTTTGGCAATAGAAATTCCCCCAACAATAATATCATTTCTTAAATGTGTGACATGAACATGGAAATGATCTAAATAAATGAAATATTAAAAGAAATTTTAAAGAATATCAATTAACAAGACAAAATCCAATATACAATTATTAAAATACTCTTTAATTACAATAGGAGGGTTGATAATGCACAAATAACCGTAATTCATCTGAACCGATATTGGGATATTTTTGAGGAACAAATTCAAGAATTTGTTGGCGAAGATTTTTTAACAATGGTAAATGTGATCCATTTAAGTCTCGTAATGAACGTATGTCATTTCTATATACTACTGCCTGAAGATATAGAGATTCTATTGTTTTGTTATCCCATTTCCTGTTTTTTTTTATAATTAATAATATATATTTCTATTATTAAAACATATATTTATATTATTAAAACATATATTTATATTATTATAACATATATTTCTATTATTATAACATATATTTTTATGATTATAACATATATTTCTATTATTATAATATATTTTATATTATTATATTTTCTTGATAGAATAAAATTTATAAACATCTTACATGTCTGGAATTAGAAGAAATCCTTTTTCTTCTCCTTCAACTTCTAATAATATTTTTTCAGATTCACTTTTTTTAGATAAAATGTTATAAACCCATTGGATTCTACTTTTAGGAATAGATTCAATATAAGGCTTAATAACTTTTTCATAAATTTCTGGTGTTTCTCGTACAAGGTGTCGTGGTTGATAACTATATTTTTCAATATGCTAAAAATAAATTTTCAGTTATATTTTTAAAAAATATAAAACTATTATTAAAATTATTAAAATTATAAAAGTTTTATATGTAATTATACCGTCTCAGTAGCAGGATAAATAAGAATTATTTTAAAATCTGGCCATTTTTCATTTTTATTTAACAAACCATTAAACCAATGATATATATCATTTTTTTCATTTGGAATCCATTGAGATATTCGTTCTTTTGTCAATATCTCATATTCATCATTACTAAAATGTAATTTTTCAATAATAATAATTGAATCATGAGGATTTGATGAATCATTTTGTGAATATAAAGTGCCAAGAATTGTTGCAGTTTTCGTACGAGGTTCTTTTAAATATTTAAAGATTAGTTGTTTTCCCTTTTTTAAAGAAAAAATTAAATAAAATTAATGATTAATCTATAATAATATACCCTCATTAAGTAATCTGACAAATTTAAATTCTTTTAATTCTTCAGGTGTAAGAGTCCTAGATACTTCATTTTTATTAATTTCCGACATCAATAATAAATGAATGAGAAAAAAAATATATATATATATTATTATATCGGTGGCGATCTATCAATAGAATAGCTTTTTATCCAATCATAATTAAAAAAAAATTTTTTCGACCTGAATTATCCCAAGTTAGGATGTTTCAGTACTCCCATGAAGGCATGGTTAAAACCAAAAACCCCTCGAGATCACTATACCCAGGACATCCCGACTAATCACAAATTTGAGATACATATTTTGAACTTAAAATTATTAAAATTGGGATTTTATTTTTTTTTGTAAATTTAATTAACAAACAATTATTCAAGTTTTGCTATAACCCTTAATCTAACATATGTAATTACCCAACTGTCATCTTTTTCATTAAATGTTTCAGATTTGCACATGTTAACCACTTCATTTATAACTTGATTTCTTTCCGCTTCTTTTAAAACTTCTAAAAATGCAAATCCAAAAGTTTCAATCCATCCAGCAAGATTTGTTGGCAAATGAGTTGGACGAGGGAACAAATTAATCGAATTTATTTTAAAAGAATTGGCAATAAGAAGATTTGCAAATTCTTCTTGAGATGGAAAATTCCTTTTAAAAAACACACATAAAAGTCAGGACTGATTTATTTATTTTATTTATTTTATTTATTATAATCTTACCAAGGAGAAAGCGAAGTTCCGTCATATCCAAGTTTATTAAGTGTTGCAATTAGAGATTTCTCAACAACTTTAAAATGAATAAATCAGTAAATCATGTGTTCTTATATAAGAATGCACATTCTTTTTACTCATTTTTTTTACCTTCTACGTTGCCATGACCACCTAATTCAGCTACAAATCTTCCGTCAGGTTTAAGACATTTATGAATACCTTCAATTACTGCTTTCTGATTTTTCATCCAATGAATTGCTAACCCAAAACAAATGTACAAAAAAAAAATGTAAAAATATTTAAAAAAAAAAAATAATGATTGCATTTATTAGGAACCTTTGAATTACCAGCATTTGAAAAAATAGCATCAAAAGACCCTTCGAATCCTTCATTTTCAATCCATTCTGACAATTTCTCTCCATCAACTACTCTAACATCATTACATCCTTTCTCTTGTGCAGCTTTGATCATTTTATGACTTTTATCAATACCGATACATTCTTTACATAACTGTTGAATTTGAAATGTCAATGCACCATCACCACATCCAAGATCCAAAATTCGTTCATTTGATTTTGGAGCAAGAAGAGTGATAAGATCTTGTTGAGGAATGGAATATACGAAATTAGCATGGGTTAAATAGTTGGATGGAGACCAAGAATCTTGTTGAAATTGAGAAGCCATAGATTTTGTTTTTATTTTCAATTGAATACGTGAAGTTTAGTAATCTTTTATATATAACCTTTAAATATCGTGAATTTTATAATCTTTTATATGTATAATCTTTATGACATATTAATAGTCATATCGAGTCATGTAGGGTCATATATTACATGTAACAGAAACGAACACGGTATTCACGTGATAATGCGTACTTGACTTAATACGCGTTTTTTTATAACTACTAAATTAAAAACTTGATATTTAAAAATACCAAAAACGAAAATGACGAATTTAAATTGAAATATATACAAACAATAATAAACAATACGACGGATAATACAGTTCAAACCAATAAAATATATTCTTGAACTATTGGAGATATTTTAGTAAAACAAATTCTTATTATTGTGATAATAAATTATTTGAAATGACAATTCAGGAAGCTTTACGACGAAAAATGATCAAAGAAGGGAAATAACTATAACAAAGTCAAATTTCTATAAATTATATTATTAACACATGTGGCGCAATATGACAGATAAATTACGTTTATCGAAATTGCATTCTAAAAATTTCGGGATAAACATTTCATCCGTATTGTGAAATTCTTTAATAAAAATTATTTATTGTATAATAAAGAACTGACATAAAAACAATTTCGTTGACATATAATCGTTTGTGGCATATTCTTTTTGGTAATATAAATTTTCTAATAAATAAATTTAAAGACCACTTCCTTCGCAAAATTTTTCTTAAAAAGAAATAGTCATCAAATTGTTGAGGTGAATTTTTATCATGGATTCTGTTTGTTGCTGTTCTCTTGCATGAGATTCTTAATAATGTTTAATAAAAAAGTAGTATTTTGTTGTTGTTGTTCATTTCCTGACAAACCATCATTTAACATATTTAAAAAATTCATCATCTCTGGATTCAAAATGTTAAAAGGCAAAGAATTAAAATTAGAATTAGAATCATTATTATTCATCTCTTTACTTCCTGTATTAATTGGTTGTGTCATCATTGATTTTGTTGTGTCATTCTGAGCTGAAGAAGATGGAATTGATGGTGAAGAAATTGATAGTGGTGAAATGGAAAATGAATTCATTTGATTAAGATTAAAGGATTCATCTACATTTTGATTATGTAAAGTTGAAGAAGATGAAACTGGAGAAGGTGAAACTGAAGAAAGTGAAATTGAAGATGAACTCATTTGATTAAAGGATTCCTCCACATTTTGACTTTGTAAAATTGTTTCAGATTGGTTTATGGACTTTGTTAACTCGTTGTTCGCTTGAGAGATGTCATTCTCCCAATTAAAAGGATTATCAAAAAGATGAGAATTATCCTTATTATCAACATCAAATAGATCTTCCAATGTAATTAAATCCACTTCAGTAATATCTTTTTCACCCTCTGTAATATCTACAAAATCGTTAGACTCATTGGACAGTAGTGATGATGAGGTGAAAATGGAAGATTCAAAATTTTGAATTTGTGATGTGTTATTTAAATTTGTAGGAAACGTAACGTTTGTTGGAGTAAGTTCATCATCAATATCCATCGGAACATCTTCCATGTCTTCCACATCTTCCACGTCTTCAACATCTTCAACACCTTCAACATCTTCACCATTTTCAACATCTTTAACACCTTCTGTGTCTGGAATTTTTTTCAATATTCGATTTCTTAAATCATTTAATACTCGCTTATGAAATGATTTTAATCCTGCAATTTGGGAATGATGTCGAGAGATAATACATTCTTCCTCCTTTTGAAATTGCTTCTAAAATAAACGATCAATTAAAATTTAGGGATTTAAATAAAATTTAAAGATTTAATTTAGGAACTAACTCACATATAAATCATGACTTGACCTTTCTTCGGATCCGTTATAAAGTCCTATTTCTTTAATCTCTTTATCATTGAGATTTTCTTTTTCTATTCCATTAATTATATTTTTTACTGTAGGACAAAGTATCAGAGATTTTAAAGTTTCGGAATTGCAATATTCTGAATTTATCTTTTTATAAAAATCTTTTCGATGTTGTTTTCTTTCATTAATTTGATATCTTAAAAGGAGATTCATTTGATTTTCATGTTCATTACTCAAAGATTTCTCCCGTTTTAATAAAAAATCTAATTCAGTTTGATTTTCATTAGGAGGTTCAATTTCTTCATCAAATCTATTAAATTTGAATGTGATTATTATATGATTAAATAATATTTGAATTCAATAAAAATAATTTACCGATCTGGAAACGGTTTTATCATTATAGGAAAAAAACTTTCATCCTAAATGAATTGTCCCAAGTTATTAAGATTATAATACAAGACAAGCAAATTAATATATTAAAAAATAAATTAAATTAATTAAAAATTAATTACTAATTTTGATTTATCAGACATTATTGTTTTTTCTTAAAATCTCTTTAATATTAACAAGATTAAGAGAGAAATGAATTCTCATTAATTATATATAAAAATCAAAAGATTATTTTAAACAATGTCATCATATAATTATATTAATATCTTTATTTTAATATACAATACATTTTAACTTCACACACATCATTCCTTATTATTATTTCAAATAAATTGTGACATAACAGTTTTTTTTTTTTTTTTGCTAAAAAGTTCTATAATATTAAGTTGAATGAAGAAAATTATATTTCTATTAAATAAAAAATGAGAATTTGAATTTTATTTGAATGAAAGTGATGCAAAATTATTAATTACACGTGCTATTTTATAAGATGAAAAATTTACATCCCAGAAAGAAATAATGAAAACTCTTATTAACATGACCCTTCATCAGCCAAAGAGTCAGATGAATTAGATGAAGAATTACTATTGTAAAAAAGTCCTGAATCTTGTGGTGCCATTCTTTTTTGAAATACATCATTTGGAAATACACCTGGTATAGGTTTCCAATTACATTTTCTTCCCACTCGATAAATGTTTTCTAACGTTTCTTCAAATATTCCTTTGGATTTTAATTCCAAATATTTTTTATATATTGCTAATGCCTGTATAATTATAAATATATATATATAAGAAATTTTAAATTATTTTAAATGAACAAATTTTTACTTATGAATACTTACTGTTCTGGCATCTTCAATACTGTCATGTGAATCTGTTTGAATATCTTGCCTTAATAAATACCAAGCCAAAAATTTAAGGGACAGTTTTCTATAAAATAAAATTCTTTTAGATAAAAATGACAATATAATCAAATTATAAAATAACATAACATACCGTGCCCTCGTTTTATTATGGAAAATTTCTACAGTGTCTACTACTTGGCTGGGAGGAACCAAAATGTCTAAAAACGTTGTAATTTATTTAATTTAATTAGTAAGTCATATAACAAATTTACTTAAATAATATAGAACAATTACTTATTATTCGGAAATCTTTCTTTAATCCGTGACCAACAAAAATACAACCAAGATCTAACAATAATCTTAATTTTTTATACGCCATCTATTAAAAATAATATTAGAAAAAATAATATTAACATAATTTATTTATTAAATAAATGGACATATAATAATAATAATAATAATAATAATATAAGCGAAAAAAAAATATAAACCTTAAGAGGCACCAATGTATATTGTGAAGTAAGAGGATCTAAGTCACCAGCTTAATAATTCAGTGAATAAATTAAATAAATTATTAATAGAATTGTATACAAAAACCATAGAAAATTATATAAAGGATACCTTTTATTCCGGAAAATTCGGTTAAATAATCAACAACAGGTTCTGAAGCAACAATATGATCGTCTATCAATGGAAGACCTTCTTTTGGACCCTCACCACGTACTACACTAACTCGTGCTAAGCTAAGTAGCTTTGGACGAAGAACTGATATCGTCCCATCACTACTTATTTCAGTCTCCTCCTATATAATATATATCGAAAATAAATATTATAACGTATAAATACGAAAAAATAATAAACAAATTTATAAGATTCGAAATGTCAATAAATTTTACCTGGTTTAGAGCCACAAATTCTGCATCTATTGCTATTAATGTTCCAGGTTGAGGCGACTCATCCGGTGCCAATAGATGAGCTGTCTTTATAAATGAATTACGCCTTCTAACAAAATATGTGATATTTGAGTGATACTTAGATGGTATTTGGATGATATTATTAAAAAAATACCTTGATATTGAAATATCTCTAAACAATATGGACTTATCAATTTCTTCATGTAATGGTCGGGTGTCCATTAGATCCGCAACATCAACTCTTGAATAGTATAAAAGAACCGGAATCTAAAAAATCAAAAAATTAAGATTAATAAAATGTAGAAGGCTTAAGAGTAAGAAGACAATACTTACTTTCCAGGAACCTTGAAAATTAAATACTTCTTGTTCAGTAACATTTTTAACCAAAAAGTCATTGAATAAATACCAAGGGCTTTCACTAGATTCATCCAATTCGTTTTCTGGAACTAATAAAAATAAAATAAAATTAATATATAATATAATTAATATGATATATAAATAAAATATATAATATTGATACCCTTAACAAATGTCACAAGATTTGGAATCTCTTTCTCTACTCGAACTCGAGCTACAAGGGCTTTTAATTCATAATTCGCGTAATTCAAATATCCTGTGGAATTCGTATCAACAATTGCACCAATTTCTCGTTCACTGACAAACAGATTATCTTTATCTATTTTTATCGAAAGTCTATTACGCAATAAAAAAAAAAGATTATCAAAAGCTTTTTTGAAAAAGTGTTTATATAGCAAATGATACATGGTAAAATACCTCTTTGGCAACCAAGGTTTATTGCCATCGAGAGATCGCCAAAGCTCCGTAGGAACTGCCTCTTCGGGTCCGCAATTAATTGACAAAATGGGTGGAAGACTTTTTGGGACTTTCTTGGCAACTGTGGGAACATATCGTTGACAATTATTGCACCACGCTTTTGGTTGGGTTTCACGCCATATACTTGTTTGCAATATTTCAACAAAAGTTTTCGATAGGGGAATTTTTCCCTTATATACTTTTGATGATGAATAATTTAAATCGATAACAAATGGATGCATCTCTCGTTCTGTTCGAGTGCCACATCTACATAAACTAATTGAAGTCATCCGCATCCCAAATAATTGTTGAATAGTTGATAGGGAAGATTGTTCTAATGGTAAGGGCTTTAGCAATTGAACGTTGTTATTAGAATTACATTCTTGGTGCAATTGTTCAAGAATAAATCGATTCGAGTTTTGAATCAACATTGAATAAGGCGTTTTCTCGTTTGGTTCCTCCGGTTCAAAAAGACCAAGCGCCATAGCTATTTGACGAAGCAATATTGAATAAATAACTTTAAAACAGATATTAATCAATATAAAATATACCTTGTGGGATTGTACTGAATGCTCTCAAGAAATTGGATGCTTGGCAGTTTCTTCCTTTTGCATCCTCCAGCATTCGAAATAAAAACCCCATTTCACAACAAAGACAGTTTTCTATAGGACAAGCAGACCCAATATGGGATTTTGCTATTAATCTTAAGGCAGGAATGAAAAATAAAATTTGTAATAACGAATTGCAATAACAATTCTTGATATGGGTCTCCAACCCTGCGTATTTTGTCTTATTATAATATCTTGATAGAAGTAGATGTAAAAAAAAAAAATATGTATTAATGAACATTAATTCGCTTTTTTTTTTATAAATAAAAAATTCAAATAATTTGACTTACTCAAAGTCAAAATCGTCTACTCCAAATCGACTATACATAATTTCAACTCTTCGATAATATTTAGGCATTTTCGTACTGGTTGCATCTAATTCAGTTTCACCGTCAAATAAAGATGATGGTTCCTATATAATTCAAAAATTATTTCATTAAGTATTTGGTAAACATTTTTTATTAAAATATTTTTAATTGAAATATTCAAGTTAACCTTCGATCCTTTCCCCGTTTGCAATTCTCGTTCCTTTTCAGAAACGAATTTGGGGGCTTCAGTTTTCTGCTTCTTCCTTAAGTATTGTGCGACTAGATTTCTTCTTCGATTTCCTGGGTTAGGAGCATACCCGACAAAATCTATCATCTTCATATTTTTTTCAATTTCAGGATCGATTTTGGGTGGTGGATTACCGACTTCAAATGTCATACCGTAAGGCCACACTGAGAGGAGTGGTTCACAATAATAAGGTAACCCAACTAATGACAAAGGACTAAAGATATGTATAAAGAATATTAAGATATATACATTAAGATTGGTTTTGATTTTTTAAATATATAATTCTCTTACTCATTATCACCAATAAAGACATTTGGTTTTGGAGCTGGAACATCGGGTAATTCAGCAGGATGAGAAAAAGCGTTAATCTTTGAATTTTTGCGATCACCCCATATATGAACAACATTAGCAGCATCGCCAAATGCAAGCATCTCCCCTGAAGTGGAAAGATCAAAAGAATTTATGTAACTAGTAGTGTTTGCCTTTGATAAAGATCAAATGAATATAAATTGAATATTTATGTAAAAAGACACTAGTAAACGAAATATCCGTAAAAAGAACTCGCAAATAAATACCTGATAAAAATGAGTATATGAAACATTTCCTACATCACATATGTGAAATTGGCCAGAACGAGATGCAATGAATACAGTGGTAGAAAGTTTGGGGTGCATCTTAAGGAAACAAGGACCAGGTGGAAATGACAATGGAACAAGAGGTCGCATTGTCCTTATATCATATACTTTGACAATCGGATCTATTATGAGGTTTCCGTTCCTTCATATAAATTTATAAAATATAACATTAATTCCTTAAAATACTTTAATAATATTTTTTTCGAAAAAAAAAAAATAATGTTAACCTTGCTGAAAAACCACAAGTCAATAATAAATTTCCCGTGGTATCAATGTCAGATATTGTTCCGGTGTGCGCAAGTATTCTATGTTCTACTTTGTAAGTTCTTGGATCCCTTAGAATTACTTCTCCGGACGAAGATCCACAACATAACAATCGTGATTTTCGCATAACTACAATTTCACTATCGGATTCAATCTGTATCATTTAATAGAGACGAATTAGACAAATTATATATTTAACACAGCATAATTTGGAATTATCTTTACATACCTTTTTTACAACAGTTCCTCTTGCCAAATTAACAACAAGCATATCTTGTTGGCTTCCGGCTGCCAGAATTTCAGAATTAGGAATTGTTGTGTAGGTCATACAATGCAAATCGGTAATATTATCATTTCTAAAAAATTTTATGATAAATTTATTTTCTTCTCAGACGCAACGATTTAAACACCGAAGTTGGATGACATACTTTATTGTCCATACAGGTAAACCCCTGCGATTGATCATCTTAATTGAATCTGAGCTTAAGGATATCACGCCTACATCATTAACTAGTAATTGCTTGACCGGAGTCAAATATGCTCGGAAACTTGTGTATCGTTGCATTCCACCACCGAAATAGGATGCAACACGGCCCTATTTTTATTAAAATTTACATTTTTACATCCGATAAAATTTTTTTTATTTTTTTTTTTCTTCTAGTTTACAAATCCATTCAAAAAAGAAAATTACTTTAATTACTTTACATTATCACTTCCAGTCCACAACAACTCTTGATAAGGATCAAAAGTAATGGCCGATATAGACTGAGTAGTGTTTACATGCGGGGCACAAGCTGAAAGTATTTCTTTCCAACCATCCATTTTTAAAAAATACCGAACATTTATTGTTGAGAATATCGAAAAAATGTCTTAAAAATTTAAGTGATAAATTCAAATGCGTGAAATTCAGAAAACGGAATAGAAAGAATGTCAATCAGTCATCCCATGTGAGGTTTGTTTATATATCCCATTCCATTGATCAACAATAAATAAAGAATGTTTGTTTTGATTGGTTAACGATCAACAATGCAATGTATTTGATTGGTTTAATTGAGTTGATCAACAAATGTTAATTTATATATTTTTTAACACCCCTCACGTGGCTCTATTAAAAACTTTTACGTATTTGAACCTTCGCAAAAAAAAAAAAAATACGGATCTCATATTCAAATGGTTCTTTAAAAGAAACTGTTGAGTTTTGTATAATAAAAATATATGAGGAAAGAAACCTATTAATTATATATTATAATTGGGCAATTGTTTTAAAAATATCGTTAAAAACCAATTTACAAGTTATATTACATGATTACTCTATATATTTGTTAAATATGATTTTACGTTTACAAACAGTTATTACTATACAAGAAATATGATAATATAGAGTTTTGTTTCAATAAACGATTATGAAAGCTAAATTACATTTACAAAATTTTTAATATAATAAAAGTAAAGCAAAAAAAATAATTATGAGTTAATGTAGTATATCTAGGATACAAAGCAAGTTTATTATTATTTAGTTTATGTTGAAAATTAAATTATATGCTTTCGTAATGATCTATAATTTTTTACAAACAAAATTTCATATTGGTTAAGATTATAATCAAATAACACCAATGATAAGTATATTATTCAAAATTCTTGTATAGCCTGATCATTTTGACATTATATGAAGTGAATAGAATTTTCTATTTGTTATAGAACAGTTAATAATTGGATCTTTAGCTGAAAGACAAGCATATATTAGATTAGCTTATTTAGGTTTACTATAGAGAAACCCTATCTTCCATTTTATTATGTATATTTAATTGAAAAATTCAACCAAGTATATCCAAAGTTGCAGTATTTTTGACATGAATAAGTTATCCTATTTATGAACCTATCAGTCTAATCAAAAAATTTGCTTCCTATTTTTGCTTATTTTATTGGAAACTTGTATTATTCATTTCATTTACCTTTTAATTAGCTGATAATTTGTCCTTATTTAGTATCTTTCATATAATTCAATTGTAAAATTCAATAATACTTATATCATAGCTCGTAATCAGAATTTTGACCTTTACCAATCAGCAAGGTGTAGCTCAAATTTATTATTTATTCCTTTTATCTACTCATTAGATTCATTATATATGTTTCATCAAATTGATATTTTAATGTTTCTGATTCGAAACGTACTTAAATAAATTCATCAAAATTGTACTGAATTCAAAATGAACAACTGATACATCTAACTTTGATCCAAATGAACAGTTTGAATGAAAAGAAATCCTAAGGCCTAAAATTCAGGAAGAACTAATGGAAAGGGGAATCTCTTTTTAATTCAATTTTTTAAATGTAATTCTTATGCTCTGACTATCCAAAAGCAAAAAAAAAAGACATTATTAATATCAATAAATTGTTACTTACACTCTGAAACCTATTTTCAAAATCAATGAATATATTATTGAATTATTGGAAATATTCACTTTGATAATATGATTATGATGTTCTATATTGGTAAGTTCTATTGTTCTATTTTATTTGTATATAATCACAATAAATTCTTATTGTGAGTAAAATATGATCACTATTGCAGCTCCGAACGAATATTATTTTTTACGTTATCTTTATATTGCCTAATTTGGTTTCTTTTTAGTTGTCTCTTTTATATATGATTTTTTAATCTTCTGTAAAAATCACTGATACGTGAAAAATAAACTGTATCATTGTTGTTCTATATATACACAAGGTATTCTCTATTTAATAGCCAATGATATTATTAGCAAAATTATATACAGAAAATTATTATGTTATTAGAAATAATAAATCATTCAAGAAAAAATATTGAAAGTGCGCTGTGCGAAAATCAAATTGAATTAAGCAGAAAAAAAGATTTTAATAATTTTATGAACCAAAAAGATCAAATTTTCTCTTTTCAATCCTTCCATTTCTTTTTGATGTCAAGCAGCAGCAATTATTCTTCCAAATTCAAATGAATTAAACATGTAATTTAATCGTTTCTCTGATACGATAATATTACGCCATTCGACTTTGCACATGCAAAGATGATTCAAAACAGAAAAAAAATGAACTGTTTATTATTTAAAAGTAAAACATTATTTTTAATATAAGAATCACAAATAATAAAGAATTGAGCGTGTAAGAAATGACTAAGGAGAAAAAACAGGGATTCTTAAAGAAAACAATGAATCAAATAGGTATATTATAGTTCTCCTGAATGTTTCATTTATTTTTTTAATCATTTTTAAATTGCGGAATTTTTATGACAACTTTTCTATATACAGTATATGATTTCCTATTATTATGTACATTATTGCTGATTTATGGAATTATATAAAAAAAAAAAAAAAAAACTAGTAAAGAAAATATATAAGAAAAAAAAAATCCAAAATTTATCAATTTACTATTTAATCCCTATCCCTATATACGTTCATAATATGTTTCTTCTTCATAGATGTAAATAAAGAAATTTTATAAAAAACTAAAAGATTCTTTTCATTTTTGCAGAGATGGAAAAAATTTACTGGACTGGATTAGCATGACAAATAATTTCGTAATTAAAATGAGAACTGTTGTTTTACTAAAGGTTATATAAAAAGAACTGTTGTTTTACTAAAGGTTATAAAAAAAGAACTGTTATAAGAATATCTCCAATAGTTCAAGAATATATTTATTATTTTGAACAGGATTATTCGGCGTATTGTCAACAGTATGATTATTGGAATACACGTCAATTAAAAGTTCGTTTTTTTCGTTTTCTTTAATTTTTTCAAGATCAGTAGACCAGGAATTAGATTTAATTGAGCTGAGATCCGTATCCAGTAAAGATTGCTCTTTTTCAGAAAGTTGTTGTTGTTCTGTAAGTTGACAGGAGTTGTCGTCACTTAAATCTATCAAGACCCAATCTTCAGTCGTATCTGTGTTAGACGCGTTAGTTGTGGAAAATTTGAATTCAATTTCAACTTGACTTTTGGTTGTAGACATTTTTTTCAAAATATTCATTATTCAAATAGACGTACGACTAATCAAGGTAAATGAGAGGAATAAGTATGCAGATTATCAATAGATCATGTACAAAGTCTCGTGGTTTTTGTTTATATTTCACAATAATGACACGTGGATATCAATTTTTTTTATAAAAGCTAAATCTAAGATTTCTCCGATTTCTCCGATTTCTTTGTCGTCAAACACGAATAAATTATTTTTTATAAATTGTTATTAGTGTTGTAGTTAATTCTACCTACCTTTTATGTTAATAAAAATTTTAAGGCTATTTAATAAAGTTATTATTTCCGATTATTTCCTATTGTGTAGTGTTTTTTTTTGAATTCATTTATTTTTTATTCTTTTTATTCTCGTACTACTGGTGCTATTCTTTCTTATAAGACCAAATCAAGAATTCTTTTGTAATTATAAAGTATCAAACTTAAGAAAATGGATGGCGGCACACTAAATACTCAGAAATCTTTTCCTCTAACATCAAGTCCAATCACTATTCCTTCTCATGATACTTTTCATTCCAATTATACCTCAAACAATAAGTTGCATGCAAATTCTTTTACCTCGCCCTCTTCGGTTGAGCCTCATTCTACCTCGCTCTCTTCGGTTGAGCCTCATTCTACCTCGCCCTCTTCGGTTGGGCTTCCTTCTACCTCGCCCTCTTCGGTTGGGCATGATAGAAAAAATCGCACCAACTCTTTTTATGACAAGTTGGTCATTCGTGTTGAGCAGCCAGTAGGTGGCATGTCCATTTCCCCATCTAGCCGTGATATAGTATTAGCCGCGTACGTATTTAAACGTTGCGATTTATTTTTTTTGTTTATAATCTTATAGTAATCAAATTGTACAATAGAATTTGCTTCTAAACACTATTGATGAATAGACGAAAAGGACTTTTTATCATTGATCTTAACAATCCTTGGGAACCTCCTCGCGGACTTCATCATTTAACAAAATGGGAAGTAGCGGACGTACAATGGAATCCTCATTTAGCACGTGAAAAATGGGTGGCCTCAACGGTATTTTGTTTAATTTAACTATTACTTTTTTTTTTTTTTTAATCTTGCGAAAAGGAAGAGGGAAAGTTATAAATGGCTTATAATTTTCACCTTTTTAATACATCAGTCAAATCAAAAAGGACTTATTTGGAATCTGTCGCTTTCTTCAGATGCTGTTGAATTTATTCTTCACGGCCACAAACGTGCAATTAGCGATATAAACTGGCATCCATTTAATCCCGATGTACTTGCTACATGTTCTGTAGATACTTATGTCCATCTTTGGGATTTAAGAATACCGAAGAAGCCATTTCGTTCATTTTGTGCATGGAACTGTATGTCTTCAGTCTTTTTTTTTATAAAAAAATTGTAAAATTGATAATTTATAATTCAATATACTTTTTGTATTTGTATTCAATACATATTCAGCTGGTGCTACACAAGTAAAATTTAATGCAAAGAATGAACATATATTAGCTTCTTCTCACGATAGAAAACTTATGATATGGGATATTAGGGTAAATTATTTTAGTCTCATCATCAAATTTTATCAAAAATATTATAATTCATAATTTATTTTCTTTATTTAGAAAGGTTCTCTTTGCGTGACTGAAATTCTCGCGCATGCAACCAAAATATACGGTATCGACTGGAGTAAAAGTGATGAAAAAAATATAATTACTTGTAGTTTAGATAAAAAAGTCAAGGTTTTTATTATTTACAATTTTGGTTTTATATATTATAATAAAATACAATCAAACTTTTCGTAATCAAAAAAATTTTTTATAGTTCTGGAATATTGAAGAACCTGGAAAGTGTCAAGGTGAAATTCAGACAAACTCTCCTGTTTGGCGTGCGAGACATACGGTGCGTATTTTCATTTATTATTTGTTAATATTGATTTTCAATGATAATACATTTATTGACTTTTTTTTTTTTTTAGCCATTCGGTTCTGGAATTTTAACAATGCCACAACGTTCAGAAACTGCAGTACATCTCTGGAATCTTGAAAATACACGATATCCTGTAGAATCATTTACAGAACATCAAGATGTTGTTAAAGAATTCGTTTGGAGGATCAGAGGGGGTGGCAATCAATCTATTGGTACATAATATATAGATCATAAAAATTATGAAGTTGTATTTCAATTATATCTGATTTATATTTATTTTAGACGATAGAGAATTTCAATTAATTACTTGGTCGAAAGATCAAAATTTACGATTATGGCCGATAAGTGATAATCAGTTAAAGGTAATTGCTTCTAATTGTTTCCGGTTTGAAAAATAGTTAGTCTTTTAAATATAAACTTTTTTTTTATTATATATTTAGTTAATTGGCCATGAACGTGGCAAACCAAGATCTCCTAATATCAATATGATGCTAAAAGGGTATTCTACCTTCACATTCCGTGATCCGCCAGATAATCATTCAATTTCTCTTACATTAAATCCATCAACAGCCATTTCCACATTACGAGTTATTCCTGGTCATGGTGGTCATATGAACCACGCTACCACGTTACGTCCGTCTGGAGCTTCCACTGGTGGTGGAAATTTAAAAGGTTACATGGGGGCAGCTGCAGGAATGTTCAGGGCTGATCGTTTTGCATTATCGCCTCTATTATGGATGCAGGGTGTGAGAATGATTAAAACTAAGGGTGAAGGCAGTAATACTGACGTTCTAATGAATATGCGAGAAGAAATCGATCAAGTTACAAACAAATTCAAAAATGTGAAATTAGAAAAGGTTTCACATTTTACATTATCCTGGACATTTTTTTAGTAAATACGTTTTTTACATGATGCTAATACCACATAAATACTAAAAAAAAAAATAAAAATAGCTTGACGTTCCTAACCGTAACTGCAGAATTAGCCTTCATGGACCTTGGTCAGAGAATGGCTTAGCATTTATACGCGTTAATATATTTTATCCGGAGAAATATCCTGAAGATAGACCACCGATTTTTGAGATTCAAAAAACTGGAATGATATCTATAATGAACCGAACGCATATGTCACAAAACCTTAAAAAGATTGCCATAACTCAAATTTCACAAAAGAGACCATGTTTGGAAGCTTGCGTACGATACCTACTCGGAGGTCAAAATTCGGATGGTCAAGATATTTATGGAAAAGATGATTCTGATGAAGAAAATCTTTTGAACTCAAAGAGGAGAACTTCATATGACAATAATCTAATAATGTTGTTGGGAGATAAAGATGATCATAATAGAATTCTCTTTCCAGTAATATGTGGAGCTAGATTTTCAGCGAGTGGTAAATAAATATTCATATTAACGTTATTTCACTTTACATTATTCATTAATTAATAATTAATAATTAATAATTAATAATAATTAATAATAGTTTATAAATTTAATAAATTTCCATAATTTTATATCACAGGGAAACTTGTATGTTTCTTTTCGAATTTTAGATCGCAAGATTTAAGCCAAAAAAGTAATCACTCTGGACATAATTATACATATACACATCCACGTTCTTATGACTCATGGGAACAATATCAAATGATAACAAGGCTTCCGAGGCCTATTTTTGGTTATCAGGATGGAGATGAGGATGATAGCTTGTTTCCAATCTATAAGCAAAAAAAGGTTCAAATCAAGTTTTCTATTATTCGGAAATTAAAGATATAAACAATTTGTAGTTAACGTTTATATTGAAATTTTAGGATGAAACACATGACAATGAAATACCAGACGCAAATCAAATCCCTACTGATCATGTAGCGTTATTTGAGTCATCAGATCTTAACAAAAAACGTCATAGTGTGATTTCATTTGATTTATCAGAAATGATGCCTGTAAATTATAAACTGGCCTCGAAATACGTGTAAGTATATAAAAAACTATTCAAACTTAATATTCAATAATATTCAATGATCTTCACTATATGATTATTTTATTTTATTTTATTTATTTCACTTTTTCGTTCAATTCATAGCCTTCGCGGTAATGATCCGGTGGAGATTTGCAAGCGAAACGCCCAGATAGCTGCAGAGCATAATCGTCCAGATTTGGAACAAGCTTGGATTCTTGCTTCATTAATTCTTACTCAAACTATCCCCAACAAACGTATGAGGAATTCAGTAACAAATGAAGATATGTTTTATCATGAAAGATCAATGAATCCCTATGCAAAACCTTTAGTTAAAAGAAAGAAAAATCGTATGAGTTACGATACTTCATTAGAAGAATTCCCAAACTTATTCGCTAAAGTAAATTGGGGACATCATCCATTAGGAAAAAATCTTGCGCAAGATTTGTAGGTTCTAATTTTCATTAAGATTTTATACTCATTAATTTCTTTGCTCACATTTTTTATTATTATTATTATTTTATTTATGCATATTTTATACAGAATTAATCACTTTATTAACTTAGGTGATATTCAAATGGTTGCGATGCTATCGTGTGTTTTTAGAGAACCGTTTCCTCCTGAAAGGAAAAATGATTTGTCATCTTCTGAAACATATTTTATGGTATCTTAAATGAACATTTTTATTATATTTTCTATATATATATGAAAATTATGAAAATCTTGTTAATATTCATTTTTTTTTTAAAAAAAAAAAAATTTTATAGAACTCAGACTTATTATCAAGTAGCAATAATGATTATTTTAATTACAATAATACGAGGTATTCAGATAAATATCAAATGACTGATTTTATGCGTAGTCAATCTAGTTATCCTGGTTTGTCAACTACATTTGGACTAGTTATGAGTGAATCATATAGTTCATCTAAAGGATCTTTGGGTACGCATCCATATCAATTTGAGAATTTTGGATACTCAGCTACACCTCCTACACCATCAATATATCATTATGGACATTCAGAAGGTACCAGAGATCCTATTATGGTTCCCAATTCTGGTCATTCAATACATCATCAGAGAAGATCTACATTTGGTGGTGGTGCTGGTTCTGGTGTAAGAGATTTTTCTTCAAGTGTTAGTACAACGGCATCATCTCCAAAAACTCCAAGAAAAAGTAGTCCAGCTACTGCAGGATTTACGGGTCGACATGAACATTTCAATTGGCCCATGGTATATTATGGTAACAATGACAAGAGTACAGAATTAGAGAAAAAACCCGAGAAAAGTTCTGGACTGAATTTAGTTATAAATATGGATGAATTTGATGACGAAAGGAGGTATAAAATTTTATCCACTACAATTTTGTATCAATCTCATTATTAACATTATTAATACTTTTGATATTAATCTTTTATTATTATTATTATTATTATTATTATTATTATTATTATTATATTATTTATTGTTATTATTATTATATTATTTTTTATTATTATTATTATATTATTATTATAAAAAAAAAGACCTTTATCTGTAAAGTTGTTAGACGATGATCGATCAATAACAGCTTCACATGATCAATTCAGATTAGCATATTGTGAAATATTATATCATTGGGGTTTTTACGAAGCACGTGCTGAAGTTTTAAAATTTATGAGTTTTGTAAAAGCCACCCGTATTGGAAGCCCTTTGGGAGAACTGCAAGAACCTTTAGGCAAGTAGGGGAAAAAAAAAAGATATATATTAAGAATATCAAAAGTAATGCGAGATATTTTTTTTATTTTAAAATTGATGAATAATTATGATAATGTTTATTTTCGATATTTTAGAAATTGGGATTCATTGTCATAAATGTGGTACAGAATTAAAACATAATTCGACATGTGGAAATTGTCAACGTGATAAATATCAACGTAAAAGTCTAATGAGATGCTCGATATGTCATCATTATGTTAAAGGTATTCTTCTATTTATAACATTTATAAATTTTATAATTTTCATGATTTTCATAATTTTTATAATTTTTATAATTTTTATAATTTTTATAATTTTAAAAATTTAGGATTAATGAATTTTTGTATAATCTGTAAACATGGTGGACATACATCACATATGAGAGAATGGTTTGCATTAGGTAACGAGGAATGTCCGACAGGATGTGGTTGTCTCTGTAAGTTAAGAAATGGAGGATTTGGAGGACTTGAAGAAAAGATTATATAGGTTGATTGATTTAATTAATTAAATTATTATTAAATAATTACACAAATTGTATTTCTAGATAAAATAAATTGTATATTTAAGTATATATTATATTTAAATAAAGTTTTCTATTTTGACTTTATGCTTAAATTGAGTACTGATACGCTTGTGCACGGATAAATTTTATTTGTGGATGATCTGCAAAATAAATACAAAATTGGTTAGATGACATCACAGAATACGTAACTAGTAATAAAAATGGCTGAAATAAAGAAATCTATTCTAAGTTTGTTTATTTTTATTTGGATGGATCTTTGATTATTTTGATAATCGACTGGATTAGCATTTATTAAATTATTTCATCATTTCAATATCTTTAAAAATTCACTTTTTCCAATTATTTATCAAATATATTTTACACCTTTGATTAATGATGAATAAAATTGATCAAATTATTTTTTTATTTTTTAAATATCCTTTTTATCATGGTTATAAACACATTTCTCGATCTTTGAAAATTTTATTCTTTCAGATATTTTTATTTCAATTGACAAATCTTCAATTATCAATTCAATTATTTCTTTTAAATACATTATCCAACATTTTTATAGTATCCGGCAAATCCCAATTTAAATTACTCTACTTTACTCTCAATCGTTATATTAAATTGTCCCCTATTAAAGGTTTTACTCTTTCAATGTTAATATTTTTTTATATATTATATGGTTATTGGGGTAGTGCATTTTCTACTTCGATAATTTTAATTTTTGATAGTATTATTTCTTGTAAATTATTTCCAAATTTCTTTGTTTCCGTTTTTGAAATTTCTAGTTTAAGTATTTATTTATTCTTTGCATCATTTACGTTGAAAAGCACTGGATGGCTTATTTCTGTAATTGTTCCATGGTCTGTATATATTGTACAATTATTCAACCTTTTGGCATGTTATTATTTATTTTCAAGTACCATTTTAGTCTTGACGGTATTGGAAAGGATGAGAAATAATGTGGTATTCATGGTTAAGATGATTCGAAATAAAGGAATTCTGAGATGTGACACGAAACAATTATTTGAACAAATAATGAATTCGAATATATTTTTATCAAAATTTGTAATATGTAATCATGTAATAGATGAAAGAATTGAGAAATGTGAATTATGCACTTTACCATCTAATGATACTAATATTTTTGATTCGATTCATGAAAGTAAAATTCCTCCAACAAGTGGACATCCGGAAATTGATAGAATTATTTCCAATTCTCAATTAAAACCCAGATTTATGTTTTCACATATAGAATGGATTCCATTTGAAAGATTTGAGAATGTTACAAACATTGCAGAAAATCGATTTGGACATATTCGTTCCGCTTGGTGGATTGATGGACCAATGTGTTTTTATGAAAATGTGAGGGTTTGTGGTGGTCAATTAGTTGTTATCAAGAATCTTGGGAGGGATTCTACGGAATTGACTGCCGAATTTTTGCACAAAGTATGTTTGAAATATTTTTTTATTATTTTATAAGATAAAAGCTGCTTTCTATTTTTAATTTATTTTAATTTATTTTAATTACCTTTGGATAATTTATTTTAATTACCTTTGGATAATTTATTTTTAATAGCTTGAAACATATATCAATATTTCAACCTCACAAACAAATTTGCGTTATGAATTGTTAACACAATTCCAATGTTATGGATTGACTCAAGATCCAGATACAAATCAATATTGTTTAGTGATAGATTTTACAAAAAACGGTGATCTAAGAAAATATTTGAATGAAAATTATGAAAACATTAATTGGATTTCTGATAGATTACAAATTCTTGGTAATATAGTAAAAGGATTGAAATTAATTCATGAAGAAGGTTTAGTTCATGGAGATATACATACAGGGAATATTTTAATTGGAGATGATAGAATTGCCTGCATTACGGATCTCATTCAATTAAATAATGATAGTAAGGATGATTCAACGAATAGATCCAAAGGAATGTATGGTGTACTACCTTTCGTTGCACCTGAAGTGTTACAAAGTAATTCAAGTCCGCCGTATGTCAGTTCAAGTGATATATATAGTCTCGGAATTATTATGTGGGTTTTATCATCTGGAAATCCACCATTGTCAAAATTTGAATTCACAACAGGTTTAGCAGTAGATATTTGTGATGGAGAGAGACCAAGCATAGTAGAAGGGACTCCACAATGTTTTGTTGAATTAATGCAAAGATGTTGGAATTCTGATCCAACAAAGAGACCAACCATCAAAGAAATATATGAAAAAGTGATCATGTGGTACTTCTTAGTGGAAGATTATGAGCAATTTCAGAATTCCGATAATAATGAAAGAAAAGATGAGAATCATAACGTGTTTGGAGATGAGAAGAAATATCGTAGTCAATTCATTGATTTGGAAACAATTTCAAGAGTAGAGAGATTTGAAGAATTAGATGGTTTGTAATTAATTTTCTGTCTTATCTTTATTTATTATTGTTTAAATCCTTTTTTTTTTTAATAATATTAAGAAATTTTAATATTTATAATATATTCATTTTTATCTCAATTAGAGTTATGGGGAGGCAAACCTTAAAACCTATAATACAGTCATAATCTATTAATTTACTTTATTATTATAATTTTTTGAACAATCTTGGAATTTAATATTTTGTTTATCTGGTTCATCTATATCATGTCATGTCATGTCATGTCATGTATTTTATTTTATATTTAATAATAAATTGTTTAAGTTAATTGAAAATTGAAATTAATTAAATGTAAAAAAAAAATATTTATCACAATTTAATTAAATTATTATTATTATTACCTCAATTCAAATAATTCAAATTATAATTGAAGACAAGAGAATAATATTACATTTATTCTAATATAACTACTCATTGTGGTGATTAATTCATATATATCTCATTTAATTAATCAATATAATAATATAATTGTAGTTTGCAAATTAAAAACAATATAGACATTAAAATTTATTTTATAATTTTTATTTTATTTGATTTATTTTATTTTATTTTATTTTATTTATTTTTATTAAATCAAATAACATGGAAATAACCAAATTTGATAAATCATCGGGTTAAGACAAATGTAAAACCTCTTTGCTTTATGTAATGCAACTTTATTTCTTCGCTACAGAAAATATTAAATTAATCTAAAGAATAAACATTATCTTCCATTTAATTGTCAATTGACTTTATCAATTAATACATTTGAAATAGTTGACGAATTTGTAATGTATGACATAGAAATTAAAATTATTAAACAGCGACTAGAGAAATAATAATTATAATAATTTTTAAATTTGGTCGAAATATGACAATGGATAAACGTATGACGATAAATTTTGTGTTACCAACTTATATATCATAAAGAATCTTTTTTTTTGCTAGAATAAAAAGACGCGAATTTTTAGTATTTACGTTCTTTTTTTACTAATTATGGAACATCAAGTACCTTCTTCTGTTGCCCAAATTGAACAAGTAAATGTTATTCATTTTATTTATTTTTCATAAAAGGAACTCATCTTTAATACATCATATCTTTCATTTTTTTTTAATATTTTAATATTTCTTTTTAAGGTAATAGCCCAACTTTATGGTGGTGGTAGTGGTTTAGATCCACAATATCAAAAGTCGGCCCAAGAATTCATTCATAATTTTCAAAAACAGACTTACGCGTGGGATTTGGCTCCTCAACTATTGGCTTCGCAGGTTAGAAATTTATATCTACTTGTATATAAATCTCGTAAAACTTATTTGAGCTAACCGCGCGAACTTAAGAAGCACTGAATTATTTTTATTTTAGTCTATTAATAGCCAATTCATTGGTGCTCATACCTTTCAAGTAAAAATCTCACGAGATTGGTAAATATTAAATTTTTAATTGATATTTCATTTTTCGTGTTTATTAACAAAAAATTCATTATATTTAAAAATTTAAAGGAATACCTTATCCTTGGAGAAAAAGCAATGGTTACGTAGAGAACTTCTCGAATGGATTGTAAGATTATCTAATGGTGCTAATTTAGTTTTAACAAAGTTATGCCTGGCAGTATGTATATATTTTGCTTCTTTTATCTTCTTTTTCAAAAAAAAAAAAAAAAAAAATTGAATTGAAAAAAATTTTTAAAAAATTTTAAAATTATTTAGCTTACTGCTTATGCTATACAAGCGGTACCAGATATATGGACAAATTTTATACCGGAAGTTTTCGAAATGTTACATAATGGAGCCATTGCTGTTTCTACTCAAAATCCAGGACAATCATTATTTATTGAATTACCTCTTCTGGAATTTCTAACTGTTGTTCCTGAAGAAGTCATAAGAGGAAATATGGTTGGAGATAAAAAGTTAGTGCAAAAAAAAATTAACATGTAAAATTTTTAAGTCTTGTCATCAAAAAGAAAGAAATTTGTTAATTAGTGTACAATTTTTTTTACATTTAGAGCCAAGGTGAACCAAGAACTCCTTGATTCTATTCCAAGAGTTTTGTCAACTTTAAAAACCATATTATCAAATTATCAAGCTCAACAACAACGAGATATTCTTATAAAAAAAAAAGGACTAAAATGTTTACAAAGTTGGATCATATATGGTGTTCCGTTTGAGTAACGTGTTTTATTTTAATTTTTAATTTTAATTATTTAATTTTTTTTTTTTTTAAAAAAAAATTTGACCATTGATTATTATTGTATATACATAGATCTCTATATCCTCTAATAGATGATGTTATAAATCTTTTTCCATTCGAATCAACTTATGATGAGGCGACTGAAGTACTTATGGAATTATTATCATTACCTCGTATCGCTAAATATCAAGAAACAATTTGTGAAAAAATACTTTGTTGTATGACTAGTGAATGGGCAAAAAATCAAATAACAACAGCTATTCATGGTATAATTTATTATTATTACTATTAATACTAATATTATCATTATCATTATTATTATTATTATTAAAATTTTATATTTTAAATTTTAGATGGAAATGAAATGATTTCAAGAAATCTTTGTCGATTGATGACAACATTTGGGGATAATTTCTCGGATTATATTGCAATTCATTTTTTGAGACAAGATATAATTATTTATCTTGAAATGATGATTATGTTTATAGGATTCCCAGGTTACTTCGGTCAGGATCAAGAGATATCCTTTATTTTTTATTTTTTCTTTATATTCTTTATATTGAGTTTTTTATTAAATAATTGGAAAAAAAAAGTTAATAAATTTCTTTAACTGAAAATTTACATTTCTGAAATGCCATTACAATTTTGGTATGGTCTTCAGGAATCTTTATTTGATCCCGAAGTAATTCCAGTAAATGATGAAAATGTTAGTGGTTCGAAGATGGTTTCACTTGAAGAAGCTCAAAAAATACGTGAAGCTTCAATCATAGTTTTTCAAAGATTGATGGAAGTAGTACGAACTAAAGTTCAATATCCTCCCGATGATGAATGGGTAGAATGGGCTAAAGGTGTGATGATTATTAACCTTAATTAGGAAAGATAACTAAATAAACATACATACAAATTATTTATAAAAAATTTCAATTAATATAATTAATATATATAGATGTTAAAGAACGATTTAAAATTTATAGAAGGGATGTGGGAGATACTGTTCTATATGCATATTACGTATTACGGAATCAAATGTTTGCATATTTAGTGGAATTAGCCATTATGCAATTATCAATGCCTGGAAGAGATCCAAGTCAATGGCAGGTACATATTGCAACATTGTGTTGTTCAATGAAATAATTTCGAATTTTATTTTTGAAAATTAATAATTATTTATTTATTTATTTATTTTCAGGATTTAGAATCAACCTTATTTTTCTTAAAATCAATATCTGAAGCTGTTGATAATAAAGAAAATACTTATTTACCTCGTTTATTTGGATCGGAAGTATATGGAATGTTGCCCGTTCAAGGAAATAGTCGCCTAAGAAACACTGCTTTATCTCTTATTGGTATTTATATATGTCGGATTTACTTGAATATCCATATTATTTAATTTAATTTTTTTTTGACATAAGTTATTCTTTTATATATAGGTTGTTACGCAGAGTGGCTTAAACGACATCCAGAGTACATTTTTTCTGCCCTTAATTATCTTGTTTCAGGATTAAGTGATCCCGAAACTTCTTCATTTTCAGCTTTGTCATTTAAGGAAGTGTGTGATACTTGTCGAGAATCTCTTGTAAATGAAATAGATAGTCTCATTAACATGTATATGGTAGTTGGTCCTCATATTCAAGTAAGCTTATTTTATTATTAATTACCCGAGTGATTAAGTTGAATGTGTTAATTTATTATCAATCATTGAACTTGGAATTTTAGACTAGAGAAAAGCAAAGAGTTATTGAGTCAATAGCGGATGTAATTCAAGCCTTACCTCCTGAAAAAAAGATGGAACCATTATTGGTATAAAATATTGTAAAATTTGGGGTTTTATTTTTCTTGATCATTATTCAATAATTGGTTGGATTATTTGAATTTTAAAGATTTTTAAATATAATTCATAGATTATTTCAAATAGTTTTATCGGAAATTTACGTGAAGCTATAATTCATGGCAAGCAGGTCTTCTTACCAATAAATTCATATCAATTCGATTCTTTTTTTTTTTTTTTCTTCGATCGATTGAATATTTACCGTGTGTTTTCTCCTTTAATTAAAAGAATCCATCTCCATACAAGGAAACCATAATTATTCATTTAGAATATCTTACATGTTGTGGTCGTGGTATTCAACCACCAGATGATGAAGTTATTATAATAGATGATGATGATATTGTTGTGAAGGAACAATCATCATCATCAAACCTTTCTAATGCCTTAATAGAAATTACTGGTAACATTGCTGAAATATGGTGTCATGAGAATGAAGTGATGGAGGTAATTGTTATCATTATTATATTTTATTATATTTATTATATTTATTATATTTTATTATATTAATATCTTAATATTTATTTATTTATGAAATATTTAACTTTGTATATTATTTTTTATATTATTTATTTATTTTATATTATTTATTTATTTATATTATTTATATTATTTATATTATTTATTTATATTATTTATATTATTTATTTATATTATTTTAGTGTTTATGTAAATTTCTGAATACTGGAATTCGCGTTACGGAAAATCTACTTTCTATACCTTTCGAAGTGATCATTTCTTTGGTACAAATTTCTTATCGAAGGAATCCATTTTCTTGTTGGTTAGATACTTCTGCTCAAGTGGTAACAGTTTATGGACCAAATAGTAGACATGGTCCTGCATTAAGAAATATGTTGGCTGAAATTACTACGATAACTATACAGCAATATGTGAGAAATCAACAGGGTAAATATATGTAAAGTTATTAATTGAAAATTTACTAAGTTCAAAATTTTTTTAATTATTTGATTATTATGATTATTTGATTATTATAATTATTAGATATGGAAAATAATCCAGATTTAGTTAATTCATATTTTGCCATTTTGACAAAGGTACTTCTTCATAGTGATGATTCATTTTATAAGGCATTTCTCTAATTAGTGTTCTTTTCATCCAGTTCATTCAAAAATGCCCATTATTATTATATAATTTGCCTCCAGAATTATTTAACAACATAATGACATTTTCAGTGGTGGGTTTGAGTTTACAAGAAAGGCTGGCTCTAAAATCTGCAATCACTTTCATGGTGGGTGTGGGGGTTTTTTTTTTTATAATTTTAAAGAATTGACTTATTCATTCACCTAATTCAATATAATTTAATTTTAAAAAAATTTTTTTTTAAAAAAAGGGAGAATTTGTTGGTCAGCATTATGAAGACGAACAATTATCGAAAGGAATTGAAAATATTATAATGACTTATGGAATGGAAATAATGAGGGAATTAATTTCAGTACGTTTTATCATTATATATCTTTAACTTTGAATTTCTTTATTGACTGATTTACACATGTATTTATTTATTTATTTATTTATTTATTTATTTATGCGAATATTTAATTTAGGGGATCGGTGGGAAACTTCCAAGGTCATTTGTTGTTTCATTGTCTCTTGTATTACATAAAATTACTAGTCGTTACGTCGAAGCAAGTAAAGAATGGCTCAGTGTATTGTTGAATCAAGTAAATATATATATTTTTTTTGGTTATAATGTTTTCGAGTTAATTATTTGATTACTTTATTATTATTATTATTTTTAGGAAAATTTTCCATCACATCATGCGGATCTTGCAACAAAGCAACATTTTGCGAAATCCATATTAGGGTGATTAACGAATTTAATTATTTTAATTATTTTAATTATTATTTTTATTGAACTTTAAAATTTTTTTCACTTTTGTAATTTATATTATTTTTGATTTTCTTTTTTATTTTAGTACGCGAAGTATACAAAAATATAAAGAAATAGTTACTAATTTTTCAATTAAATGTCGAGCTTTAGGAGATACAGCATACGGATATGCTTGATGCAATTATTGCAATTAGACATATTATATTCATATTATATTGTAGGCATTCAAATTATATTCACAAAATTTTATTATAAACATCACTTTTTGTCAAACATGAAAACCTTAATTTTTAATTGAAATTCGAAATTTTTTACAAATAAAAAAAAAAAAATGTAAACTATCTTAAATAAATAAATAAATAATAATTATTATTATTATATTATTATGAATGTTTTCTGGTGAAATCATTATCATGTGAGACAACATTTGAAAAAAACTTAAACTTTTTACTTTTCTTGCATTTAGTAAATTAAAAACGAAATGGGTGTTAAAAATTTGTGGAATTTATTGGCGCCTACCGCCAGACCAATTGAATTAGAATCTTTAAATCGAAAGATACTTGCGATAGATATCCTTATATATTTTGTTAAAATAATCATTTTTAACTTTTTCGACGTTATTATTAAACTTAATTCAAATTTTTATACATGCTAGTATATGGTTATATCAATTCATTAAAGCTATGCGCGATAAAGACGGGAATATCTTAAAAAATGCTCATGTTTTAGGTTTTCTTCGTAGATTATGTAAACTTCTTTTCTTTAACATCAAACCAATATTTGTATTTGATGGTGGGGCTCCGGAATTAAAACGGATCACCTTGGTTGGTTATTAAATTATTTTCGAATTCGTAATTCATTATTTTTTTTTTTTTGGAAAAATTAATTCACATATATTTATTTATTGATTATAGATCAAAAGACGTAAAAGACGTTCTGGTAAAGTAAACGAATTACAAAAAACGGCTGAAAAAATTTTAGCTGCTCAAATGAAAGTTCGGGCAATTAAAGAAATTAATGATGTTGATGGATCAAAGTAAATATTCGAATATTATGAGTTTTCCTGTTTTTTTTTTTTCCAAAATTAATATTTTTGTAAAAATTTTATTAATTTATTTTTTTTCAGGTCTAATAATAATAATAATAATAATAATAGTGTCAAAGATAATTTAAAACAAGAAGTTATAATAAATGATGATACTATATATTTTGATGAAATTAAATTGAGTCCTACTAAAATACGTCAACGCAGAAAAAATGATGAATTTGATTTGCCACCAATTTCTGGAAGTTTAGAGTATGTCTTTATTTAATAATATAATAATAATTATTATTATTATTTGAATATTTGAATATTTAGAAAAGCAAAATATTTAAATTGGAATTTATTTAAATTTATTATTATTATGAGGTCTATGATGACAGATGATGATTCTCGTTTAGCTACTGCAGATGATCTTCTAAGATTTATTGAAAAGTATAAAGTAATTGGATTCTTTATTATTATCTTTAAATTCTTCATGAAATTATGAAATTTAATCAAAAGATGATTAATTTTTATAGCCGGAAAATATTGATACTAGTTCAGAATTATTTCAATCACTTCCTTTGAGTAAACAATATGAAATAATAAGTGAACTTCGTCAAAAAAGTAGAATATCAACTAGAGATCGTTATAAAGAGTTGGTCGAAAGCGCTCCCATATCCTTTTTCATAAACTTTTTTTTTTTTTTATTTTAATTTATTTTAATTTATTATTATTATTATAATCTAAGTAAAAAGTAAATTGAATAATTTTATCTTTAACTGTTTGAAAAAAATTACACCGCAATGGATTTTTCAAAATTACAGATAAAAAATCTTCTTCGTAGAAATGATTTAACACAAAAAATGTTGGATGTCTCTAATAATTCCAACAACAAATTAAATAATTCTATACCAATGAGAATAGCTTCAGAGCGTAATAAAGAATTCATTTTAGTAAAAAATATAAAAAGTAATGGATATACAATGGTGACTAATAATGATTCTATATCAAACATTAAACGAAGTAAAGGATTAGGTACTATTGATGAACCATTAAATTTGGATGATAGTTCTGAAGATGATGAAATTGAAAGTAAACTTAATGAATTTAATGATGGAAATGAAAAAGAAATAAATGAATTTGATGATATGGTTTTAAAGTGAGTCGATCTTTATTATAATATTCTAAAGTTTTAAACCAATAAATCAAACATTATCCCTATTTATGAACTTGATATTTTAATTCTAGCACTTCAAATCTTGAAGATGAATCTTTTATTAATGGTATAGTTATTATATATTTTATGGAGTTTTATTATTATAACAAAAATTTTTCATTTTAATTAATTAAATTTAAATTAATTAAATTGTATTGTATTGTATCAAATATGTATTTTAGATTCAAAAGCTTATGTTGATGACGAAGAATCAATTGAATCTGTAATGGAAAAATTTCAAGCTTTAGAATCTTTAGAATCAAAAAAGAGTACAACTCCAATTACCATATCTGATGGTTATGATTCAGATAGGAATTCTGAAGGTAATGGTTCAGAATATTATGAACCAGAATTTTTTTATGCTCTTTGGATTTCACAAGTTACTAAAGAGTTTCGAAAAGAATTTGAAAATTATGAAGAATTAATTCATAAAGCAATTTATGAATGGGATAATGATGAAATTAAAAATCAAAAAACTTTGGCTTTCAAGAAAAAGGGTAAAATTAGAGAAGGTGATAATGAAAAGGAAGCAGCTTTAAAATTCTGGATTAAATTTTTACAAGCTGTAATTCAATTTAAATTAAATATGCAACCGAATGAATCTGTCAATAATTCTCAACCCGAAAACTCTATTACTCAAAATGATAATAATAATAATTATTCACAAGTTCACTATATAGATGATAGTTCGGATGAAAATACTTTACCAATAGAATCAAAATTATTAGATTCTGATATAATTGAAATATTTGATGACGAAATACCCGAGAATGAAGAAAAGTCACAAAATGTTCCAGGTAATGAATATCGTGAAATTAAATTAAAGAATGTCAATTTAGATTCAATGCTTTTACCTCAAACTTTTGATTATCAATTACTGGATGAATATAAAATAAAACCTTCCATTTATTTAGAACATTATTCAAAGAATTTACCCAGTTACTTTATATCTGAAAATAATACAACAAATGATTTATCTTCAAATGAAAAATCTTCGATGACAGATAATGATCTTTCGAATTATAATTCAATTGATGATGAAAGAAATAATAATAAATCTTCAAACGTTGAAAATTCTAAGAAATTAGAAGGGGCGAACAAATCAGAATTAAGTGAAGATGAATTTATAGAAGTTATAATTTCTGGAACTAATGTCCCACCATCAAAATTTGAGAATGAGGAACCTTCTGAGCAAGAAGATTTGATGATTCAAACTTTAAATAATTTAGATAATTCACAGATGGAAATAAATTATCCTGATGAAATTCCAAGTGAAATACGGAATGAAATACAGAATGAAATACAAAATAAAATACAAGATGAAATAAATAATGTGAATGATATAAACAATTTTATTACTTCAAATGATGATTATATAGAATCTCATGAAATTGGCGATGAGATGGAAATTTGTGAGGATTTAGAAATTTCTAATGAAAAAGTAACTTTTAAAGAAATAACTAAAATGGATAGTGATGAAAGTGAAGATGAAGAAAATTCTTTATCTGAAAATTATATTTATGAAAATATCGATAATTCAATGTCAGAAGAAGTTTCTGAATATGCGAGATTCCTATCTGAATTGCAAAATAAAGATTTAACTACCGTTCAAAAGGAATTAACAGATGAAATTCAACAGTTGAATGAAAAACAACGGAAAGAAAAACGTGACATTGATATTATTACCCAAACTATGATTAATGAATGTCAAGAACTTTTGAAATTATTTGGGATTCCATTTATAACTGCACCAATGGAAGCTGAAGCTCAATGTGCAGAATTATTACGATTAAATTTGGTCGATGGAATTATTACTGATGATTGTGATGTATTTTTATTTGGAGGAACTCAAGTATATAAAAACTTTTTTGATAAAAAAAAATATGTTGAATGTTATAACGCTGAAGATTTTGAACGTGAATTTCAATTGGATCGAGAGAAACTTATTAAACTTGCATTATTACTTGGAAGTGATTATTCTGAAGGATTACCTAAAGTAGGAATTGTTACTGCAATGGAAATTTTAAATGAATTTTCTGAAGAAGATGGACTTGTGAAATTCAGAGATTGGTGGTTAGAAGTTCAATATGGAACATATGTACCGGAAAACGATGAAAGTGAATTCAAAAAGAAATTCGTGAGTCAAAAAAAAATTTTTTTTTTATTTATCTTGATTTTTTATTATTATTAAACAATTTTAATCATCTTATTTATTTGTTTATTTTGTTTATTTAGAGGAAAAAAATGACAGGAAATCTATTCTTATCGAAAAGCTTCCCCAATTTGAATATAAGAGATGCTTTCCTTAATCCACATGTTGATGACTCAGCAATTCCGTTCCAATGGGGTGTTCCTGATATAGATGATCTTAAAATGTTGAAATGTCGATTAATTTTTTTTTTTTTTAATAATATATATAGAGTAGAACTTTCAAATTTCTAACGCTTTTGAATCTTTTGAATCTTTTGAATTTAAACTTTCTAGTTTTCTATCGGATAAATTATTATGGTCCGAAGATAAAGTCGATGAAACTATTGTGCCAGTAATAAAATCAATGATGGAACGACAGGTAACTTCTTTTCTAAATATATTTTTTCAAATTGAACTAAAAATTTAATTCTTGATTTTGTGCCTTGCCATTTCGTATTCTTTAGTCCGAAAAGAATTTGACGCAAACTTCGATTGATAATTTTTTCGGACGAACAAATAATCGTGGTACAATGCATAAAAGCAAAAGGATTCAAAATATTGTAAATACGTGGAAAAATGGTGATGCGGAAAGTAGCAAAAACTTAAAGAGAAAAATTCCGCAAAATTCAATTATTATAGATAGTTCAGATAGTGAGTTATCTTCTCTTAGTAATGAAGAGGAAAGAATTAATAAAAAGTTCAGACATAAAAAAAAAAAGTAACATAACAAAGAGATAATTCTCGTAAAATAGAAATAAATACACGAAAAAACAGAAATCTATAAAAGGTACGTGGCCTTAATAAGATTCTAATTTGTCAATTTATTAACATACAAGCTTCGGAATTGAATATTTTATGCATTTATATTTTATAAGCGTAAATATTACAAAAAAAGATATGAAATCACAGTAATGATTTCGTATACCTCGCTTGACCTTGAATTTCCTGTCTTAATAATTAAAAATAAAACATAAGCTGCACAAATAATTGTGGGCATCTAGAAGTTTTTCTTTTTTTTCTATTGTAGAATTATTTATAGAATTATCTATAGAATATTTGAATTCCTCAATTTATTAAAGTGAAAAAACAATTTATATAATTTTATTAATAATCTAAAATTTATAAAAGGAAATCCATCAATAAAAGAAGATATTTTAATTATATAAAATAACTTTTGAGAAAAAAAAGTGAATTAAAAAAAATTTATATTAAAATTTTATCCACCAAATCTCTATTTTTATTTAAAATAAATTTCAAATGTCTTCCATAATACTGATTATTATTAAAATCATTTTTTTCACAGAAAAAATTTTCTTTTCGCAATCTAGGTAAATAAAGTTCATAAGCTGGCATATACCTTTCCACGAAATCATAAACTTGCTCATCAGTCATTCCAACTTTTCCTAAACCAATTTTACGTTCTTGTTCTAATCTCCATTGATATACATAATTAATATCTTCTGTATCAATATGAATAAATGAATCTAGAAATGGATACCATTCTTTCTCATAATTTTTTAAGTTTTCATTTATTATTGAAATATGTGAAAGTGGATGAGATAACAATTTTGATGATGATGATGATGATGAATTTTGAGCTTTACGATATACAAGTTCAAGTTGATCTTTACACAAATGTTTAAATCCAAGTAACCAACCTTCAAAAAGAATAATATTAAAAGATGATTTTACTTTAATCCAATTCTCTTTTTCTGTACGATCCCCTCTACCATTATTTAATGATTTGTCATAAACAGGTATTAATACTTCATTGGGTTCATTTGAATTGATTCCAAGTTCAAGTTTTTTATAAAAATTTTCATGAGCAATGCATAAATTTTTTAGAGTTCTGGTCCCTAATGAGATATCATGAGTACCAGGTTCTCCTCTATATTCTAAAAGTAAATTTCCAAGATATTTTTGTGAAAGTTTTATTTGATCTTTATGAGTAAGATAAAAATCATCAATTGAACAATTTAAAACTGATAGATTATTAGTATCCTTTAAATATTTTGAGACTTTTCCAACCAAAGTTGTTTTTCCTATTTATTTTTTAAAAATCTTTGTAATTATTCGAATAAATCCTTTTGTAAAAAAAAAAAAAATAATAATATTTTTTTAAGTAATTTTCACTGACCGCATCCTTGAGGACCATTTATACCAATTATTAATGGTTTTGAAATTAAATTTGGAATTTTACGCAATTCATTAAAATTATTTAAAATAAATCTAGAAATTTCACTGATTTTTGGAGTTATATTATTCATTATCGTTCTGAATTCTATTGTACCTTTATCACCTATAATAAGATTATCCGTTGTTGAATAAACATGATAATTACTCTTTATGTACTAATTATGTAGTTACGAGGATAACTTTTATTTTTTTATTTTTCTTGAAATATCAATTTTTCAGATAATCCACGTATGTGTTACGGTGTCACGGGAACAATTCGTATTAAATATATTCAAAATATGTAAAATATGTACATATCTTTTATCAAATAGGAAAAATTATTTAAGTTATACATACGTATAAGATATAATTTTTAGGTAATCTTAATAAAATTTTAAAAAATTTTTAAAAATCAAATGAATTATATAAAAACAATGCAGATTTGGCGCAAAGTTCCGGATGAACAAGGAAAGCTCAATAACAAGATGATTTTCAAAGATTATTTTTTCGGGAAAATTTGAATGAAGCTCACTGAACAAGCATGATTGCACAATTACACATCCTTTGTACATCCAGGTACATCCCAAGAAGTACCACTAGAGGCGATATGCATTTTTTCACAATTTTAACATGACCCAAATATTGTAACACTGTATCTAAAAAGTGTTACACAAATATTATTTTGAACATTTTCGGCATAAATGTTTCAATCCCCGTTTTTTTTTTTTTAATTTTTTCAAGTTTAAAAAAAGTTTAAAAATAAATATTTTATTTAATACATGATAAACCTAGTACTATTTTATTTATTAACCAACATTGGTTTGAGTAAATTCTAAATTTGGATTTCTCTGGGTCAGTTCTTATTTTACAATAGAAATTTGATTTAGCTATATATATAGTGACAGCGACCATCTGTCGACAAAAGCAACAATTTTCTTCAAATTTTATTTCACACGGAAACCTTTTAATTGCCTATAATCGCTTATTATTGATTAAACAAAGCATTACATTCTCTGTAAATTTGAATCCATTTTCAACCCAAACCGAAACTACAGCAAGAAAAAATGACTTCCGCTTCTTCCGAGACAGTTCCTTCCCTTACTTATAAAACAACCGCGTCTTGCCATTTGAAACCTCGGGTTAGCCTCAAAACATCAATAACTCATCCCATTAAGTGAGTAATGCTTTCTATACATGCCTTCGTTTTATTTTTTCACATTTTCTAATTCTGTTCCTTTTTTTTTTTAATAGCGTTAGTTGGATAGTTCCCGAAGAATTGATTTCTGGACTTTCTATGGAACCTTTACCAGAGACAATTGACCTCTTTGATATTTATACCAATGATTCTCTTTATCAATATTATTATTATGAACCGGCTGAAAGACTTGTTCAAAATCCACAGCACTCTAGACCAACTAACTATGGAAACCTTGCACTAAGTTCGTGTCCAGGTAAAAAAGTAAGGCTAAACGGTCCTGTAAGAGGAAGAGCATCAATTGATCGAGATTTAGATTTAGATTTTCAAAGATTGAAATCGTTAGACATATCTGTCATTATTTGGTAATACTTTTTATAAATATATTTATTTTAAAAAATTACAAAATATATATATATATATATTAATTGTCCATATAAACTTTTTTTTTTTAACAATAATTTATTTATTTATTTTAGCTGTCTTACTGACGAAGAATTAGCATTCTTGGGAGCGTCATGGCCAAAATACTGTGAATTTGCTCAGAGGCATGATTTGCAAATAATTAGGTAAAAAAAAAAAAATTTTTTTTTTTTTTATAAAATAATTTATAATCAATTATTTACTTAATAAATTAAATATAAATATTTATATTCTAGGATACCAATGATTGAAGGAGGTTGCCCCGAATCAATAGATCAAATGGATCAAGTTATAATACAGATTGAACATCATATAAAGCAAGGTCGAAATATTTTGGCACATTGTCGTGGTGGTTAGTAGTAATTTTTTTTTTATATTTTGAATAAGGTTTATAAGGTTTGAATTTTAAATATTTCTTTTGATAATAATTTATTATTATTATTATTACTATTATTATTATTATTATTAGGTATCGGTCGTGCTGGTTTGGTGGCGTGTTGTTGGTTGCTTAAAACGCGATATTGCTTTGACGCTGACCGCGCAATTCGGTTTGTGAGAATGAGACGAAGTCCAAAAGCAATTGAAACAATGCAGTATGTATCTTTTATAAATTTCTTATTTTTTACTTGTTAGCAGATTTTGTGCATTCTCAAACTTTTCATGATTTTTTACCATTTAGACAAGTGGATTTCATTATGCAATACGCAAATTATATTCATTGGCAGTTCCAACAATCAAGTACCAATCATATAACACATCAAGCACATTAAAATACCATTTAATACAGTAATAAATCACCTGACTTTGTTGATGTTTTTATTATTAGCATATATCCCAATTTAGTTTGTCTTAGAACATAATATCATACTTGATATATTTGATATTTTCGTTTCTATTTTCTTTAACTTTTTATTTTCTGGTGGATTTATTGGTATATGTATTAAATGTATTTGGTAGTAGTATATAAGAAAGAATTTGTAAAATAATTTATACTATGTAAAATATATTTTGTTTGGATGTTTTCTTCATTCTTCAAATTTATATTCATTTTCTTTATTAATAATAAAGAATCAATGCTTTTGTAACGGTAATGCTTTTATTTCTTCTTTGGGTAATGGTAATGCTTTTCTTTCATCTTTCCTTGATGATTCATCGATATGTTTGGCAGGTGGGATAGGTATACATTTTACGGTTTTACAAAGAGAAGTGACAGTTTTATTTTTTAAATCATTAAAGAACATTAAACCAGTTGTCCTTTCTATAGCGTCCAGGGGAACAATATACTTTTCTAATGAGTCATTGTACGGTATTCTTTGATTAGGCATCAAGAAAGATTCTAATGAATATGATATTCCATCTGGACTATTCTTATCCTTCTTAGTGGCCAAAACGATTTTGTAAAAATGTGTCGGAACAGCAGTATTTGGTGGATCACCAATTAGTTGATATTTTACGTAAAATTTTCCATCAGCTTCTTTTTTTGGTAAATAAGCAGTTCCTGTGAATATATAGACATCTGAAAATTTTTCACCGGTAACAAGTCTTCTACAAAATTCTTCAAAAAAAGCCCAATCTAAAGAGAGAGCAATTCAGAAAATTTGCATGAATAACGTGATCAACGTTCGTTTTTTAAAAAAAAAATCCGCGTAAACTATAATAATTATAATTTATAATTTTAATCCGTACAATCTCTATTGAATCCATTACCCACTTGAGGAGCAATATTTGTCAATAAAAAAGTTTCATCCAAAGCTTCTTGAGAAAATTTTGCATCAGCGGCCGGAGCCAGATGGCCTCTATCAAATCCAGATTTAACATAATCCCGCAATTTAGAACGAAACATCTCAGGTATATTCATATCTTCTTTAAAATATGACTTAGAACGATCAACATCTGGTCCTCTTTTGAGAGACTCTTCTGTAAGATGTTCAAACACCTGATAAAAATAAAGTATTAAAATTTTCTAATAAAAAAAAAATATGCGAACAAAGAAAAATTTAATAGTCAAACCCAATCCGGATGACGCAACCGTCGATTAAAAGATGTCTGGTAAGCATGTCTTTTGAATGGATCATTAATTGGACCTATAAATTCGCCGAAATAAGTATGAATTCCTTCATTCAGACTTAATAAAAAAAAATCAGTGATAAAAAACAAAAAAAAAAAAACAATTATATGCTTACCAGGATATCCATAAGGTACGGGCAACGCAGGTGTTTCCGGTATAACAGGAAGAAGAGGTGATTTCCTTTTTAAATTATGATAAAAGGCAAAATATCCCAAAGTCACACCACCCAAAACCAAGGTAAGCCGTTCGAGAATTTTTAGTGGCGGCATTATCCCTATTTTTTATTTGAGAAAATGTGGCGAAGAGTTGGGATAAGATAGGCATATTTATAAACTTTTTTTTTGGTTATATTGGGGGGATGTGTAACATGATATCTTTATTCGATATTATTTCTCGATCTTTATTAATCTTTATTGAAATAAACATTTTGGAAGAAGGATGTGATTAAAGTCGTGATTGAAGCTTTTTATTAGATTTCTGATAAACGAAACATTAATATTTCAAACATTTCAATATCTTAATATCTTACGCAACCTCATATCCAGACATTAGTCGCATTAATTCTCTTTTTTCTTAGCCTTTACACATAGTCTAAACTGTTACTATTATCTTTCTTTGTTTAAATCTTTAAAATATTCTTCGCGCCAAAAGTCTACCAAAACAAAATTAGAATTATATTGAGAATTTATATTTGCATGTCGTGTCTATTTTAACAAAACAAATTTAAATGTTATTTTCACATAATTCATTTTTTTAAAAATTTCTCATAATATGCGTAAATTGCTTTATAATTTATTCAACCGATGATCAGAAAAAGAAAAAAAATATTTATTTATTTTAAATAATAATAATGTGGCCAAAATACAAAATAATCTTTAACAAGTTAAAAGAAATAGTTAACTAAGTGATGAAAATTCCTCTTTTTAAAAAAAATCAGTCTTCCAACAAGTAAAATAAAATACATTATTAAATCAAAAGTTCACCCTTTGGTTTATCAACAACACCATTCTCAACATCATAAACAATATTTCCTCTGACAATAGTCTTTTTTATTACTCCATACAATACTTTGCCTTCGTATGGTGTAACTTTGTTCTTGAATTGGATTATATCAGTTAACACCTATTAAAAATTTTGTTTTAGATTTTTGATTTTTTAGAGAGAGAAATAAAACTTTTAATCTCATATACTAACTGTAAATGTTTCCTCAGGTGCCCAAATTACGAAATCTGCATCATAACCAACTTTTATTTCTCCTTTTCTATTATTCAACTTAATTTGTTTTGAGGTATTTTTTGATAACCAAGTAGTCAAATGATGGAATCTTCAAGGAAAAAAAAAAAAAGATGAATTCAAATAAATTATGATTTTACAAATAATTTAATAAATTTAATAATATAGGAGGAATCATTTAACATAACATAAGAATTTATTGAATACATACCCACAACCCCTTTTTCTTGCTTCCGTCCATAATACTGGTAATCCAAATTGCAAAGAAGAAATACCTCCCCATGCTTTTAAGAAATCTCTATCTTCTGTCTTTTTATCTAAGAATTTAAGATCTGCTGTACATGGGGAATGATCTGATACTACATAATCTATTGTTCCATCAAGTAAAGCCTTTTAGTAATTTGTATAATAAAAAAAAAAAAAATTTATAATATTCTTTAAATATTGTTCAATTGAATACACATTAATACTTTTGTCTCTAAAAAACAAATCTTGCCTTCCATAATTCTTCTCTATTACTTTCATCTCTAATTGGAGGGCAACATTTAAAATCAGTCCTTCCCAATTGTACCTCTTCAGCATTAAGGCATAAATAATGAAAACAAGTCTCAACGGTCAAAGGAATACCCTCTAATTTAGCCTTACAAATGATGTCAATTGCTTGGGCAGTTGAAAGATGAACTATGTGAGAGCGCACTGTGGGAAATTCTTTAGCAATTCTTATAATTAATGAAATTGCATTGAGTTCTAGTGATGATGGTCGAGAATTAAGAAATTTTGCAAAAAGATTGGATTGTATGTCATCCGAATATTTGTTTTCACTAGTGATTTCTTTTTGAGAATCTTCCATTTCTGCATGAAACATGAAAACTGAATTTTTTCCCTATGAAAATAGTCTATCATGAATTTCGAATTAAATAAATGAAGTAAAATTTGGAGGAATTGTAATTTACTTGGAGTTTTTCATAAGCCAATCTCACTTGTTGCTCATTTACGCAAGGAAATTCATCAACACCACTTTCTATCAAAAAACACTTAAACCCTTTAACACCAGAATCTATTAAGGGTATTAAATCATTCTAAATTACATTTTAAAGGATATTTATAAATAATCATATATTAATTTAAATCTATTTGTTTTATAATGAAATTTATAACTAACTTGATTTCCTGGAATAATACCACCATAAAAACCAACATCAACCCAACATTTTCCTTTTGCAGATTCAATTTTATGTTCCAAATTTTTGACAGTAGTAGTTGGTGGAATAGAATTTAAAGGCATATCTATAACTGTTGTTACTCCTCCTATTAAAAATAATATTAAAAATTCTATTAAAAATTCTATTAAAATAATTAAAAAAATTAAGAAAGAATTTAAGTGCTTTCCTGCAGCAGCAGCTTTTGTTCCAGTTTCAAAACCTTCCCAATGTGTTCTACCCGGTTCATTCAAATGTACATGGATATCAATCACACCAGACATAATAACATTTTCTCCAACATCAAGGAATTGAGATTTATCAAGGAAATTATATGATTCAAATGATGATTTATTTTGAAGAATAGAAACGATATGACCATCGTTATCAATTTCAATTGTTCCAGGTCTTGGGTCAATAGACGTGGGAGTCAGAATGCGAGAACTTGTTAAAACTAACTTTATGTTTCGAGACATTATTCAAATATTCCGCATAAACCAGAAAAGTAATAGATACGTATATGCACAGTTATATTTGTGAAATCAATTCTATTTCCATTTATAGTTTCATTTCCCTAATAGTCAAAAATTTTCAAATATTACGAATTTTATTTACAATTAATAATTGATACATTTTATAATACATTTTATAAATAACATTATCTGTTATATAATTCACAATATTTAAAATTATTATCTTCTAGATTATCAACAAATATAATGAATGATTTTTTATGTACTTATTGTAAAAAAAATAAAAATGCAATTAATATTGTGTGTAAAGATTGAACATTTGTCAATTGGTGAATTTTTTTTTATAATAAAACTAAATATAAAGTATCCTACTATGAATAAGCGCCAGTTATAATTTGAAAAATAATCTAATTATATATTAAACTATTGTGAATAAGCACCAATATACAAGGTCTACATATACAGTAAGATAAGGTATATCCAATATTATAATTAAATTCTCTAATTAGGTATTTGATGAGAAATCCATTATTACGCGCGTGATGAACAATAATAATTGTGAAAGTTTCAAATTCTGCACTAATATTTTTATTATAGTCAGGAGTATTGGATATAATTTTATTAATTACATCTCTCACCCATTCACCACACCATCACATGGAAAATTTATTTACTTGTCTTTATTTTAAAAAAAACTTTCTTTTATTCTTACGTAGGTTACAAACAAAAAATGTGTATAACGAATTAAAATCAATGAAAACAAATTGAGAAGAAACTTGAAAAAAAAAGAGAACACTAATATTTGCTTTTTAAAAAGAGAAAAAAGAGAAAAAATTTAAGATTAAAATCAACTCTGTAAATTCAATTCTAAAATATAACAAAAGGATAAAATTGAAAAGAAAAACAAAAAATCACGAAGTTTCTTTTTTTGGGGGGCCATAATGTGTTTATACTTAAATTTTTTGACCAAAATGAAATCTTGATGAAACGTTTGAAAATGCAATTAATAAAAAATAATGATTTGCGACACAATCAAATATTGAAATCGAAAGTCATTAAGTCATTAAATTGTGTGACAAACATTTAAATATTCATATCAGGGCTAATTGAGAGAAGAGATAAAATCAACATAATGTAAAATAAAACGAAAAACGAGTATAGAAGGTTAAACGAGAAATAAGAATACAATAAGAACGGTTGGATACATGAAAATAAAGAATTTTTTTTTTTTAAAAAAAAAAAACCATAATTGATAACTCCCGATACTACTATTAGATTTATCTCCACTTGCCCAAAAATTTTTGATTAGTTTTGTTATGAAAGATGATCATATTAATTATCAAGGAGAAAATTTACTTGCATATTGTTTCATCAAGATTGTTCAATTTTGGTCACATAGTGAAATCTTACATCCCCCTTTCAACTTCGTATATATAATACCCACGATGGGAGCACGGCTTTAGACTTTGATGAAAACCAACATAAATCGTTTTATATATCCGATATTAATAAGAATTGATGATCCACAAAAGGATGGCACGAAGATTTTACTGGTAAATAATGTGGTTATGATTACCTATTTAAAAGGTTGAAGTTCGTTTTTTTTCAAAATTTTTTGAGAGATAAGATAGGTGATAGTCTAAGTATACACTTTTTTTTTTCTTACAAATATAAAAAAAAACTACGCTTACCACGTGATTATGTAAAACTAAACCTTTCCTTTTAATAAAGATGCTATTTAGGCGAAATAGCATGTTTTTTTTGTTGGTTTCATCGATAAAAAAAAGTTGGTGAAGTATGATGTTATTTGTGTCTTCGTTTTTAAGCGATAATTCGATATGTTAACGTTAGGTTTAAGCATTTTTTAATGAATCGAAAAATTATATTGATAATTTTGGAAATGTCCACTGCCTTAACAAAAAAAAAACGATTGAGGAAGGAGTCACATAAGACGAATAAAAATTAAAATATATATAAAGGATGCGGATTCCTTTTTTATATATAGTGAATTCATATAAATTTATTTCGTGAAAAAAATTGCGAATTTAAGTTAGAGAAATAAAAATATTTAAAAGATTTTTAAGGGTGGGCAAAAATAAAGATTATACGAAAGAGTTTAATGACATAAACTAGTATGGTAAGTGATATATATATGAGATAAATGTTGAATTGTTAAAAAGAATGTAAATCTCTTTTGGAAGACGTTGTTGGATAAAAGAGGGAAAACTCCATAATGGTGGGCAATTTTGATATTGAGAATAAGAAAAAGGATTTGTTCTGTATTTGATTTTATAGAATCTTTTTTTTTTTTTTTCTGTTCTTACTGAATTTGAAATAATGCACTAATGAAATTGTCTCAGATAATTAAACGACAAATAATGATGATATTGATATCTATTCATCTGGGATGTTGACTTCATCAAGATTTTAAATAAAATAATGGAAACACAATAGAAAATTCCAAAAATTGGATAATAAATTGTTGATCGGATTGTGATAATGCAGATTCATAGTTAGAACATAAATTTCTGATTCATTTAAAAGAAATAAATAGTTTTCAAAATGAGAAAACCCGAAAAACGTGGCAATAAGTTAATTAAAGCACATTGTCATTTAAATTCGGTATGCTATTTTACTATTTTATTATTTTTATATATATTTATTTCAATTGAAGAATATAATAAAAGAGTTCTATTGCAAACCTGTTCTATACACGAATCTATGAAAAAAAATTTTTAAAAAGAATTTGACAAGTCTAATTGGGAACTTGATGGCCATTGCGCGTTTTTTATATACACATTTAATTTCCAAATCGAAAAACTACCAGTTTCTTCTTGCGTGTGAAATTTTTCGGGCGAAAATTTCATGTGGTTGAATCATCAAATATTTGGAACACAAACTTTATCACAGCCTAAAAATATAATGTATTCATTGACTACCATTATATATTTCTCACGTTATATTCTCAATTTGGTAGTGATAAAAATGAAATTGTACTATTTATGGTGACTTCTAAGCATCAACAAAAATTTGTGGCCAAAGTGTTACTACGCATATAAAAAAAGAGAGCACCGTCCCTGAGTATAATGGTATTTTCACATGTCATCCTCGGACTATATAATTTGACAACTTCTGTACACGCGATAACGGATCACAAAGTTCCCAAGCCATTATTTATTATTTATCTCTTTTTAAAATTTTAACATTTTGAAACCACGTGAAATAAGTGACAAATGCAACGAGAGACGAAACTCTGAAATAATTTTTTGGGTGCAAAATGAATAATAAGAGTGGATTAGTAACAAACCTAAAATAAATAAATAATTAATTTATAATAAATCAGCGTGTTTCCCATGTTCCCATGTTTTCGTGTTCCCGTGTTTCCCATGTTTTCGTGTTTCCGTGTTTTCTCGAATATAATTCTCAAAAAATGTGGGGAAAAAAATTATTAACGAATATCTTTGCTGAAATGAAATGATATTAATTCTGAATTTGCATAAAAATCCAAGTTATAAAGCATTGTGAATATCATGTCTCTACAGCCATTCACAGAATCGTGAGAATCCAAACCAAATTCATTGTAAAATTCATTGTAAATTTCATCCCTTTTTTCATTAGATAGGACAATGTCTCTATTATCAATTCTTTTTGTTTAATGATAATATATTCCAATCTGAAAAAAAAAAAACTCGTTGTCTAACCAGAAAAGTATTACCACTTTGCCGCGTTGAATGTGATAATATCCCATTTTGGACAATGTTAAAATCTAATACCATTGTTGAAATGGAAGAACCTATAACTCTAATTAAGTTCAACTTTTTAACTGCTAAATTTAAATTCATGTGACTACCAAATATAATGTTAAGAAGATATTAAATACTGTTAAAAAAAGAATTCGGATTTTACGATAATTAGATAGTAAAGCTCGTGAATTTTGTGAACCAGGTTAGAACTGAGCCTTGAGTTTGACTCGTTGATTTCGACATTATAAAGGATCATCATCAATTTTATGTATAGGCACGAGAAAATTAAGAAAAATAGATAATACTTTTACATTCAAATCATTTTTATTATTTTTATTTTTTATTTTTTAAGAGATTAAACAAAGAATAAAAATCCTCTACATGCTTAAATCCAGAAGGATTAATTTTTTAATAACTGACATTTCTCATAAGTTTTCTTTTATTGTCACATTATTCTGTATATTTACACAATTTTAATCATAATCATCTTAATCATAATCATTTTAATCATAAATTTGAGGAAATAAATCCATACTGTGAAATATATATATTACTTTTATTACTTTTAACAAAATCGATAAAATGTATTTACTCCAAAATTTATATATTTATAATTATTATATATAAAATATCCAAAAAAAAATTAAAAAAAATATAATAATAAACAATTAAGAACCATTAGTAGCAGTTAAACCATTTTCAAATTTCATTACATTTCCGGACTCAACAGCGTAATGATATTCTCTCAATAAATTATCAACATCCTCCATACTCTGTGGTCGAATGTCAGCTAATTCCTTGATCTTTGCGGTAACCTTCTTAACTTGTTCATCATTTAGACAAAGACCTAATTGTTCTACCCGATTTTTAACAGCATTCCATCCTGTTAAACGATGACCAATTGATACATATCGGGTCATTCTATTAAAGTAATAATTGATGGTTATTGGTTAATAATATATTCTGAATTAGTAAAATCATTATTAAAATTTTTATTTGAATCTCACCCAAAATCTTCTGGTTTCAAAATTTCATATGTACTTGGATTATTTAAAATAGCTTTAGCGTGAATACCAGCTTTATGTGTGAATGCACAATAACCGGTAATATAATTATTAAAAGGAACTTGAACACTGACAGAATCAGCAACCAAGTTCTCGAGGTCACGAAGCATGTGAAGCTTATACTTAGATTTATTATAATCTCTATTGGCAGTATACATTCGAGCAATAAAACCACCAAGTGGAGTTATACCATTACGTTCACCAATACCTAATACAGAAGTATCTATATGGGTTGCTCCTGCCTCGAGAGCTACAAAATTTTATAAATAAATTTGTAAAATATTTAAAGACAAAGATCTCATCATAAATAATATATATTTGATATTATATAATTTTAATTTTTTTTACTTACCAGAATAAGCATTTGCAATAGCACATCCTGTATCATTATGAAAATGACACTCGATATCACAAGATACAACACCACGCAATGTTCGAACTAATTCATAAACTTGTCGTGGATTAGCACATCCAACAGTATCAGCAATACCTACACGATCTACTCCCAATTTGTCCACTGTTCGATAAAGAGCTAACAAATCAACCAGATCACTTCGGAAAGAATCTTCAGAAGAAAATCGTACTTCGATTCCCTTGGATTTGACAAAATTTATAACTTTGGTAGCTGCATTGGCAATATAATCCATGTCTTTACCATGAGAGAATTCACGGAGGTACGAAGAAGTTCCTATTACAATATCAACACCGTCAACACCTTAAAAAGAATTATCAAAATATATTATTATTTAATATTTGGATTTTAAAATATTATAATTTATGAATTAAAAAAAAAAAAAAAAAAAATTTATATTTAATTACCAGTCTCGACAGCAATTTTCGCATCATCCATATGGCATCTTATATGAGTCAAAATTTTTGCCTTCAATCCTAGCTTACAAATTTCGATACAATCTTGTCGAGACTGTTCCGAAGCAGCTGGTGAAGTAAGTTCAATATATTCAACCCCAAAATCATCTAGTGCTCTAGCAATTTCAATCTTTTTGGCAGTATCAAAAAATGCATTGGCGAATTGTTCTCCCTCTTTAAAATTTGAAAAAAAAGAGGATTTTTAAAATTTATACTGACTAAGAAAACCATTAAATATCCTACAAGAGAAGAATTTCGTTTAACTAACCTCGTAAAGTGGATTCTATAATTGAAAAATTACTAACGCGACTTAATAAGTCCGAAAAACGTGGAAGATATGGGTTGGGTCGTGATATATCATCTATATTAAGATTACGTCCATTTGAACTCATTTTTTTTATTTAATATGATATGAAATTTGTACTATTAATGATTGATTAGAGAAAAAAAAAAATTTTATATCGAGAATTTAAAGAAAAAATTCTTTTTTTTTAATCAAGTGACTAAATCAGGTTAGTATTAGATGATTTCTGTAAAAAGTAATTAAATCGAATTCGTCTTGGTTTTACAGATTTTTTTTTATAGGGGTGCGAGATAATCTAAAAAGATCTTGAATTTTATTTCTGAGTCATATTATGGTAATCTTTTAATGAATATAATGAATACCTAATTTGGGCCTTGCATAATTGACCCAATCAGAATTTAAATTTTGAATTTTATTTTTTATATTTTATAATAATAATAATATTAAACTACACAGTTATTAAGACATTTATTAAGTCATTAATTAATATCTGATTAAATATAAATTAATTATATATTTTATTCATCTTTAAGTTTTGTAGGTGGGGCTGTAGATAAAAATTATTCAAAAAAAATAAATTAATATAAGAAAAATAATCTTGAAATTCAAATAAAATATTAATAAAATAAAAAGAAATTTTACCAATAAACGTTCGACTAATAAATTTCATTGCTTCATCAATAAAGATTACGGGTAAGGATATCCATAAAACTGCTTTCCATTCAGCCAAGTTAAGAGGAACTATAGCAAAAAGATGCTGATTTTTTTTTAAAAAAAAATAAAAATAAAAAAGATTTGGTTAAAATTATTAGTTTATAATAATTTAATTTTAATAATTTCTATTTTGTAATTAAATCATTCCTTACCGTGAAAAATGGAATATATAAAATTGCGAAATGCAAAGCCATCGAAAGAATTATTGATAACACGAGATAAATATTACTCCATATAGGCAACGTTAATAAACTTTCATTTTCACTAAGGGAATTTGTGGCATTAAGCATTTCTATGGTGACCAAAACCGATAGTGACATAGTTGTAGCACGATTTGCCATAATGTTTGTAAACATTTCACATCCTATTTCAGGAAACAATGAGCTACATCGATGGAAGTTGGACTTTTAAAATAAAGAATTTTCGTTATTAGAATTTAATTAAGGAACTTCAGATTAATTAAAAAGATGAACTTACCAATTGATAAAATGAAATTTGAGGTCCTTCGGTGTAAAATAGGAACCACCACGCATAAGCAAATACAGTAGCTGCACCAACATAAATACCAACAATCATATATCGGAAAAATAACCATTTTCCAACAATCGGTTCCCTGCTATTTCTTGGGGGCCTTCTCATTATATCATGATCTGGAGGATTGAACCCAAGTGCAGTCGCCGGAAGACCATCAGTTACAAGATTTACCCATAAAAGTTGAACGGGTATCAGTGCTTCAGGCATTCCTAAAATAACTGTGAGGAAAATACTATATGAAATAAAAGATATTTCATGTTTAATATATATATATTTATTTATATTTATTATACCGTACAAGGAAATAAACAATAATTCAAAAAAAAAAAAATGAAGTGTATTAAATTACCTAACAACTTCTCCAATATTAGAACTTATAAGATAACGAATAAATTGTTTGGTATTGTTATATATTGAACGACCTTCTTCAACTGCTCCTTCTATACTTGCAAAATTATCATCTGCAAGAACCATATCTGCGGCCAATTTAGCAACATCTGTACCAGAACCCATTGCTATTCCGATATTGGCTTTTTTTAGGGCTGGTGCATCATTTACCCCGTCACCAGTCTATATATATATATATATATATTTTTTGCACAAAATATATATTTAGTGAATCATCTAATGATTAAAATATTAAACAAATAAATAAAGATACTTACCATGGCCACAACTTCACCAAGACTTTGTAATATATCCACAAGTTCACTCTTATGAGATGGTTCGGTTCTTGAGAATAAATTTGCTCGCTTTACAACTTCTGATTTTTGATCAGGAGATAATTCACTAAATTCTCTGCCAGTATATGATTTTTCACTTAAATCTTCTTCATCCCCAAACACACCGATTGATCTACAAATAGCTTCAGCTGTATTTTTGCTATCTCCTGTGATAACTATTACTCTTATTCCTGCTGTCTTACATTTACGAATAGAATCCCTAACTTCTGGACGAGGTGGATCAAGCATACCAACTAAACCGATAAAAGTCATTTTCTGTTCGAGAAGAACAAATTTTGAGGGATCACGAAGGTATGAATCTTCTAATTGTGGTTTACAATTTTCAATTATTGCAGTAGCGAGAACTCGTAAACCTTTTTTTCCAAATTCCAAGAGTTTTCCATTTAGCTTTTCACGAATAACAGGAGTAAGCCTAATATCTTTAGTACTAGATGATGATAATCGAACAAATTCACAACGTTCTAATATTGATTCTGGAGCACCTTTAACATACAAGGTAGCTTGAGAAGAATTCGTTTGACCAAGAACCGACATTGATTTACGATCACGAGAAAATTCAAGAGTTATCAACTATTTAAAAAATAGTTGAATAAAATATAATAAGAATATAAGAATAATAAGATTGATTGATTAGTTGATTATAATAGCTTTTAATATTATAATATCTTTTAATATAATAAAAATAAAATATAAGAATTTTTCTTAATTTCTTTCTTACACGTTGAATTCTATTCTCATAATAATTATTACAAGCTGTAGTCCGCGCCTTTTGTGAACATGAACTTAGAGTGGAATTATATTCGCGACTATCCGTTCCTAACTTTTCAACAAGTACTTTAAGTGCTGCTTCGGTGGGTTCACCAACATTATTATATGTTGAAGTATCCTAGTCGATAAAACATGTTAAATTGATAATAAAAAGTTTAAAAATCAAAAAAAAAAAAAAAGGTATAAACAAATACTACAATTACTTACTTCATCATATGAAATATAGGAGTCATTACATAATGCACAGACTTGCACCAAATTATTAATACATGGATTTGTTTCTGGAAGGAAATTTGTAATACTTCCATCAACAGTTATGTTACCAATTGGTGAATAATTTGTACCTTCTACTTGTAATTCATGTAAATCAGCCGAATCGGATGCAACCAACAGAACCTAATTAATGAAATCATTATAGTAAGTTACCAAAGAATTTATTCTTTAAATGGATAATATAAATGAATTGATCAATACTTTAGATACGCTCATACGGTTAGTTGTAAGAGTTCCAGTTTTATCGGAACAAATGACGCTTGTACAACCCAAAGTCTCAACAGATGGCAAAGATCGCACAATGGCATTTTTTTTTGCCATCTTTTTTGTACCTAAAGCTAAACATGTGGTGATGACTACTGCCAAACCTTCCGGAATTGCAGCTACGGCTAAGGCAACTGCAATTTTGAAATAATAAATAGCGCCTCTAAGCCAACCATGATGTGATGGATCATTAAAGTGACGAATATTGATAATCCATACAAGAATGCAAATGACTGAAATGACCTGTAGTAAATTCATAATTAGTAAAAATATATAAATTTTTTTCTATTTTTTCTTTAGTTTAATTTCAAGTATTATACTACTAACCTTAGCCAGTAAATCACCAAATTCATCCAATTTACGTTTCAAAGGTGTTTTCTCGGATATTTGTTCTCCAAGCGTCTTTGTAATTTCTCCAATTTCTGTTTTAGAACCTGTTTTGACAACTATGGCACGCGCTTTCCCAATCACAACAGTTGTTCCCTATTTTAAATAATTTAATAATTTAATAATTTTTTAACAATTTTATAAGATTTGCAACCAAGAAAAAAAATCTTTTAATTAATTGTACCGTAAAAAGAATATTTATTTGATCATGCTTTCCAGCTTGCGGATCATTAATTTTTGATGTATCTTTATTCACACTAACACTTTCCCCTGTTAAAATAGACTGATCAATTCTGAAAGTGGTTGAAGATATTTTCAATATTCTAGCATCAGCTGGAATCTTATCACCAATGGCAATATCAATGATATCGCCGGGTACCAATTCTTCAGAGTGAATTTTATCAAGATGTCCATCACGTAAAACTTTTGCTTCATCAGGTGAATATTCTTTTAAAGCCTAATTGACCCATTAAGGAAACGATTAAAACTAAGAATCAAACTAAAAAAAACCAATGGATCAAAACGAAAGGATCGTTTGGTTTAATTATATATTAAAGAAATTTTTAACTTACTTCAATAGCTTTCTCAGCATTACTTTCTTGTACAACACCGACTACAGCGTTAGCTATCAAAATTAACATTATCACAATTGGTTCCACAAATGCAGTTCCCTGTTCTTCGGATTCCTCGAGGAATGCCAAAATAAAAGATATAGCAGCAGAAATTAAAAGGATTATAACTAGTTGATCTTTGAATTGTTCTAGAACCAATTCGAATAAGGAAGTTGATTCTTTCTGAGGAAGTTCTAAATAAAATAAAATAAAATAATAAAAATCGTTAATAAATCAATTCTCAATTGAAGGAAAGTAATGAAATCCTAAAAATCCAATTTTTCAATTTATTGAAAGTGAATCAGCATTAAAACGGGTAAAAATCTTTCGATAATAATGAATGTGAAGAATTATTAAAAATCCAACAAGTACATCTTACCATTTCTCCCCCATATTTTCCTATTCTCGTGCACTTGCTTTTCCGTTAAACCTCTATTAATATCAACCTGAAATTCATCAAGTACTTCTTGAGGCGTTTTTATAAATGAATCTTCCATTATGTAAATTTTCTCGTAAAAAAAAAAAGGACAAATTAAATTCTCAAAGTTATATTATAATAAATAAATAATATTAGATCGTTAAGAATATAATGTATTTTTATATTCTTTTCGATATTTCAATTCTATTGTTGAATTAGCAGACGTGTTTATAGTCGATTGGGACAACGTGATTTTATGTAGTATTTAATCAGCCAATCAGATGCTATATTGGATGCATGTCAAAATGTTGGCATATTTTCTCTGTTCCTGGGGTATAGGACTTTTATCCTGTTCCGCAACTTTTAGTTATCATGTTATAATTACTTTAAAATTTTTTATTTATATTTGTATAGGATAAAATTTTTTTTAAAGTATGGTAACATTTACTGAAAAAAAAAAAAAAGAGACGGCCTCCCTCAAAGTTGTGTCATTACGCACATCATATGTTTTTATATGACTTAACTAGTTACGTCAGTAAAGTCTGCACAACCATGTTAAAAGTCATATATGACGTATTTAAGTCATATAAAAAATATATTACGTAATGTTTTACGTAAGTAGTAAGTCATATAAAAATATATTACGTAATGTTTTTAAGTAACGTATCACAAAGTATCTAAATTAAACACCCATAATTTATTTTTGGCAGTCATAAATAATTTAGGCATCTAAAATTTATTCCATAATTCAACCCTAATTTTTGTACCTTTCAGACGAACTCAAAAAGGACCTTGATAATTAAAGGAAAAGCAAATTGTTAGTCAGTTGAATAATGCTTTTAAGGTTTTATTCAATATTATCGTTTTCGGCATGGATGCTTTCAGAATAGGAATTAGGAGGATTCTACGACTACGACGGATATCTCGTTGCCTGCCTTATTGGTGCTTCCAGCCATGTTCATACCACATTCTGAATCAATATGATAATTATATGTGATATGTTTTGATTTTCTTAACAGTATTTTTTCATAACTGCAGGTACAACCATACCATTCTAGCATCTGATGCTACACAGAGTGGGAGGATAACCAAAATGGTAGTTATTTACCCTATTATGTCTCATATATATGAACCCAAGAAAACGAATTGACACCACGCCCAGCTTGCTCATAAAAGAATCAAAAAAGCTTGAACGAAACCACAATTGTTTAAATATTTTCTCACCTTTTCTTACCTTACACAAATGAAAAACAACCCAACTGGTGAGCGACATTAAATGTCGACGTCTCTTAAGATATTTTCAACAGGGTCATTTGTTGATTTGAGGCAAAGAGGTGGATACTATTTGGATAATGTTTTCGCTATCCTTTCTCTACGTCCGTGTTACTTTGGAAAATACTATTTCTTTTCACTTTATCTTCCTATCATGATATAAAGAACCAAGGAGTGCGATTCAAACAATTATTTGGTGATCTAGACATCAGTAATAATTATACCATCAGCATCTTCCTTCCTCGTTCTCGAACTCAATTTTTCTGGCGCAAAATATTACATCCTTTTACAAACGTTTGAATCTATTTATGTCAAGGTTTACGTATTAAATCAACAGGAGTTTGGAACTTTACTTTTAAATTGTTGATGAAAATATGGATGCTTTGACAAATTTAATAACGTTACTGAATGTGTTGGAATTAAGGTATTTTCCCCTTTGTTCAATTATCTTTGTTAAACATTTTCACATCATTTTAAATTGAACACATTAAATTTTTAAAAATGTGCACATGATTTAAAAAGTAAATTTCAAACACTGATGTTAGTATGAACGAAGCTCCTATTATCCAATAATTACAAAAAGGAAAATAAATTCGAATTAATTGAAAGTTCGTTCAAAAAATTTTACAACTGTCTGAAGATTGCTTGCGATAGAGGCATAGCAAACTGGTTTGAATCCTGTCGTTATGGCAGAATTTACCTTGAATATTTCAACAGATGGCATTAAATGAAAAATTTTGTAACCTATATACTGTAAGTTTAAGAAGTTAGAAGTTGAATTTCTTTTTAGACAATGCCCTTGGAAATAGCTTGCCATCTAATGTCAAGGAGAGGGATAATAAAATATTTAAAATAGGAAAATTATGGTACTTTTTTAGCCCTAAACAAACTGAGAGCATTTAAAATACTGATTGAAAAATGAAGTTTATAGGCTATAATGAGGATTCTTCAATTATCATAAAAAAAATCCATTCTCAAACAATATTGGACTTGATTGTCAACGATTCCCTTGACAAATCCATTTGCTCTATATCATTTCTGAATTCGAGAGCATTCGTGAGCTGACAACTGATCGCATCTATTATTATCATTCAAGTTCTATATTGGCGCAATTGATTTAGTGAAGACGAGTGTCTATCGCTTGAATTGAGCTTGGGTAATTGGCAGAAAGTGTCACGATCATTAATGACGAAATCAGAGGAAGAAATTTTAAGACGTAAAATTAATGATCCATACTGACAAAATCTAAAGACAGTTCATCAAGCTTTGGAATTTAAAACGAAAAGTGACGAGTATTTATAGCCGTTAAAAAAAATGACATTATGCAGAGCTGATATATATTTTCATTGTTTTGAGAGTAAGTTTACATCATCCAATTAGTAAGAGAGTTTATTCTGTTGATGAATAACTTGTAGAATTTAGGCACAGGATTACATCTTATTAATTATTGAAAAAATTAAGTTTCGCCTGCAATCTGGCTCGTCTTTTTTATATACTCAATTTCATTATTTTTTAAATATATTTTTAGTTTAAAAAATGGTTGAGACTTTTGATGTCGTCGTTTTTTTGTTTGGTATAATTTTTTTATATCGTTCTATTCAATTAAGTCTCTTCTGACTATAATTTTTTAGCGGATTAACTTTTCAGATTAAAATTTAAATATAAAATACTTTTTTTCATTCAGTATAATTCTTTTGCATATTACTCTCACTGGCATTTTCTTATATCATTCTATTCAAAATATTGACAAAGTATATTCAAAATTTCTTCTAAGTATTAATATATAAATTAAAATATATATGGAACTTATTTCTCGCAATTTTATCCAGTATAATACTTATAATACTCTCCTCTAGTACCGTTGATTTGATATATATCATTTTATTCAACTTCCGACAAAGGTCATTAATTTGGCTATAATAATTTTATACTTTTTACTCGCTCTCAATATTTACATAGAAATTTTTTTACATCATGTCACAACAATAATCTAACATTCAATTTCTAAAGGATTCATTAATAATCAAATTTTAATAATAAACGAAAAATTCTCAATTTTCAAATCGAGTTATTAATATATAAAAATTTCACAAGTTTTATTTTGTATGATAAGATTGAAACACTTCTCGTGCCAGTGGAAAGTTTTTGTTAATATCATTTAATCAAATGAATATATTTTTAGATGCTGAGGAATTATATTAATTTTTAAGCCAACAAAACTTAAAGATTTCTCCTAAGACAAATTTTTTCTTAAATAAGACCAAGAACAATAAATATTAGATATTTCCTAATGGATCTAAACTAATTTCTGAAACCAGAATGTTTAATATGCTTTAGAGCAAGTTTATGTGAAATAGTCTTAGAAAAACCAAAAAACAATGACTCGGAAAATTATCTTCGATTTTTTCGCTATAAAAAATTGTCTAATAATGATTATATATAAATCAACAATGAAAAATAATGAAAATTAAACAATAACATATTCAAAACAATACAACAATACTTTTAATATCTATATAAAATGTCGATATTTTTATGACCTTTTCAGTTTTATTTCAAAGAAATCTTGATATTTTATATATTTATATATTATATATTTTATTCAATTATAATAAAATATTTAATATTTATTTATAATAATAATAAAAGAATTAAAGAACAATGTCAAAACTTAAATCAAATAAAAAGTTAAAAAAGACATCCACCAACAAAAATAAAACCAATGAAAAAAACAATGAAAAAACTAAGGAAAAAATCAACGAATATAAAACCAAAAATAATAAAATTATGGATTCTACTGTAAATGAGAATACTATAAAAAAACCAAATTGCCGTCCAGGTCGTTTAGTTCGGGTTGGTAAAACTTGGGTAAGGATTAATAATAATAACCTTTCTGTCATTTCTTTACATGAAGAACTTTCAAAACTTCCAGTCTCATCATCAAAAACTGTAACGTTATTACACGAAGAAAACACTAATAATAATAATGACAAAAACGAAAAGGGTTTAATTTTAAATGTTGAAAATGTCATAAATGAGAATAATCTTAACAAAGAAAAAAATGTGATAAATTATTATTCTTTGTCAACTAAATTATCGGATAATATCATTTCTAAACAATTGAAAGGAAAAGGACGGGAAGTCGGTAAGTTTATATAAAAATGCTTTTAATATTTATTTTTTTTTACGACTAATAAATTTATTTCCTCTTTGAAAATTTAAATAATAATTTTTTTTTTAGATGATTATGATTTTGATAACACAAAAAACAACAATAAAAAAAATAAAAATAAGAATTATTTATTAGAATGTAAACTTTCGCAAAATACATTTCTTCCAGTAGGTTATCAATTAGCAGAAGAAATATTTTCATATTTAGAAGTTGAAGATTTAGTATCAGTAAGTTTAACATACAAACCAATTTATAAATTTATCACTTTAAGTACCAATCTTTGGAAAAATCTTTATAAACAATTTGTCTCGATCAAAATAAACAAAATAATGGAACCATTAACAATGTTACAAACTTTAACAAATAATAATTTAAAACCATCAATTGCTTGGAAAAATCATGTTTTTAGTCGAATCAAATATCGACCAATATATTTATCATATACTTATTTAGATTCATCAAATGATTTTATGATTACATTTCCAGGAGCTTCTTATGATTATGATACAATATATACGGAAGTCCAAGAATATGTAATTGATGAAGATGAACCAACAAGTAGTTCAAATTGTAATTCACCAAATTTTAATTCAAGACCACCACAATATATTAATAATCGTATTCGACGAGGAAATCAAGTTTTATTTGATGAAATACAAAATGGATTTCAAGATCAATGGAGAATTGCTATTGAAAAAGTAAAATGTGAAATGATATCACCTTTAAAATTAAAAGATGGGGATGATATATTTGTAGTTTATAATTATTCAGATACAAAGAAACATCCTTATACATTTGAAATTTTAAAAATATTTGATAATATTAATGAAGCAATTAAATTTGCTAAAGAAATGAGTGATGAATTAGATGGTGGTGATGTTAAAAATGTTGAACATAGAGGAGAAATATTTGATAGTAAAAGAAAAAATATATTTTTAGAAATAAATGAATCAAATGAATTGAGAGTTTCAGTGGATAAAGTAAAATTTTGGAAAAAAGTACATAAAATTCCCAACTTCTTGCGTAGTACAAATATTTATTATGATGAAAATCAAAACGAAAGAGAAAAATATAACGAAGAAAAAGAAGACGACATGCCAGATTATGACAATGAAAATGGTAAAGACAAAATTATTGAAACATGGAAACAAATGGGATATGTGGACAAATCATTTTTATTAGAAGCATTACAAAATATTGTAGATACTTCTTCACCGTCATCACTTTATGAAAATAGTAATAACGAAAATAATAATAATAGAAAAAGATCAATTTTGGAAGATTTAAGTTTATCAGTCGATAAAAATAAAAGATTTAAAATAAGAGAAGAAAAGTTAGAAAAGATATAATTTTATAAATTGTATAGTATTACTTTAACACAAAACAAATTGGAAAATCTATTTATTACGTTTCGAAATAATCTTACTTTTAAAAAGTAACCATTAAAAATAACTTAGATTAGTTAAAACTTCATTGTTTGTTAAATTTTGGTGGTTTTTTTTTCCTTTTCACATTACCAACAGTCAGTTTACTCACACATTTGGAAATAAAGTATATAATTTATTACAGTGATGCATTCACATAGAAAATGAAAATGGAAATCGTTAATCAAGAGGATTCTTCATTGGTTCATAATTTTACAAGTGACAGAATCATTCACGTGCATATGATATGGCTGAATATCGATGTTCGAGCATAATTTTTTAATAAATATAAATCAAAATAATAATAATTATAAAAAAAGGGATTATATAAATATTTAATAATGCTTTCCAAGTCTGTACCTTCGTTGCGTTTCATGAAAATAATAAATCTTAAATAAAACTTTTATATTAAATTATAACTAGTCAAACTTTTTTTTTACAACATATTTTTAAATTTATTATTTTAATTATTTAAAGAATTATCATAATAAATTCATTCCCTGCCCCTTACGAAATGAAATAAGGGTGTCATTATATATTATCCATGAAAGATCCATATAAATAATAATGAATTAGTAATTGGCGTTTACTAATATTTTTTCTGATAGTTAAAAAAAGGTCAATTGAAATATCTAATCAATAATCACGTTCTCTTCAAAAATTCGACTCTTTTGCCATCCCCAGCAAATTCCATTCCTTCAACGACAAAATCTGTCAAGAAACTCAGATTATGTTTATACCTGCTACCCAAATTCAAATTCAAAATCCCAAACCCCAAATTATTTTGTTATACCAAAAATAATTTGGGCAATAGGTATAATTGTGTTATATTTCAATTGTCACTTTATAGATCTTATACAGATTCTGTCCCTAATGATTCTGAAAAATGGAAGTCTGTTGGGATAAAAAATGGACTACAATACAGAACTATTTAAAGTTCTGTTAATTGGAAACAACGAAGATGAGACACATGGAAATTTAAGTGCAATATTTATAGTAGGAGATCTTCTTTAAGTTTCGTGGGTATCCCTATCTAATGAGTGATTTATCAATCAAACTTTTGAAAATGGTACTCTATAGTGATGCCTGTTGCAACTATTTCTGAAAGTAGAAACAGTAATAAAATTTTAAAAGGTAGCTACCTGAAATTGTAACCTGAAATCAAAGTAGTAACATGAAATTATAGTAATCTAAAAACAAAATAGTAATCTGAATTCAAAATATTAACATAAATTTGCATAATAATAAGTAACTATCTAAAGTTATAACTTGCAATTTAAGTAATCATATTAATTAAAGTAAATTTATTAGTATATAGATTTTATTAAAATAAATTATTATTTTACACATTAGCATGTTATTTAAACTTACTTTATTTAAAATAAATTAAAGCTCATGGATTATTTCATATTCTAGCATATTTGTTTTATTAAAAATAAATTAAAGATTAAGTTTATTTTTATTGAAAATAAATTAATCCATTATTAAAACCAAGTACATGAATATTCCACACTTAATTAAAGATTAAATAATCCAAATCCCTTTTGGGTCAGGTTAATATTCAATATTCATATTTTTTAATTAAATTTAAAGCTAGTAACTAAAAAACAAGAATCCAAATTCCATTTCGAGTCGATGTTTCATTCAGATTGATACCCAAACAGTCAGAGTCGATTTTTTTTTTGAAAATCAGATTCCATCTTAATTCTAAAGCATCAGTAATGCTTTTAAGAATCATTGAAGCTCATAAGTGATTATATAATTCATTATTCACTTTGATTCATTAAATATTGTAAAGCCTGACAATAATGAAATATATTTAGCGGTTAAACATTTGAATAATCCAAATTCCGATTGGTTAAACGAAATATCTAAAAAAAATATTTTGATAATGATCCCAAAACGTTTTGAGTAATGTTCTTCGTGACTTCAACAAATGAGCAGAGGGTTTCTTGAATTGTTTTATTTTATTGTTTTATAGGTTCTCCTGATATTGTCCAACAATTCCTTTACGCTTTATTTCATATTCATAAGCCTCATATTTATCATTTTCATGTGTATTGCTAGCCCATCCAACTGAAAACTTACGAAAACCATCAATAAAACGTACCCTTTCTCAAAGCAGCGCGCGTTCGATTTATTAAAAATTGTATTTATCACGTGTTTCACTTATTAGCCAATCGAAATCATGTTCGAGATTTTCATTAAATTATAAGATTAAAAATGAATTCAAGTTATTTCACTATGAACTACGTCAATATATGTTGTAACCAATCTGATACAGATAGAATGTAATCAAGCATTTAAATATAACTTAATGTAGTGATAAAATCCATTTTTAAATATGTATATATGTGATTTTTTGAAGAATTAATTATGAATTTTGATTAATGAAAAAAGGAACTCTATTGAATAATGGATTCTATACATATATTGAAATTTAAATAAATAAATGAATAATTTAAATGCTTAATTTTATAGATTTACTCCCAGAGAACACTATAAATTTGCTAATATATTTATCAATAATCTTCATAGATGGAATTACTTCATAATTATAATTATAAGAGATGATTATAAAAGATAATGATATAATTCTATTTTGTATTATAAGTACATATTACCATGAAAATTCATTAATCTTCTAAAAAAAATAATTGTGTTTTATTACATTTTAATTTTCTTTATTGCTAGCAATAAATATATTACTATTTTTGATAGAAAAGAACATATATGAGTTTATACATAGTGAAGATATATAATAAATGGTAATTAACTTCTCATTCATTTATGATCAATTATAAAAGTTAAAAAAAGAAAAGTCAACTTATATGGATTTGCAGTTTATAAATATTTAAATATCAAGACAATAATGATTGGCCTGCTTTAATTTAAATAAAAGCTATACTCTATAATTCCAGTGATCAAATAAAATAATAAATAATTCAATATCAAATGTAACAAGATCAAATAAAAATATAATATATTTAAAACTAAAAGATGAATATTAATTATAAACCAATTATCCCAGTATATTAAATTTACATCCCCATTTCTTGAGTTTCATTTTCTTCATCTTCAACTAAACAAATTTAAAAAATAATTAATAAACTAAATATATTAGAAAAATAATTAAAGAAAAAAATTTACCAATTATATTATTGGGAATTGAAAAAAATTGCTTTCTTGAATCTAAATAAATAATTATATAAAATTTATTTATACTTACTAAATGTATCACATTCAGGCATTGGTATGTGTCTACTTGTATATATTGCTTCAGGATGAATTTCATTCGGATCATATTGAACAAAATTCTTGTTTAATTTATTTCTTTTCTAACTTGTTCTCTTATTTTCTTATGAGAAAATTTATTAAGTTGGGTTCTCAATTCTTCAGCAGTTGAACAATCAAGATGTTCAAAATTCCAGCATTTTTCCATTATTTCTTTGAAAAATTGAGGAATTTCACACTTAATTTCCAGTTTAAGCCCTTTGCAAATGTCCATTACAAGGTTTGCATTATGTGAAACATTATAATATGGTGGGTAACTAGTTAGAACTTCTAACATAACCATATCAAAAGAATAAATGTCAGATGCTTGAGTGTATTCTCCTTTACTCAATGTCTCAAGTGTCATGTATGGAATTATATCATAAATTTTCTCTGGATCATTTTTTGTAATTTTGTAATTGGTTTGCACAGTCCAAAATCAGTAATATAATTTAAAGATAAAGTTTCATTAACTATATTACTGTAATGAAAATCTCTATGCATAAAGCCCATTTCATTGATATATGCAAGTACATTTACAATATTTATTAAAATATGAAATTTTTTTTCCAAGTTAATCTTTTAAAATTTTGATCCAACATTTTTTGAAGACTACCATGTTTTGCATAATTCATAACCATCATATATTCATTTTTTGTTGGATTTTTAGTGATGCCATATATTGCAATTGCCTTTTTACTTCGAAATTTAAGTTGATTTTTAATCTATAATATTAATTAATATAAATAAAATATAATTATATATTTAAAATAATGTAAATATGATGAAATTTAAATAATATAAAATATTTACCTCTCTCAAAAATTCATTTTTATTTGTAGAATTATCAAGCTTTTTAAGCAAACATCTTTTTCTTTAAACCTGCTCCAATTTTCTACTTTATATATCCAATAATGAATAGGTCCATTAAGCCATTCTGCTTTGTATACTGCACCAAAGCCCCTTTAGCCAGGTATGTGACCTTTTTAAGTCTGTCAAATGGAATCCACTAAATAATTTCTTGACATTTATTTACATTTAGTTATATTTGTTGAATAAATTCATCAATATCTCTATCTTCACTTGTCCATTTGTCAAATTCATTTTGAAATCTTTTGATATTACATAGATGATACCAATATTTTCTGCTATACTCTTGATGACATTTGCTACACTTTTTATTACTATAAATATTATTGATAATTAAAGAATTATTATTTGATATTGAATTAAATTGAAACATTGATTTCAATAATTATGAATTTAAATACTTACTTGCTGTAATATAATTTATATTGAATTGATTAGAGAATCATTATATTATATTGAATTAAATCAAAACATTGGTTTCAATAATTATGATCTAAGAACTCACAAACTGCAATATAATACATGTGATTAGTTTATAATTGATTAGAGAATTGTTATATGATATTGAATTAAATTGAAACATTGATTTCAATACTTACATACTGTAATATAATTTATATTGATTAGTTTATAATGATTAGAGAATTGTTATATGATATTGAATTAAATTAAAACATTGATTTTAATAATTGTGAATCTAAATACTCACAAACTGTAATATAATTTAGGATTTTATTTTTTAACACATCTGCATTTTGGTTTATGGGTTATTGGTTACAATAAGGGTAACAATATGGTTTTCACGTTTGATTTATAATAAAAATTGATATTCAACAGGGTAATGCAGCTGAACTAACCTAACCCTTGCATTTATTCATATGATAAAAATTTATGAAATTCCAACCAATAAAGTAACCCATGTGCCATAATACAGATGTGCTAAAAAACATAATCTTATAATTTAAATTGATTAGAGAACCATTATATGATATTGAATTAAGTTCAAACCTTGATTTCAATAATTATGAATTTAAATACTCACTTCCTGTAATATAATTTATATTGATTATTTTATAATGATTAAAGAATTGTTATATGATATTAAATTAAGTTGAAACATCAGTTTCAATAATTACTCACTTCCTGTAATATAATTTATATTGATTAGTTTATAATTGATTAGAGAATTGTTGTATTATATTGAACTAAGTTGAAACATTGATTTCAATAATTATGAATCTAAATACTCACTTGCTGTAATATAATTTATATTGAATAATTTATAATTGATTAGAGAATTGTTACATTATATTGAATTAAGTTGAAACATTGATTTCAATAATTAGAAATCTAAATACTCACTCCCTGTAATATAATTTATATTAATTATTTTATAATTGATTAGAGAATTGTTATATGATATTGAATTAAATTGAAACATTGATTTCAATAATTATAAATACTCACAAACTGTAATATAATATATGTGATTAGTTTATAATCGATTATAGAATTGTTATATGATATTGAATTAAATTGATTCACTTGTTGTAATATAATTTATATTGATTAGTTTCAATAATTATGAATCTAAAAACTCACAAGCTGTAATATATGTGATCAGTTTATAATTGATTAGAGAATTTTTATATAATATTGAATTAAATTGAACATTGATTTCAATTATTATGAATATAAATACTCACTCCCTGTGATATAATTTATATTAATTTATAAATGATTAGATAATTGTTATATGATATTGAAACATTGATTTCAATAATTAAGAATTTAAATACTCACTCCCTGTAATATAATATAATTTACATTGATTAGCTTATAATTGGGCAATTGTTATATGATATTGAATTAAGTTGAAACATTGATTTTGATAATCATGAATCTAAATACTCACAAACTGTAATATAATATATGTGATTAGTTTATAATTGATTGGGAGAATTGTTATATGTCATCAAACCATTGATTTCAATAATTATGAACCTAAATACTCGCAAACTGTAATATAATTTATATTGATTAGTTTATAATTGATTAGAGATCATTATATGATATTGAATTAAATTGAAACATTAATTTCAATAATTATGAATCTAAATACTCACTCCCTGTAATATAATTTATATTGATTAATTTATAATTGATATCGAATTAAGTTAAAACATTGATTTCAATAATTATGAATCTAAATAATCTAAATACTCACGAACTGTAATATATATATTATATGTAATTGGTTTATAATTGATTAAAAATATATATAATTTATTATTAACAATAAATTATAATTTTAAAATAAAATTTTTTAATTGTTAATCCGCCTATCAATCGGCACAATAAATTTTATAATAATAAAAATTTTTTTTACTTAATAATTTGTACACATAATTTAAGGGTGGGGCTGATTTTTCAGAATAATTTTTTCATCCCTTAATCTTTCGGACAGGCAAATTTGCCTGCAATCTATGGATGTTAATATATGTTTAGAAGTATGTATAGATAAACTTTCAGACTTCTAACTAATAATTTTACTAAGCAAAAATTTGTGGGGCGAATTTGCTAAAATTTTGCTAATTTATAATGTTTATTGGTATTTTGTAAAACTTTGAGTTTCGTAAAATTATATTAAAAAATAAATTCAATCCCAAAGTTTTTTTTTAAAAAAAAAAATTTTTTTTGATTAGGTTAAAAATTAGCATATTTACTCCGATTGATAGGGGAATTATCAATTAATGTATAACAATATGCCTACTCCGATTCTTCCGATTCCCATTCTTAAAATTCTTCTGTTTCACCGGTTTCTTTCATTTCTTTCATTCTTTAGTTTCTTTCAATTTCTTTAAAAAAAAAAAGGTGCAACAGCCACATTATCGGATTAAATAAATTCCATTTTGTCATGCATGCATTTGTACAACAATAGCAATGATGTAATATAATAACAGACAAAATAATTTCAAAATACGAAGGTATTTTTAATTTTTTATTATTTAATAATTATATTTATAATTTTGTTATATAATAACGGATAAAATAAGTTAATAAATCGAATCGACTTTTTTTTTTAAAAAAAAAGAATAACTAAAATTTTTACAAAATAAATAAAGAATAGGGTAAGAATAAATAATATATAAATAAATTTACAAAAAGATAAAAAAAAAAATTTACAATAAATTCAATAATGATTATAAGAACAAGGAAAATTAGAATCTCGATAAATTATATTCATTCATGATAAATTCCGAACCTAAAATTTTAAATTAAATTAAAAAATTTATTAAATTAAGCTAAATTAAATTAAATAAATAAAATAAAAATAAAAAATAATCAAATAAAAACTTACCATAATTATCACCATCATCGTCGTCATCATCATCACCACCTTCATTAAAATTATTAAAATTATTATGATGAAGAGGAGGATGAGGAATTGGTGGTGGCGTAGTAACAGAAAATTCAAAATTTAAAAGTCTACTATGATAAACTGCTTCAGGATGAATTTCAAATCCGCCATTTCTTTCAAAGGTCATTTGATTATATCCATTGGGATTTTTATATAATAATTCAATTGAATCATCATCACTATTACTTTCACTTTCACTTTCATAATAACTAATAATTCCTTCCCCGCTCATATCACTTCCACTACTTTCGCTAGTATCACTAGTAAATGAACCCATTCTTGCCATACGTTCTCCGTAGGCTCCAAATTCTCGTACTTTTTGTTCGGATCTTAAAAATCCTCTTTGAATTTCCCTACATTTAGGTTCAGAATTTAATGTACCATTTGCACATTGATGCCAATGTGAAAAGATATATGATAATTGTTTAGCGGTAGGACGTTTTAAAGGATTTTCGTGACAACAATGTTGAATTAAATTGATATAATTTTCTGGTGCAAAACCTTCTTGAACTGTTGGTCTTTTTCCTATGTAACATAATTCATTAGCTAATTCTTGATCATGTGGAATATCATGAAATGGTGGTTTACCATTAGCTATTTCTAACATTATTATACCAATACTATAAATATCGGATGCTTTGTTCATAGGATTTCCTAATATAACTTCAGGTGCAATAAATGGTAAAACTCCGAAACATAAATTTTTTCCAGAAAGTGATTCTGTAGTGGTTGATAAAGAACATGTACTATCAGCTGGTATACCTAAACCTAAATCTGAGATCGTTGAATAGGTTTCTCGATGATCTTTACCAATTTGTAAAATATTACCAGTATGTAAATTTCCATGAATGTGACCTTCTTTATGAATAATTACCAAATTTGAAATTATATCACAAAGCCACCAAAGTTTTTGAGACCAACGAAAATTATAAAATGCTCGAGGTTTATAATGCATAAATTGGCGAAGGTTACCAAAGTTAGCATATTGAGTGACCATCATGTATTCCCCATTTACAGGATTTTGAGTCATTCCATAAAATTGTAAATAATTGAGTACACGTTTAGGAAAAATTGAAGAAGAAAAACGGTAATATGATTTGAGCTAAAAGAAATATAAATATATGTGTGTAAGTAAAAATATATTGAATATATATTATATATTATACATATACGCGTAGAGTAATATATAAAATATTTTCGAAAATACTTAAGATAACTTACATTTTGAATATAATAAGGTGTTATACTCTGAGAATTTTTAATACTCTTTAAAGAAACAGTAATAGGTTCAGTACGTGAACATCTCCTTCCTTTTTCACCGATAGTACGTTTACCATTTAACCAGGTTGCTTTGTAAATTACCGAAAAAGCACCTTCACCAATTTCACCAATTCCATCAAATTGATCAAAATTAATCCATTCTAAAAAATTATCAGGCCATGAAGACGCTTTCTTTTGGGTTTTTTGAATAAGTTTATCAATTTCTTGATTACCACTTGTCCAATCACCATTAATCAAACATTTTTTACACCACCCTTTATTACCACCATCAAGAAAACGAAGAAGATGTTGACATTTTGGTTGTTGTTGTTGTTGTTTTTGTCGTTGTTGATCAAAAGAAATTGATCTTTCGGCAGTAAATTGAGAAAAAGATGAAGCATCACTTGTGGTAATAGTAGTCATGATATAATATTAATTGTGTGAAATTAATTGTTGAAGGATTGGTATTATTTTTTTTTTTTGAATATTATTATTAAATATATTATTAAATTTATTACTAAATTTTTATTAAAATTATTAAATATAAAAAGTTATAAAATATTATTATCGAAAAGACCTGCTTAACGAAAATAATGGATAGAAAGAAAAATTAAATATACAAAAAAAAAAAAAAAAAAAAAGGAAAAGTGAAAAAGAAATGAAAAGAAGAAGAAATGAATTCTTTGAGGAAAACTAAAATTTCTTGGAAGACTATTTATATATATATTTTTTTTTAATTCGCGAATCTTACGAAAACGAATTTTGGGATACATATTATTAGATTATTATTTATTATGCAAATGTCTGTGCATACAATAGTTATCACATCAAAACACACTATCTTACATTACCCGATTTTACACTACCTATTTACACTATCAAACACTTGTCTATCTTTTTCTTTACTATTATTTACCGTGAACACAATATTGTTTTACTATTTTTAAGTTAAATATTTTTGACATATTTATATTGTTGTGTTTTAAATTAGACTTTTTTGGACATTGGTTTAACTTGAATGCCATTTCTTTTTAATATTTTAAGTTACTAAACAAATATTAAATTTAATAATATAAATAATTATTTACCACATGTATAATTTTGTAGATAATTTTTAAATATGGTTTTGTAAAATAGGTTTAATAAGTAAGTTGTTATGGTAACACTTTTTAAAAACAATAATAATAATAATAGTGAAAATTTCTAAGGAAGGAATTAATAATTGAATTTTGTCTAACAATAATATATGCAATACGAATTATGCAAACATGATGTATAAAAATAAGTTAAGAATGTAAAATAAGAATGTAAAAGAATGTAAAAGAATGTAAAAATATGTAAAACAATGTATAAAATAATTTTAAGACATAATAATTCTCCTTGCATTAAAGTTTCTCATTATAATTATTTCCATTTTTATTATTAATATTATCAAAAAAATACGAATCATCTTCTGGTAATATTTGACTTTCATAATAGATTAACTTAATAGAATTTAATAAGTTAAATCATTTATTTTAATAAAATTTAATATTTCTAATTTAATATTATACTTTATTTTAGAGTTTAATATTGGTTTAAATATAATTTAAAAAATATAGTAAATCAATTATTAAAGTAATTAAGTAATCGTTATGTAATTAATAGGAATTAATAGGAGAATTTTCTCAAACAGGGTCAGATTTACGTATTGTTCGCCATTTAAAATTATTACTTAATATAGTAATTTAAATAATTATTACGTCTATTTTTAGAGTAAATTTTATCTTCTGTTATATTATTTTATAGAAAACAAGAAAAAAAAATCTAATAAGCAAAAAATGATACAAAATTACAAAAATGATGATACTTAATTATTAAGTAGATGCTTGGAAAAGGAATAAACAAATAAATAATATAATAAATAATAAAATAACTAGGTTATACACGCATTTGTTAAATTTATTTCATCTATTTCATCATAATTAATCATAATTAATAATTTATAATAATTAATAATAATTAATAATAATTAATAATTAATCGAAACTAATCGTGATTTGGTAAAACGTTATCAAACATTTAAAACATCTAAAACCCAAGGAGGTTATTATTATCTGTTATTGGGAAACTAAATTCTAGACTTGACTTTACATGGTAAAATAATTTAATCAATTGATTATGATTATTTATTTGATGAATTTGAATTGTTGAATAGAAGAAACGATTTAACGGTTTTCGCTCATTATATTATTGTTTTTATTGTTTTTTATTGTATTGTTTTTATTGTTTTTATTGTTTTTATTTTTTTTATTGTTTTTAAGTGTTTCGATTTTTTCTTGTTTCAAATTTTTCCATAAAATTATAAAATTAGATATCGATATAAAAATAATATTCAAATAATAATAATAAGTAATAAGAATTATTTAATAATGTTAAGAACTTCTCTAAATTATAATGTTACCCAATTTTCGAAAAATAATATCCAATAATAAGTAATAATAATTATTCTTCAATAAATTATTAAATTTCTCAGACTAATTTATGATCTTATGATCTAATATTGTATATATTTCATTGATCAATATTATCTAATACAATATCAAATAAACCTTTTATATCAATTTATACTGTTTATTTTTATTTACCAATATGTATAGTTCAGTTTATTACCAAATTTTTCAAGATAACTTAAAATCAAAACTTTTACAGCAAAATTACAGCCTTTCGAATTATTTAATTCTTTGGTAATAAGAGCAACTTAACTAGAGAAGGTTAAAGAGGGCTAAGGGAGGCTAGGGAAAGCTACGAAAGGCTAAGGAGGGAAGCCGTAGTAGAAAAAAAAAATAACGTAGAAAAATTAATGACAAAGAGATACCCCCAAAATTGAAAGGTTAAAAGAATTAAGGGATAAAAGGGTGTATGATAATAATAATATTTGTATTTAGAAGATCCTCGGTTGACAGGTAATCGTAATTTATTATTATTATTTTTATTCTTCTTAATGTCAATTATTCCATCTTCAGTGAATAATTAATTTATTTCTACTATATCTAAATTTGATATTGAAACTAATGATAATAACAAGGCTATTATGTCTCAACAAAATACCGAAAAAAGAATTAGTCTTCATTCCGTACATTCGGAAACAATATTATCCACTATTGACGAAGAAACATATATTAAAGTCAATGATAATATTCAGAAAAATTCTTATAAAATTCGTTTGGAATCAACAAAGAATTCACGAGTGCCTTCAAATCCATTACAAATGTTATTTGTAGATAAATCTGAAGATAATAATGATAATAATAATAATAGTAATGACACTAGTAATGATAATAATAATAATAATGATAACAATGATAATAATGATAATAATGATATTAATGATAAAGATAAGGATAATAATAATAAACTTAATATTGAAGAAGAAGAAGAAGAAGAATATAAGAAACCAACGATATTATCATACGGAAATTTTAAGTTAGCAATAAAAAAAATTTGGAATAGCGAATTTATTGAAGCAGAAGAGATTTTAAAAAAACATAAAGAAGGAATTCCTAGATGGAATGTTACTTACGCGGAATTGAAATTAATTAAACAATTAATGACTGGTCAACCTGTTGAAAATAATGAATCTCCTGAATTAACAAATGCTTTAGCAGAAGCTGAAAAATTGGCTAATAAAGTTGTTGAAAATAAAGATGAATTTGTGAGTATAAATATTATTTATTATTTTATTATTTTATAATATTTATTTTTTTTTTTATAATATTAATATTTATTTATTTATTTTTATAATATTTATCATAATAATAATATTAATAATAATAATAATAATAATAATAATAATAATAATAATAATAATAATTAATAATAATAATAATAATTAATAATAATAATAATAATTAATAATAATAATTAATAATAATAATGATAATAATAATGATAATAATAATATAGGAAACTTCATTTAATTTGTTCAAAAATGAAATCAAGAAACCAAAGATAACACCTTCATCATCATTGTCTGATGATGATGATGATAATAATAATAATTTACTAGAAGATGAAACAACATTAAGAACTAATTATCGATGGGATTGTGAATTAGCATTAGCAGATATTCTTTTATTTCGTTCTGTTTTACAATTGATTGGTGGTAGTGAAATTAAAGGTGCTTTTAATTTACGTCGAGCTTGGAAAACTTATTGTAAAGTCAGAGATGAAATTACTCAAATTAAAGTTGACACTGCTAATAATGATTCAAGTAACAATAATAATAACAATAATAATAGTGATGATAATAATAATAATAATCGATGGAGTTTAGGAAATGCATTTTTAGGTAGAAGAAGTAGTATTACAAGTATCGTGGGATTTGGTAGTAAAGAAACTTCAAATGGTCTTCAATCGATAGATATTGATCTTGATATTAAAGATTGTCTTGAATTTGGTCTTGGTTTATTTAATTTTATTGTTTCAATAGTAAGTTTGGATTTATTTGAATTTAATTATTATTATATTTATTACCTATTTATTATCTATTTATATATTTATATATTTATTATACATTTATTATATTTTATTTAATAGGTTCCTAGTTCTTTCTTTTCTGTTATGAGAACTTTTGGATTTAATGCCGATCGTGAACAAGCCATCCGAATGTTAGAAAATTGTAGTGGCATTAGAGGTTTGACTTTACTTTTTTTTACTGTGTTTGTGATAATGATTTTATGATTATTTTAAGTAAAGAGGAAATTATCTTTTTTTTTTTTTTTATTAGTTCCATTTGCATCATTACTTCTCCTTGAAAATTACCTTTTCCTTCCACATGGTCTTGCTGATTCCACTCCTTCATTATCAAGAGCTGGTGAAATTGTTGAAGATTGTGTCGCAAAATACCCGTACGTAAATATATTAAATATATCAAATAAATAAAACTTGTAAAATATATGAATTATTAAAATATATTTTTAAATACCTTTTTTTAATACAACACAGGAATAGTTCCCCATTTCTTTTTATGGCAAGTCAACAAGCTCGTAAAACTGGAAAGATAAGAGAAGCTATAAATTATATAATGACAAGTATTAATAGTTGTGAAAATGTTGGAGTTACCAGTACAAATCACAGATTTGAAATGGGAATGACTTATTTAATTAATTTAGATTTTTCTACTGCCAAAGATATATTTGAATTACTTTTCTATGGTAATACTATTGTCTTCACTGGTAAGAAAGGTTCTATACGTCTTAAAGGTTCTACTCATGGTTCAACTCGATTTTTATCAAAAAAGAATACCACGAAAAAAGATAAATCTTTCCTTCAACTATTTGAATTTGAGTTAAGACCATTTTGTGGATTATGCTTAGCTGGTTGTTATCTAATAGTTAAATCTGGCGATTATACAATTAAGGAAGCTTTAGATGTTTTAAGACAAACAAAATCCATGACAACTCCCGAAACTGAACATAATAGTAGTAGTAGTATAGCTGGTAGTATTGGTTTATTAGGAACTAGTGCAAGTGGAATTGTAAGATTTGGAACTGGAGGTGGTGACAAAAAAGAACAAAAGGTAAATAATAATAATAATTAATTAATTAATTAATAATAATAATAATACTATACTAATACTAATGATAATTTATTCTTTCGAATTAATCAATATTTATATATATTCTCGTTAATAGACAAATCGTTATAACAAATTTGCTAGTCGGCATTCTGCTAAAGATGTTCGTAAAAATGATGTATCCCCATTCTTATTATTTGTCATTCTTTATTTTCGACGAGATCTTTTTTATATGCCTTTGGAATTAAAAAAAAGGTGGTCAGAAATGTTAGAAACTACTTGGGAGGTAATTTAATTTTTATTTTTTTATTTATTGAAAAGTTATATTATACAATATTATTTATATTATTATATTATTAATATGATTATATTATTTATATTATTATGTTATTATTATTATTCTAGAAAATTAAAAAACCTACGGATCCTGATACCAATGCAATTTATTTATTACTACGTGGATTTTTTGAAAAGTTTTTGAACTCTGATCCTGTTGAAGCCCAAACATCATTTATTGATTGTTTGGCTTTAGAAGCTGGTGTTATTAATGATACTTGGGTTATTCCTCATTGCAGATATGAAGTAAGTTAATGATAATATTAATAATAATATTAATTATATTAATTATGTCAAGGGGATTTAAAAGATTAATGACCTTTTCACTTCACTTAATCTTAATAGTTTGGTGAATTGCTTTATAAACAATTTGGTAACGAAGAAGCTGCAATGGAACAATTTAATTGGATTCTTAAAGGACAAAGACCATTATCTCGAACCAGTGGTTTAATTTCTAGTAGACGAGAAAGTAATTCTAGCATAACATCACTCACAGCAGATTTATCATCAAATAATAATCCCGAAAGATTTAAGAAATATGAATTTTCTAGAAGTCTTAAAAATCGGTGTACCGCTGCGGTAGATCAAATTCGTAGTAAAACAATTCACTCTGACAGCACACAATCATCATCATCATTATCTCCTTCACCTTCATTAAAAACAACAATGACGAATAATCATAACCGTAAAAAATCAAATTCAACTTCAAGTTTCTCAAATTTATTTAAAGATGTACAAGAACAAAACCTACAAAGACAATTATCAGAACAAAAGATTCAATCAATTAATACCACGAATAATAATGATAATTTCAAGAATAATGATAATAAAACTGAAAATAATAATAATCCTTATCAGAATAACGAAGGATTTGGAATATCACAATTTAAATTTAAGAAACGACATAAACCAAGATCGTTGAGTTTACCTCAAAATGAAATTGAAATAAAGAAAGAAAATGTTATCAATTCTAATAATAATGAGAGTAACAATGAGAATAATAGTAAGGAGAATAATAGTAATAATGAAAGTAAGAATAATGGAAATAAGAGCAATAATAAAGGATTAAAGAAATTAGTCGGATTTAAATTTCGAAAATAATAATTTGTTAGATAATAAGTTATGTTTATATTATTCGTTATTATTTATCCGTTATTATTTATTCGTTATATTATTTATATGATTATTTATTAGTTATTTATTCGTTATATTGTAATTTATATTTGGAAATATAATAATTAATAATTTTTTTTTTTGATCAATTTCTGAAGATTCCAAAGAATTGTATATAATAATGTTATTTTTATTTGAATTACTTTCCACATTGTTACATTATTTTCATTATGTATATATAAATTTTTTGTTAATTAAAACAAATAAATAATTTTTATTCATTTTGTTCAATTTTTAAAAGTTAATTTTTGGTTCAAGTATAAATAATTTTCTTTTATTCTTTGATTACCTTCGAATGTTTTTTCTTTAATTTTTCTATTCTATCTGATTTTTTAACTTGATAATCATAAAAATATCTACATTGAACATTAGTTCTTGTTCCAACTTCTTTAGCAACGTTTTTCCATTTTCTTCCATGAATCGCAAATGCCTGTTTCATTTTATTTCTTTCCTCTTCTGACCAAGAACCTAAATTCACGTATGGATTCGTTGATGGATTCCATTTATGAACTGATTTAATTTCTATTAAACTTCTATCAGGAAAAATTTTCATAATCTTATCCCAATCATATCCATACTTTTGAATAGCTTCAAATAACTTCTTCTTTTCTTCTTTACTCCATACTTTGGATATAAGAAATTGATAATGTGAATGAATACCATTTGTTGGTCTTCCCATAACTTCACTTATATATGTCCATCTGTGTCCATATTTTTCTACTAACGATAATAATTTTGAATTTTCCTGATCAGTCCAAAATCCTCGTTTCGATCTATTTATGTAATACCATCTTAAACACACTTGGGCCGGTGTTCTATTTTCAAGAAATTGACATATTTGTGACCATTTTGATCCAAATTTCTCGACATTTTCTCTAAGTATTTGATCTTCTACTTGTGTCCATGTATTATAATAATCAGTTTTGTCTCTTGAAATATACGCCCATTTATTACTTAAAACTGATGGAGTTCTAATATTATTAAAATATTTTTGAGAAATCAATTTCCATTCTTTTCCATGCAACTTGACTGCATTTTCAAGCATTTCTATTTCTGAATGAGTCCATTTACGATAAGTTCTAGGTTTTTTCTTTTCAATTTTATCTTCTTTCCAAATATCAATTTTATTATTTGAAATGAGACTCCATTTTCTAGCCAAAACTTTTGGAGTTCTGCCAGAATTAAAAGAAATGTAATTCCAATCTTTTCCATGTTTGATGACTGCTTGATGAAGTGATCTTAATTCTTCAAGAGTCCATTTAGTATAACGTTTAATTAAATATTCATCCATCGAAATATTCTCATTCTTTCTATAAATATCATGCCATTTTTTACATATGACTTGTGGAGATCTTGAATTTTTAAAATAATTTTCAGAAATGAGTTTCCAATCTTTCCCATGTGTTGCAATTGCAGTTTGAAGTAATTTAGATTCGACCGGAGACCAACTTCTACTTTTTACCTTATTTTTATTATAATAATCTTCCATTGTTAAATCTATATTTTCATCATCATCATCATCATCACAATTGTAGGAAATTTTAGATTTGGATTTTATAGAATTAAGAGTTGCGACATGACGACGAAGTTGACTTGTGGGATTTTTTATAGGAATTTTTATAGGACTCAAGAGGCCTTTGATTGTTTTTGTATGATTGGAAAATAACAAAATTATTCGATTAAAATTGATATCTCGAAGAATTGATGAATTATTTTGTAATGCATGCATCCTCTCTCAAAAAAGAACGCTCGATAAATTATTTATATAATAAAATATTGTTAATTATTAATTTAATTTAGTTTAATTTGTCAATAATCTAATCATCTTTTAATTATTATGTTACAAATTCTACAAATGACCTAAAGTTCTTGGGAAACTAAAACGCTTTAGTTTTACCAAAGCAATAAAACATTTTCCCTTGTAGACTTTTGAAATTTACATACATATGATAAACCTAAAATATATTATGTAATAAAAATTTAAATTTATCAAGATTATCTGTATGCATAATGCATATCATTGATAATCATTTAATTTTGACACGTGTAATTAAAGACAAACTAACCAAAAAGTATATATACTGTATCCCTAGTTTTAAGAACCCACATTTTTTTCTTTCTCCAATTTAGATCGAATGGTCAACGCTGCACGCTTTAAAAAGTTGCTATGCTGTAGCAGTATTAATCATAGGTATTGAGAGATGTGCAGAAATTCGAAAAAGGAAATTGTAACAGTGGGTAATATTTCCTTTTAAGATTTTTCACTCTCTTCGTGTGGTATATGTAAAGGGTTTATTGGTATAATTTGTGTGCACAATGTTGGCAGAAAGAACAGCTTTTGCTTTGACATTGATGTCCTCGTCCTGCAACCCGGTATTATCTTTGATAGTTACGAACGGATGTCAAGAAATATTTTAAAATAATAAATAATATTATAAAAGTTATTTGTTATTTTACAAATAATTATATAGTTTTCTATTTTGTTATTCAAGTATTATAATGGTTCTTGTAAAATAATTTCATTTCATTTCGATAAACAATAATTATTAAAAAACCATTGTTCAGCCATGCTCTTTTTCGTTTATTTCGTTTACATATTTTATCAAGTGAAAGATTAAAAATTAATTGAGTCAATGGGTTTTAATTTTGATGTCTATACCTTACCTTTGATCAAATCCTTTCTTACACTGATGATAATTTTTTTCAGTTAATCTACCACAAAAATTATCCATTGGACAATTTCAAAGGAACACGTCAAAATCTTCCTTACGCTCTAGTAATCTTGAATCACTTTGAGATAAACATTTTCATAACATATGGGGAAATGGTATGTATATACATATATATTATATATATATGTTAATATTGAGGATAGAGAATAAAATATAAAAAAAGAAAAAGTAGTATCATCATTTGTTTTCCAAATTCCAATTTATCATTGCAAGTTCATTGTCTATTGTTTTATAATAAGCCAACTTAAATATTTGTGCGGATGGTGGTGGAAACCAATTATATAATGCTTTTGAAAAACTGATATATATATATTTATTTATTTATTTAATCATTATTTTTAATTATTATAATTTTATTTTTTTTTTTTCTAAATTCAGATATGTCCCGCATTTTATTAAAGGTGATTTAGATTCTTTAAGAGATGATGTCCGAAAATTTCATATTTCACGGGTAAGTTCAATTATCAAAAAATATCTTTTCTCAATGAGATCATTTAAATGTTAATATGAGATCTTTAATGTGTTTTATTTAAAATACATCTCTCTCTAATTTATTTGTAATTTTTGTTATTTAAAAGGATATAGAAGTTCAACAAAATCCTGATCAAACATAACAGTTTTCGTGAAATGTAATGATTTGGTTCGTAAAATGAACAGGAATCATCTAAACCATCTTTAAAAGTAATTTAAAAAATAAAAAATTGAATAAAAAAAATTGAATAAAAGAAAAATTGAATTCAGGATTCAGAAATTTTATTTATTTTATTTTATATAAAAATAATGAACGAAAAGTTCTTGCGTGAGGAGGTTTTTGTTTAGAGGGCAAAACAAATTCATTTTGCTTCACTCAAATCATGGATGCTAAATTTTACGTATAAATTCTTCGTAATCATATACCGGAAATCACAGAAATGCTTGAGCGTAGATGGCGATTTCAACAAGACAATGATCCTAAGAATACCAGTCGTCTCGCCAAAGCTTTTCATGCAGTAATGTTCCACATCTTATGACGTGGCCATCTAATAGTCCGGATCTGAACCCGATAGAAAACCTTTGGAGTATTGAAGGTAGAGAGGAGGAGAATGCTTAAAAATCGAAAATTGTAGTGAATTAATGCAGTTTATGAATGAAGAATGGCAGAATATTTTCATATCTATTATAAAAGGGTTAATGCTATCAATGAGAAAGAATATCATATTAAAATTTTTTTACTTGTATAATTTGATGTACCATAGTTAAATATTATCATTTTTTTTTGCGCCACACTGTATGATGTAATGATTATTTATGTATCTGCAAAAAAATTTTTGTGTGACAAATAATTATTGTTTATTCCGTAAATAAAAATTTTTTTCATCAGTTATAAATAAAGCCCATTAACATATGTCCTGTCATTCATATTATTTTTTTTTCCTTTTTTTCTTAAACATTTTTGTTTACTTTTTTTTTCAAAAACTTTTCTTTGACAAATTAAAATTATATTTTTTCTTTAATAACTTATCTTATCAGTAGTTTTTTTGTCAAAATATCTTGTTATGCTATTTCATTTATCATTACCCTTAAATAATATTATTGTTTTTGTTCTTATTTGATATTTCTACTTATTGTTATTGGGTCGTGGTCGTATATGAGAATTTTTCTATAATTTTTGATCTCCAAAGACGGTTATAATGGTTTGAACTTCATTTTGTTCGGTAGGTTCGATTCCTACAATAACCATTACTGGGGGGCAAATTACTCGGGTTTCCGCTGTGTAGGGCACAACCTTAAGTTGGGATAAAACTCTAGGTTTCAGGTTAGACCGGTCTTTGCACTGGAGCTCGAACTAATTTGGGAGTAGTCAACTAAGTTGTAACGAGTTGTAACATTCACTCTTTACCTCTAAAAGCTACTGATTCTAGAGAAGGAATTGGTTGGTTGTCTGTTCACTCCCCAGGGGTTTTAAGTAGCTTTTCCAGAAAAGAATAAACGCTGCACAGGGGACTCTATATGTATGTTAATTTTTTTACACTTTTCATAGGACGAATCTCATGTGTAATTCCTTCTCCAAAATAACTGACGCTTAATAAAAACATACTCGTAATCCTTATAAAATCCCCCACACATTATTCTGTTTATGTATATTGTCCCCTGGGGTAAGCATGGCCTTTATAACTCGATGTCGTAGTTTCTTTGAAGTTCTTCTACGCTAAAAAAAGGTTCCAAATGGTTTAAAGTCTAATGTTTCATTATTCTTTAGTAGGTTCGATTCCTACATGGATCTAATTTTTTTTCATTTGTATTTTTGTTATTTTTTTTTTTAATTATAAATGGTGAATAATTCATTCTAAGTCCATTTTTTTGAGGTCTTGTGATGGATTTGTTTTAACTTGTAACAATGGGTATGTTGTCCTAAGCCCATTTTCTTGTGACGGCGAGTTATGTCTTGTGGCGGACTGGTGATTCCACATTTTTTATGTTCCACATCCACACGATTTTAAATCATTTATTGGAAAGTGTAATTCGCGATTGATGAATGGATTTAATTTAACTTATCCATTTCTTGTAAAATTCAAATTAAAGCTAATTCGAGTTGGGTCAAATAATTTCAAGCAACACTATATAGTTGATATAGAGATAGATGAGTTATGACTTACAATACGTGAGTTATATATTTAATTATATTGTTATTTCGCTTTATTGCTTAGCCTGTGCAGATGATTTTTATTATGTAAACGAACTACTAATTGCTTGTCTCTTTTTTTTTTATTTTTCAACAAAGAAATTTACTAACTGCTTGTTTTGATTTTTATTTTGTATCGATTCCTGTTGTAGCCATCATTTCCTTTTTGTAGCACGTAGGATATGAAATAATTTCTCCAGTAATATAATTGAATTCGTTGAGATTCATAAGTTGTTGTCATCTTCGCGGTAATAACAATGTCCATATCTAAAGTATCATTATTGACGAGAAGAACAACGTTTAAACCATTAGATGATGATGATTGTGATGATGACAATATTGATGGTAATGGATTATTATTGTTATTATTATTATTAATATTTATTTCACTAATGTTCTCTATCTTTAAAGATTCATTTTCATTATCATCATTATTGTTGTTGTTGTTATTGTTATTATCATTATTTGATTCATTTCTTCAGTTGATGATAATGAAAAACTTTTAGCTAATTTTATAAATAAACATCTTGAAATTTTTTTTGAGATTTATTTTTAGGTCCATTGGTTTCATCTTTAGAAAAAAAAAATAAATAATAAATAATCATAAATTATTTTTAGTGTGAGGAAGTGTGAGTGTGATTTTTGATGTTTTTATTCAATAAATAATTAATAAGTAACTCTTTCGAATAGTATCATTTTCTACAACTTCTACTGAACTATTTGACTTAATCAGCATCTCAATAAAATATTTTCTATTAGTTTTTTAATAATACATCAAGTCATTATACATTATTTTTTTTAATATAAAAAGCAAAGGAAAAATTATTGTTTACCAAGTGCAGTTAATAAAATATTAATAGCATTCTTCCAGATTTCTCTAGAGGAAGTTAATTTTGAGTTACTGTTATATTTTTCATTTTATTATTATGATTATTATTATTAATGGCATATTTTTTGATAATTATTATAATAGTTAGAGGAAGTTGTTTCATCCTCTTCGGATCTTCAACATTATCAAATTCTCTTTTATTACGCTCATTTGAAATTTCATACCTAAAACTTTCAATTCCCAGAAAGTTTGCTGAATTAATACAGATTTTATCATTACCTGTAAAAAGATAACTAGTGAATAAATTAAAAAAAAAATAAAAGTTTTTCTAAATTTTGTAAAACTTAATTGCAGCAACAAAGCAAATTGAGCACGAAATGAATATAGAATTTTACAAATTATTTTTGCTAACAATTATACATTCTGGTTGCAAACTCTCTGGATTAATTAAACATTCCAAATTTGACAGAATTAATAATAAGCAATTATTAATATAAATCTTTTTTGCAATTTCCCTAACATTTTTATATCCTTCTTTGAATTCCGTATTTCTCAATTTTGTTTGTAATGCCAATCAATAATTTTGACTCTTCTTTTTTTTTTGATTATTGGAAAGTCGTAAACAATATATAAGTACTCTCTCAAAAAGATAAATAAATAACAAAATGGAATGAAAGAAAACCAATTTTTTGTATATTTTCTTCCCAATAAATATATAATATAAAATAAGACAATATAGTATGAATAGCTTTTTATACTTTTATTCTTTTCAAGAAAGTAATTTTCTCTTGATCAATTTTACAAGAAGAATTATTTCAATTATTTCTCACGGTTATCAATGAAGTAATTGCGAAGGAAATTCTTTTCTTCATCAGCAGAAAAGAGACGAGCAATCAATTTCTTCATAAATATTTAGATTTGACATTGAATTTGTATAAAGAATTCAGAGTAAAATTAAATTTTATGAATTATTGGTAATTTTATTTAAGGAAACAAATATTTTATTTTTGTTTCAGTGTTGCAGAAAAAATTTATTTGATTTGAAAAGATTATGACCCTTTTCTATCAAGTAATTAAATGGTATAATATAGCGAATAGTGTATAAATTCATATTTACAATTGTAAAATATTATAGTAACGATAAAAATTATGATTTCGATTTTTTATTTAATTCTCTATTGTAAATTTGTGAATAATATCCATTAAAATCTAATCTTAATACTAAATGATGTAAATATCCTTCTAAATTAAATTGATTTTCTATCTTATCACGAAATTGTGATCCGCTTTCTTTACGACGAACACCCATTTTATTATTACCACTTGATTCTAACTCAATAAGTAAATTCAGAAATACTGCTGAATATTTTCGAAAATTTGAATACAAAACTTTAATCTTATTCCAATGATCATTCCTCTGCGTTAAATTATATTGATAACTCCGTCGTAATTTTAAGAGGCGTGCAAAATCAAGTATGGTCGTAAAGATTCCATTAAGAAATTTATGCAATGGCAATTGTTTTCTTTTAAGTAGACATTGCCATGACAATCGATTTAATATATAATCATGATATTCTAGTAATGACGCTAAATCTTTAACTTGTGCCACTGCTATATCATCACTAAATTCTTCGTCTAAATCTTCGGATTTCACATTTGAAAATGAATCAGATTGTGATTGATCATCATAATAACTAGTAGCATCACTACTACCCTCTCCTGCCAAATGTCCTCTTGGTAATTCGAATTCAGATTCCTTTGCAATTTTGTCAAGTCTTTTCATAAAATGTTTCCATGTAGAAAAAATCGCTATATCGAAAATGTATCCATATATTGCAGAAACAAATTGCTGAGCTTCAAATCGGAATCTATGTATAAGATTATGATCTTCGGCAGATTCCTCTTTATCACCAAAATTGTATCGTTCGTGTGTAAGACGAAATATTTGTTGGACTATTACTTTCAATCGTAATACACGTAAAAGAAACTTGAAAAGAACGTTATATTTTTTGAGTATGGTTGGCGTTATTATTACATTTATTGGGTAAGGTGGTTTATATTCGAGATATAGAAAATCCAAGGCGGCCAACGAATTTGGATCATTAGTTTCTTCAAAGGTGGGATCATCATCACTTCTAATTCCAAACATAAGTATATTATCTAAATCATTCACTTTGCCCCGAGAATCAATGATTTGATTAGAATCGTTTTTTTCAAAATCTTTCTTTTCTGATGACACAGCCTCTGCAATTACTGCGCTCAAAGCCATTATCCATTCGAAATTAACGTGAGTATTGCCCGATGAGAAAAAATTTTTATCATAGCTAATATTGTCACTATTGAATAATGTATCAGATAATCCGGAAACAAATATTCCATTTCCCATGAGCATGAAATCTCTTAGAACGTTTAAATGAGCACGAAGGCCAAGATCGTGGAAAAAGTTCGAAAGCATTGATGCGTTGATTAATCGGCAATGACAAAGGATGGTACGTGCGACGACTTGCTCGGTGATGGCTACTAATGGAAGAATATAATCTTTGTGCGCATATGAAGATGTTGAAGATTGGACTTGTAATAATCTCTCTATCAAAACCGTAGTAGAATCTTCATCTAAATTGGGATCAGCGACAATGGTAACATTTGAAATTTCCGATTTACGACGTTCACCTTGAGTAACAATAGCAATAATCATTTCGCGAAAATAATTTTGAAGTTGATCTTGCATTCTAAAATATATAATTATATATTATAAAATTATTCGGATGGACAAGTATTTTGTTAAATAAATCAAATAAAATATTACATCACAAAAATAGCTTACTCATCAATATCTCCCTGAATGAAGAGCCATTTCAAATTTATGCCCCATTTTAGTTTACCAGTAATCTTATCTAATATGGTGCTTGAATCGAATAAAGGATGATTTGGCCTACAATCTCGTAACAATCTTAAAGATTTTCCAGCTTCAAGAACATCTCGTGCAAGTTCAGGAGAAATAAAAATAGGTAAGACATTTTTTTCGTCGACTTTTATCTTATGTTGCCAAAATCCATCACCATCGTGTTTTATGAAAGATGTATCTATCTCAAAATTGGCGATAAAAAATTCTTCATATGGATCATAAAATTCACCTTTTGGTGTATCAATAGGTAATAAGGCAAGTGTAGATGAGGAAGCTACTCCGAGCCATGAATTTAACATATGAAATAATGGTTCACTTGATTGTTTTAGGAAGGCTAATAGAATAGATTTGTGGAGAGGGGAACGAGCTGCATCAATTGATTTGGCGGTTGAGTAAATTTCTGATAATATTCCTGATCCAAAAGGTAAATAAAATCCCTCTTGTTCTTTTTGCTCTTTTTGATCAATTGACAACATTGAATGCCTTGAATCTGCCACATCCTAAAAAAATAAAATATAATAAAATAAAATAAAATAAAATGAAACTTTAATTACTATATGAAACATTAATTCGATCTCACGAAAGTTAATGTAATTTAATACATACACAACAACAAAACGTCGCAATCCTTTCAACTATTAATGAGGATTCATCCATGGTGTGATATAATCGAACGATTTTAATATTATCGGCTCCATTTAGTTTTTCGGACACTGCCGATATAGATTTTCGCATAAAAGAAACGAATGAAGCGAGAGAACGACCAAATGCGACCCCAGTCAACCCATATAAACTAGATTTTATATTTAATTTTGTTGAAATATATTATTAACATTTATGTGATCAAATAGAATATACTTACTGAGCAGACTTTGTGCAACTTTCCGCGACAGTTTCTAGACGTATAATATGGGTTCCAAAGTTCAAAAATCGGTTCATAATACTAAATTAAATAAATAACAAATTAAAATTCAATAAAATTTTGAGAAAAATTATTGTCATTGAATAAAGATCAAAACATTTGACTGACTTATTTATATTCTTGGCACTACAACCTTGTATGCGAATATTTGGAACGTTCGGATGAAAAATTCGTTTTACTGGATCATATGAAAATAATTTTGAAGGAGTTCCTAAAACCAAGAATAAAATATCCTGAACCAAAATTTCTTGATGTATCGCAATTCCCGTACTACCGAAAGAAAATTCATGATAAAAATGATTCTGCCACACAGCTTCATAAGTTGATATATTTGCCTCGGTTAAATATGGTGAAGTCCCATTTACATTAAAATTAGATTTTCCTATTGACTCCCAAGAAATCATTTGACGCACATCATTATTATAATCAACTAATACAGTTTCCCAAATTGAAGGTGAAACGTTCGATATTAAATCTTGACTTTTTTCAGATGTCGAATTTGAATCTGTACTATGAGTTTTATAAGTCTTATTATCTTCATTTGATGATTTTTCGCTTTTCATTGGTAATTTAAATGTAGAAAAATCCGGTAAGGATTCCATTATAACATCCACTGGTTCAGATAACATTTCTGGAACTGGCAAAATATTATTATCGATATCTTCATTTGGATTAAAATTCACCGTCTTTTCTATATAATTTGATATATATATTAATTGTTAAACATGTACAATTCATATAACTTTCATTATATACCTTTGAAATTTTGTCGAGTGAAAGTTATTAAACAAAATTTACCAGAAAAAGAAGTTATTCCGAACAGTGTCGCGCGTACCTCCTCTGTACTATTATCGTTAAACTCAAAATCTGAGGAAACTAAAGGGTCACCGATTTCATTAACCAAAATTTTTTCGTTAGAAAAATTATTAAAAGTATTCATTTTTTAAAAAATTCAGAATGTAAATATACTTTTATATTAGTGAAAATTTGATTTTCACGTGATTATTGTTAACGACGTGACGAATAAACTGAACGGTACGAAACGCTATTTTGTACTGTACGATTTTATATAAATTTTTGCACAAAATTCGTACAATAATATTTATATTAATTACATAATAGTTTCACGATCATGGTTTTGCGATTATGGTTTCGCGATCATGGTTTAGCGATCATCAATTAATTACAATTATTTTATTATTATAAAACACACTCTCATTTTATTACATTATATTGTATTTAAAATTGTTCAATGCGTAAACGTTTTGATACATGCACTGAATCTAACTCATTATTATTACTAAAGTATAATTGTCTATTTTCATATTCAAGAATATCCAAAATTGCAGATTTTCTTTCTTTTCCCACACCACCATCTTTTGTTGTCTTTTTAAAAAAATGGGAAACTTGTTGATGATTTTTTTTTTCTACAGCTGAACAAGAAAATGCTGCTAAACCAAAATGATAATGAATACTCATCATTTCTGGAATATGATAAACTAATACATGCATATATGGTGTTATATCACCAGCTTGATAAAAATGATTACTGGGAATAGAGTTAGGATAATTAGGATTCAAAAATTGATGTAGCCATGTACGTGCATCTTTGGTAAATTGTGATGCATCAGTTTTATTGCTTTGTAAAGCAAATAAAAATTATTCCATAAATTTTTAATTTGAGTTGCTCTTGAATTTGGAAATAGTTTAAACAAATTAAAATTTTGAAGTACAATTAATTTGTCTTGTCCCATTAAAGATGTATGTTGCCAATTTGTTGTTCCCATTTCTTGTCAAAAAAGAAATCTAACATTAATACGTTTCATTTCATCAATTATTACATTTCTAGCTTGATCACCCCATGTATTTCTTGATTTAAGTTCATTAATTACTAATCGCCAAAGAACATCTGTAATACGTAACATAACATGAAACTCATCAGGAATCCAATTGTGTAATGGAATCATATTAAATATTGCTGGTCGAATATGTCCTCGATAAGATATATAATCTTGTTTAATTTGTTCCATAGATTTGCTAATTTTCCATTCATATGAAAAATCACCTTGTTGTTCTTTTGATATTTCACACCAGGGACAAAAATATTTACTATTTGCTGAATTTATTCCTAAACACATTACAAGAAACTTTCAGTCCGATGAAAAATAAGTTCAATTCTCCATTCTCTACCTTGATTATCTTTTAAACCTTTGTCTTTTAGCATTCTCAATTCCAAGGTTATTTGTTCTAATGTATTATATAATATTTCATATTTTTCAATACCTGTATTTTGTAGTGATTTTCTGGATGAAATATATGTTCAATATCATTAAGAAGAGAAAAAGTAACCATAACATGATTAATTTTTCATCCTACATTTCTGCCATCACCTGAAATACGTAAATGTATTTCAGGATTTTTTGTATCCAATATTTTTTTTTCAATAAGAATTGGTATTAAAATATTTTAAAATATTGGTAATATTTCTTTGTCCACCTTTTCCAACTGATTGTTGTACATTATTAATAATTTCAATATTATCAATATGTACTTCAGAATTTATATCATCAGATAATGGTATATTTATATCTACCAATGTTATTGGTATAATTGTATTCATTTTAAGTGTAATTTCTTTTTTTTCTTTAGCAACTT